ATTTACTCGGTAAAGTTCGAAAGGAACCTTCGCAGTTAGGCTAAGGTGAAGCAAGCGACAGCGCCATGCGATTGAAACAGCAATAAGCTCTCTCGAGTCTAGCGGTTACCTAATTTCGTCTACCCTAGACCGCTCCTCGGGGCGGCTCGTTATGGAAGACCGGGCTGGAGCCTTGGAGCCTGGAGCTTAGAAGCAAGTGGAGGGGAAGGGAACCGGTGCACGGCACGCACGCACACGCGCAGGCATGCGCACCACTGACTGATTGACATTATTCTCTGCATTGGAGATAACACACACACATTTAGGTATATGCATGAGTAGAATCAATCAAAAGATGCAAGGTCTCTAAGGCCAATTATCGGGTCGAGAATCTTGCTTTGACATCCGTCGATCGTTTAACTTGATCCACTCGATCTTTTAAGGAAAAACATATAGTTTCATCGTCGCCTGCTTCCGGCTGAGAGGCGAGGAGCATGAAAGCATGTAGCGTGTGTATGTACATTATCCACTGGTCCATGCTACAATCTCGCACCCTTCCTAAAACTGAGGGGTTTACATCGAGCCATTCATGTAAATCTCCACCAAAGATAATATATGTCTTCTTGAACAGAGATACAGACTACTATTCAGGCAATGCTCTTATTGAGCCAAAAACAAGGAGGCTTTTCTCTCCGGGCAAGTGACCAGCAGATTTTGAACGCCATGCAGATCGGGGTTTCCAACTTGAACGTCTGCGAGTCGATACTCGGACCCCAAATTCGATTGTGAGGCTTAGAGAGAGAGATACGATATATTTCCCCTTCCTCCATCACACTTTTCTCAGCATCGAATCAAGAACGATCAAAGTCGTGCTTTACATATAACTATTCCCTTCGAGATTGATTTTAATATACATCCTCTCATCGCATCATCGTCCGCCTCGGCTTATGCTCGGCTGTTTTCACCCACGGGGAAATAGCGGAGGCCACCGATTACGAGATCTGGAAAGGGTGCTTAGGGGGAAAAAGCCAAAATAAGCTAAACGAGGAATCCCTCGCCGCGTTTAATTTGCACGGGATTGCGGTTGTGGTCGTGTAGTGCTTATCGCCTAAGATGAAATCCAGTCTTTCTTCCTAAGTTCCAGTCGTCGCTCGCGTCCTCACATGTGAGAATCTCGTCGGAGGTTTGTTTGTATGGGAGTTTAGTTATGTGGACTCGACGGAGTAGACCCAGACCTACAGTTGAACCTAATTTAATGACTTAGAAACCTGCCAGATGGGGAGCGCATCACATGATTACACAACGTGGGCTGACAGGCTGATGAGGGAGGGACGTTGTTGCTCTCAGCTATCATAAATCAATGCAACGTGTGATCCTCCCTAACCTACTACATCTCTATCTTTGATTATTCTCGCTTGCGTTCGTTCTGTCGTTCTCTGCCTGTCTTCCTTGCCATCGTCGCTCCTCTGCCATCCCCACCCATCACAAAAGGTTGGGTGATGATGATGGATGATACTGAATCGGGCGGATCTTCTGTATCCCAGTTCCCCGAGCCACCTACCTGGAGATCCGCGACGAATGATCGTAGTTGTGGCGTTTTAAGTCCCTCTCCGGTTATACTTTGTTTGGAAATCCAAACATGGCAGAAACGGCTTATTTTATTTACTAATCTTTTACCTTTTTTTTTTTTCACGTCACGGGGCCTTGAAGAAAAAAATTACTCCGTAGACGACGTTAATAGAATAGACCCAAAAAGGGGATGGGGAAGGGTGAGCCTCGTTTTAATAAGAAGCTTGAACCAGATGGCCGGGTAATCTAACATCAGATCAATGAATCTATAGAACGCCTGACGCCTGATAGTGTGTTGATGTCGTCGTTGGTGCTACACAATCATTCCCGTCCCTCCTTCCCTCCTCCTCCCTTGGAATATCCAGATTGGGCTCTTATCATCCATCATTCACTAGATGACGAGAAAAACGACAACTGGCAATCCTCCTATCTTGTGACTTGGAGAGAGGAGGGGGAAAGATGGAATGAAGCCACTGTGATAATCATCGGCGTTGACGTATCTGGCGCAATGCGACACTCACACGCACACAGATCAGCTAACTTCTCATTATCGATCCGGAGATCCTTTCATTCGGAACGATCTGCAGCAAATAGGTCGATAGGTAGGTCGATAGTTTTGGACAAACTAAGGATGCCTGAGGCCTAGGGATAAATGGCCCACATGCTACTCTGTAACTCAAGTTACCCGTCGTTTCGAAATGCCTGAAGAACAGCCCAGGAGAAGCGGAGTGGAAGGGGAGAGAAACTTTCAACCCCATAATTTGACACATAACTGCTGCAGGCTGTAGATGGGATAGGACAATAATAAAACCAACATCCACCCTCCGCAGAAGAGCGATAAAGCCAGTGCTATTCAGGTAGGTAAGACGATCACCTAGATCGGAACAACGGCGTTCTTCCCCGGTATGCAACTCCGCCTGGGGGCATTTCTGATGCTACATACCACCGGCGAATACTTGCAGAGTACGTATTGCGTGGTAGCAAGGCAGATCGAAAGGGGAGGACGAGGGGGGCGGGCGCCAAAGAAATGGTTGTGCTCAGGCCATTTCAGCCAGCAATGATCGTACACGGAATAAACATCGATAGATCATATGGTATCGCATAGCAATAGATTTCTCGTAGACCAAATCACATAACGACAAAAGATTGAACGGATTAAGTAAAGAGATAGAGATCAGGCAGAGATGATGCCTCGGGATCAGATCGAGGCCAACTACGAAACCGCCTCCCGATGATATTGGCTCATCTTCGGGAGAGAAAAACGTGGCTAGACCCAAGTATCAAGGGTAAGAGGCCCACGGGTCTATGGAGGCAGTTACCTCTCTCAACTTAGCATGACACCCGAAACTAGGTCCGTGGCGAAAATAGTCGACAAGAAATTGAAAGTCAGCAGACATCAAGATAGCCACCGAAGTGGCAGGTGAGAGATGAACTGTCAAATGCCCCTGACGAGGCGAGAGGTTAGGCAGTATGTGCCTAGAACTGACAGCGACAGGGGAGATGGAGGAGGCAAAGGTGCGTGTGGTGAGGGAGGGAAGGGGGACCTGACCTCCGAAGGGATTGAAGGGGACTAGAAACAATGATGGAAGTGGCTATATTCATTAGGTCCATCAATACCTTAGTAGTGATCCGTAGTGTAGGCGATTCTGACAAGTGCGGAGTGATATCAGCAGCATCTTGTCTAAGCCAATCGCTCGGGATCCATTTTTGAGGAGTCGAGTGACCCGACGGGACTGACGGGGTGGAACTGTATGCTGCTGCTTGCTGTCTGTACACTTTACGGAGTACGGAGTGTGTACATACGATTTCCCGCGGTCTAATAAGTTGAATTGAAGTAGTTAGTTACTTAACTAGCCTAACTTAGGTTCTCTTCTGGCCTTAGTCAGCGGGCAAGCTGGTCACAGGACGAGGTGATCTTTGTCTGAATCTTTGTCTAGAACATCCCCTGCGCTGTGAGTGCTTTGCGGACTGTGATACGTAATGCAGTCATCTTGAACTTGGTATGATAGTAGTGGGATGAGAATATCTTCCTAGTAGGAATACCAGTAGTCTTCTGTCGCTGGAGAAAGTATGTCTGGGATGGGAAAGTCTTCCTTCATACTTACCTCCTGTACCAATTCTTCAGCGAGTGGGAAAAGAGAGAGAGAGAGAGTTAAGCCTCAATCGGTTGCAGCCAAGTACCAACAAGTACTGTACCGGTACTTGGGGGGAGGGAAGGAGAGAAGAAGCCGCATTCACCGGCCAAAGTTACCCTTCTGGTGGGAGATAGTATCCTTCCCATACAGAGAGTAACATGTTCGTACTTTGTTTTCGGAGTGGGACTCCGGAAACAGACCGGTATAATTACTCTAGTCATGACAATGTATGAAATACCAGACGCCCTGCGGGGGTACTCCGGGAGTACCACCATTACCAGTCCAAGAATGGAAAAATGCAAGAACCAAAAAAAAAAAAAAAAAAAAATCAAAAAAAAAAAAAAAAAAAAAAAAAAAAAAAAAAAAAAAAAAAACCAAAAAAAAAAAAAAAGAAAAATCTAAAAAAAAAATCATTTTTCTAAATTATGAGCAAAAACAATCACACACAGACACATACACACTCACACTGCCCATTGTACTGTACTTACTTAGTACACACAATCTCTCCCGTTCTTCCATACATAGGCTCCGGACCACGGAAATGGAGGGAGGGAAGGAGTAGGGGCGCGGCTAGGATTGCTACTGCTACTGCTGTTGCTGCTGCTTTCTTACCGCCATCCCCATTCTCGGTACTCACTGTACTCATTTCGTCGGACTTCCCTTTCCCTGTAGCCATCGTCAAACTCCCCATATTTCCATACTTTTCACATTTTCCAATATTTTTCTTTTCCCCTTGTACCGTTACCGGTTCATACAAAATTACTGTTCCCTTTCTTTCCTCCCCTCCCACTCCTTCTCTTCTCCCCCCGTCCCAAAATCTCATAGTCTCCACAGACCCATCGTTTAACTATCTTCCCTTTCCTCATTTTTCTCGTCCACTCCACCGCGTACTAAGTTTCTCCTCCCCCATATCCCTACGGTCGATTTTTTCCCCGTCTCTTTTCCTTCTTCCACTCCAACCACACGTCTCTTGTCGACACTCTCCCGCCCTTCCCATTCTCGACATATCCTCACTTCCGGACCTGCAGCTTCTTTCCTCCAGCTCTCAACTCTCGTTCCTCAATTGCTTCGACCATTCGTCGTTGCCGGTCTCTACCTTCTCTCGCATCGACCATACCCGGACGGGAAAGGGAAAACCATTCCGGGTTCCAGGGCGGCCTCTCTAATCGAACTCGCCTGCGATCGTGCACCTTGCGCCTCGCCCGTATTCCGCACCGCACTCGCTGATATCCAAATTCAAAAGGCAGCTGTGGCGCCACTACTTGCTCAATCGGCATCTCTGCAGTCAGATTGCAGACTTAGGACCGAGATATCTGATCTCAGCGACACTGTGGTGGATCAGGGAGCTTCAATTCGCTGCTCTTCGCGCCGTACGACCACGCTCGGGGGAGACGGCGACCCCGAAAGTCCCAGGACGGAACAAGGAACAATTCACCACCTACATATTCGAAATTGTGGCGTCGTTAAAATGCCTTCGCGTTTATCAACTCCCGTGCTAACGGTGGATACGGCCAAAATCCACAAGGTCGATACTGCCAATGCACAGAGCTTACACGGCATGTGGATGGGTAAGCAGTTCCGGTTCCTACAATACATGTGCTGTGAGATGGCTGACTAGGGTCTTCTCGCCAGTGTTCTCGAAATGCGCCGACTACATGGAAGAGGGACGTCGGCTTGAGAATCTCAGCTGGAGACTCTGGACTCGCGAGACGTTCTGCGTGGAGCCGGAGACCAGCAGCGATGCCTCGGTTTTGCCACTCCGCTCAGATACCGCGGACATGCCAGAACTTTCTGCCAGTGTCGAATCTGCCGCATCCGACCAGGCCGACAGGATTGAGCAGCACATCAAGCGGTCCAAGGTCGACCTCAAGCCTACAGTGGTCCGTGAGGATTCGAGCCCTCTTTTGAGCCTCGCTCGCGGGAAAGAGAAACATATTACCTCCGAAGGATTGGAACGTATGGTGCTGAACATCAAGGAGAAGAAGAGCTTGGAGCCGATCCCTCAACCACTGACCGCCCCTCTTCCTCCTGTCGTGGATATTACCCCTCGTCCGTCCACTCCTACTCCCTCGTCCCCCACCATCTCTAGCGCGAAGCGGACGCCCTCCCCGCCGTCATATCATCTCCACCAACAACAGAACCAGTCCACAGAGTCGTGCTCAACCACAGCGCCTGAAGGCAACGACAGCGACAACGGCACCAGTGCTGCTGCTTCTGACACCAGCGTCTCGTCCTCTGGCATCATTCCCGTAAGATGTGAATTGATCAAGTCGCCAAGCATTGTTCGCGGATTTTCACCTTCGCTTATCTCCTCCTCCTACCGGTCGCAGCCGAGACTGGCACCTGAACCTGGGCCAGCGAAGCAGTCGGGACAGCTCAAGCCTATGCCTTTTAAGAAGAAGGGTGGCATGTTTACGCTTGGTGGGTCGTCTGGGGATGACGAGAGCTCTTTTGAGGATCGCATCACGATGCAGGGACCCAAGCGCAGCTCTTTGTCGGACGAACTCAGCAAGCCTTCTTCGAGCAATCAGAGCCCGAAGAAGAAAGTGGCCTCCTTTAGGGACGAGAATGGGATTATTAAACCCACCCGAGAAAGGCTAGAGGAACACGAGGATGCCATTGAAACTGACGATGAAGTCTCTGAGAGCGCTATCGAGGACGACTCGGATTCGGATTGGGAAGACTCCGTCACGGAAAGTGGTCGGTCCAGTGTTGAGGAGCGCGAGCTTTTCCAGCGTGTCGATTCTCGGCCAAATCTCGTCTCCCGTCGCTCGATGTTGACCATGATGATGCATCAGCCCACGAAAATGGGCGCAGCATCTCGTTCCACCCCGGCTCTCCAGCGTTCCCGCCTCACCTCACCCAACGGTCCCTCCATTCCGGCTTCACCGCCCGACGACGACGATGAGAATCTTACGATGCGCGGTCCCGACGTTCCTCGTTCCAAGCCTATTGTGATGAAGGCTACGCCTCAAGCCATAGCTCATTCGCCCCGCACGACTCGTCGGAATATGCTGGCCACCGAATTGACGGAGTCTCTCCGTCGCCACTTGCTGTGGGAACGTCAGCAGAAGAGCGCCACTGCGAACGCGTTCCTGAAGCGACGCCACACAGCCCATGATATGGCAAACCTGCAAGAGTATCCTGGTCCCAAGGGGGCCCAGAAGGGTCAGAAGGGCCAGGCCTCGGGTCAAAATGCAGGTCCTGCAACCAAGCCAACCAGTCAAGGGAAGGACAAAACCGGCTCTTGGAATCACTACACCGACTTTGGGCCTTGGGAATATCATGTGAAAGGCTGGTAAAACCCCCCTTCGCAGCTTACGACTGCCATATCTCGATCCTCGACTATCCTTGACCTTCGTGTCAAACGTATTTTATTATGCGATGGATATTGTTCATTGACAGAGATACCCGATCCTCGAACGCCCTTCATTTACTTTCTGCTTTTTGTTACCCGACATGTAAAGACCATCGATTATCATCCTTGTGACACGTACCATTACGACAGCATTGCATATTGGCGCACTCGGGAATCATCTTGCTCTGCTTCTCGACCTAACCGTTTTCTTTTTCGGGTCATTGCTATCTTATCTCTATCTCTACCTTGCATTGTGTGGCTGTCTGCTGTCATTGTATATGGGCCACCGGGGAGGAACAAGCGTCTTTCACACAATTAATCTTGTTGTACAGATGAACTTCTTTTCTACGGCGATGCACAGTCGGCAGAGACACCTTGAAACAAAGGGTCTCTATTTTTCTTTTATGATGCTTACTTTGGGTGGATTGGATGCGCGAGCGGTCCTTTGGATTTCTCTTCATCTTTGCTCCCGGCGGCGGAACCAAAAAAACTGAGTTTTGCGTGTTCTGCATATTTTGAAAATAGCCTGTTCTTGTTTGCTTTGATGCGTCGCTGATACCAGATACCACATTTCCCGAATTTTCCTTTCTCCGGCGGATCCTTGCGATCGGCCTACTCATGCCATGTACGCTACGCGATACTTGCTCAAACCCCATTTATCCATCTGTTATATGGAGAAAGCTCCGCGAAAATAACCAACTTTTGAAATAAAAAATATATGTTAACAAAGAAAGTAACTTTCCTTAAGTCAGACACTACATAGGGTCAAATGCTTTTCAAGACCATACAAGAATGGCATTGCTCAGAGGGGTCAGTTACCTTAAACAACAATAGCTTAGCTAAGACGGTCGTATTCCTCACCCCTCCTTCGATTCCTCATACTCTCGACGAAATCAGAGGGCAAGACAATGGAGGTAGGCTAAACTAGCAGACCGGCCGAGAACGATTCGTGAGGAGGAGGAGGAGGAGGATGATGATGATGATGATGAAAGGATTCTAGCCTAGATGAGAAGAAGGGGAAGCCAGTCATTACAACGTAGATTGAAGCTCCTGCTCCGGCTGCTGCTCCCTGCCGCCTCGTTCTTCTGCCCTGTGAGTAGTTGGGCTATATTTGGTCTCACAAGGAAATTTTAATCCTGTCACGATCTAGATCCGCACTGATCGCTTCACATGCCGGAATGGATTGTTTTGCGCCCTGTTGCGTCGCCGATATTACGATCCCACCATCTTTTTTCTTTTTTTTTTTCCCCTTTCTTTTTTTTCCTTTTTTCTCTTCTGTCTTTCGGAGATATGAGAGGACAAAAGTCTAGGAGGGGGAGGGGGCGGAATAGTTGGCGGGTTGTCAATCAAAGGGTTCCAGAAATTTACACCTCAGGTTATGTCCAAGTGAGTTAGTTGGTCAAAGAAGGTCTGTCCTCCTTTTGTCTCCTCTTAGTCGAGGATGGTGTATGCTTCTGTGGTAGGTAGTGGTGGGGATGGTGGTTGATTGTTGTAAGTATGTAATCAGTAGGTGTATACAGTATGGTAAACTTCAGTTCTGGTTGGGGTCTCTCGCACTTGTCTGACGAGACAAATATTCCAGATATAGTCATCTCCCCATAGCTCCAAGAAATTCGGTAGTAATAGTTTACAGAAAGAAAGAGAAGGAGGCGAATCTCTGGGGAAGGGGGGTTGAGATGAACTGTCATTGACATAAGGGTATGACGGATGGGAGTCGACGTTGAAAACCCGCAACCATCCACTGCAGATGTATGTAAGTCAAAAGCCGGTCGGGGAATTTACCACAGAGCGGGAGGAGGGGGGTTTGAGTTCTTGGGTCGTTTTTTCTCTTCGATAAAACAGTTATTAAAAATAGTAGGCATATACGACACACCGCATCGGGGTTGACGATGTTGGTGGGTATTGCTATGTCAAGGTAATCGGTGGACTCCGTCTGTCATCATCGACTTTTGAGTGACTATAAGGAGTAAACATGATCTAATGTTCTTGGTCCGTCCGGGTCATCGCCGAAAGTGCAAAGGGAGACAGGTTTGCCAACCGTCCGGGTAGAAGTCTATTTGATCATGGTGTGTTACTATATCGGTCGCATGTTCCACAGTCGCGGTATATCAGCTGAAGGGGGGTAAACCGTGGATGTACCGAGCATCTCTTGATGTCGGGGTATCCTTTGCGTCACCACGGATGGAAGGATTTATACAATGTGTATGTAATATCAGGGACACACTGCTGTCTTAGTCGGGTAGACAAAAAGATTGAGGTTGCGTATGGGGTAGGAGTTCAGCGCCAGTGGCGGTTGTTTTGGGGGAGGAGACATGCGGAGCGGACTCTACCGGAGAACGCAAACGTCAGGATGCGATGAGGTAGATGTATACTACTGAGGTAGAAGATGCTGCTGAGTTACGAGAAGGTGCATTGGAACCTTCATTCCCCTGGTCGAATTGGTTACGAGCGCACTCCATATATGTTCTAGCCTCCAAGGACAGTCATTCTGCGTGCGTGTTGCATACGGAGTATGTACGGAGTATGGGTGATTCCTGGAGAGAACAGCGAGATCCTCTCTGGAACCAGATCCATCGATCTGCCGTAGCCCACCAGCTATCTTCTTCTTTACCCGGTAGTTGGGTCTTCTCATACGTATGTGTTGCACATATTCAAAACCCAAAGTCATAAGTATAAATTCTTTCATAGTTCATAGTGACCTAAGCGGGGGATCTAAATTTGATGTCCGCGTGCGCACTGACACATTTTGGTTGCTGAAGCAGCCATGACGTAATTACCTCCAATTTATTAATAATCATTGTGCTCTTTCCTGCCAAACTCACGGATTGCAGTCGTCCGTTTTCCTGTCTTGATCGCTGCTCAACTTGATTCAGGTCTCGGTTTCTGAGGGATGGAGGGTTCTATGAATGCATCTGAACCTGTAAATTGAACGAGCCATTCACCTTCCGTCCTCTCTGTGAGGTAAAATTTCCCAACAACTAAACAAAGCAAAAAACAGGCACGAAAAGTAAAATGTCCAATCACCAGTCAGAAAATCTCTTGAAGAAGTCTCCTCCCCACATCTCCCTGGAATCCCCGATGGCTCTACAACCAATTGATGGTCGGAAAGGCACGAGGGAGAAGAGTCCGACTCTGCCCGAAAACGTGGAGCAGCAGCCAACCGTGCAGTGCGATTCTTCCTTCCAGACCATGCCGGTGGATTCCGAAAACCAGGCCGAAGGGGAACTTTACCGGATTGGGTTTACCGTCTGTCTGCAAAAGGTCGGGGCAGCGCGACTTTCCTCAGCTGGAGGGTGGACTTGTTCATCTTCCAGGCCTCCCCCTCCTCCAGACCTTACGGAGTATCCATATGTCAGACTCAGAACCACCCTGTGCCAGGTCTTCTCCTTCCATCGTGGGTCAGCATTTCCTTACCAAGTGGGTCATCTCCCTTGAGATCGGGCAGCAAGGTGATTCGTAGGGAGAGGGGGTTTCCTCCTCACCGGTACAGAGCATCTGGTTATACAATAACACTGTATCAGCTCTGACAAGGCTCAGTGGTAAATTATTACCTGCAGTAACTGACTAAACTAGTTATCCTTTACAAGAGTCCTGACTCATCAGCCCTCCCGCGGCCGAAAGAGCGGCTTGCTTTGCTTTGCTCTTGTTGTGTAACTTCCATCACAACCTTAAAGACGTGAATCAATCTTGTTTTCACCTTGACCTGGTCAAAACCACGAGGGCTGGAAGTGGAGCGAAACAAGCAGTGCGCCCCTAATCTAATTCTTCGAGAAGCGTATGGACTTCCAAACTCTGAAGGAGTCACATTACGTCGTCTTCCCACTCTGTCCCTGGTCAGAGATGTCATCGCGAACTGGTTCCCTTTGATCCCGCACTCCGTAGGTACACTGTCCTCCCTCTGGGCCTCTGCAAGCCAGGGAACAGTCAGGATTCGGGCCGACTCCTCCTTTCAATTCGGCATGCCGATGCACATCATCTTTTCCTGCGTTGCAGAATGGGGTATTCTCGGGGCAACCACACCACGCTACGTATTTTTTTTTCCCTGTTCATTTCGCTGTTCAAAGACTTCTAGACCCCGAACCGACGACATGATTCTTTGCCTTCGGCGGAGGACATTGCTCCTGTGTCTCTCAAACGCGTGTCGGGGTCTCGGAGGTGGCCGTGGCTATCGTTCCTTCCAAGGCCGCAATGCTATTTAGCACCGCCACCTCAAACACAAGTAAAACAGCCGTTTGTGTGGCATCACACGACCGACAAGAAAGCCACTTACCATCGGGCCGGTTGGTCGCCTGCTGGTCCGTCCCCTTCATGCCGAATCACGTGGCCCGGCAGCCTTTTGTCTTGCTCTGGCTCCTTCCGGTTTCAAAGTGACTCCGTTGCGCGCGCGCCGCAATAGGAAATTTTGAGACTATACAAGGCTCGAATGCAGGGCTAGTCTATTCGGTATCAACTTTGGATGATTCAAAGCGGCCTGATACGAGCGGGCCTAGGCCGACTGTTGGGCAGCATCGGTGTTTTACAGTCTTCATTCAGTCGGACTTGATTTCTCTTCTAGCGTCCATCTGTGTCCACTTGCAATTCAAACGACACCAGCCACTGGGGTAGGCCGCGTTGTGTCTCGGTCATTGTCTTGGTCAAAGCTCGAACGATTGGTATTGTGGTGACCCTGGCTTGATACCACCTCAATTGTACGGCGTCCTCGGTAAACCTATGTAATACTTGTTGATACACCGAGGGCTTCAGGTACAGACACTGTGGTAAAAGTATCGAACGCAGACCTTTAGAGTTCTTACAATGCCATCCCATCCTCAAACCTATGAGCATTCCTGTCCGGGGAAGCGAATGCCACATACCCAATGCAATCCATGTGTCAACGACTTCCAGATTCACACCCTCAAAACCTGTAATTGAAGCACACCAAACCCGTTCGAACGCTCATCAAGAAAGCCCCGAAGCGGGCGATTCGATGACCCCAGAGAAGCGGGAGATGGTCACATGAGCCGAAACATCCTTCATCCACCTCCATCATAACCACCACCACCATCGCATCTCTCCGAAACTTACCCTAACTCTTTCAAATTAGTATCTCTCTCTCCTCCTCCGCATCCGACGGTCCTTCCGAGAAGAGGCGAAAGTCTTACACACCGCGGGCAGAAACTCAGCAACCTTCCACCCCCCCTCCCCCCCCCTGCCCTAGCTCGTTCTTCGTAGCAATAGTACAGAAAAAGAAAATTCAGACTTTCAACTAGGTAGAACTTGCCTACGGACGAATTAAAATCCTCCCCTCGCAGCCCGACCATTTTGACTTCTTCTGGGTCGGACCTGGGTAGGTTTTCTCGTTCCATATTCAGGTTCGGGGCATTCGAGAAGAATTCTAGAAGGGGTTTAGTTTTAAGGCTTGCGTATCTACGAAAGACTGAAATTGGTTTAGATCGGTAATTTATGCTTTTTCCTTGCTCGGTGTTTTCGTTGCGTGGGTGTGGGTGTTTTACAGGCTAGGCGCGATGCGGTACTTGTGGATTACGTGGTACAACTTGGTACGTACCGACGCGGGGAGGAGGGAACTCAGTACTAGCGGTCTTTACCTATTCGACTTGTATGTATTGTGAATACTGTCTTCTTGGAACCTTGAAACTACAAGTATTGTCCGGATACGGCAGCATTGGAACATCTTTCTGCGTCTTTCTGGTATAGGCCAACGGGAGATGAGATGATGGACTACTACCACTCTGAGTAGGTATGTACATTATCAAAGGTGAAGATTCATTGCATTTGTTTGTGCAGTAGGTAAATCGCGCTGCCTTCTCACTTTGGTACTGTACATAAGTAACTTCAAACATAGTTAGTCAATTGCTTGCTAAGTTACAGGTACATGCTACTGCTGGGTTCGCAGACCGCCCTCAAGCAGTTCCCGCTGTGCTGTGCTTTACTTAGTTTAGCCAACTGTCGGACGTGCATAAGCATGCATGTTGATTGACATGGTGACTTAAACGAGAAGGTCTCTCATCTCGCTAATGTTGCCTCTCGATTAATATAGTGCCACATTAGGAATGAGAGACTTAGAGTAATGCGATATTTGCTTTTTTTCCGGTGTCCAAGCTTCGCAGCCGTAGCGTTGGCGTTCGTCTCACTACCGGTCTGAATGCTGCTATACCTTAGTTAGTCCTATATCGAGATGGGAAGTTGTTGCTTCATAGCACTGATATCATTGCGCCCTTTCATCGCCTTGCAATTAGTTTTTAATCTATTTTCCAAGTGTGGAAGAATACTAAGGCACTATTTTTGATGATGAAAATTGCGTAGTGTGGAAAGATAGTAGCGTCAACGTCAGTTTCTGGGGAGGAATGAAGAGGTGGAGGATGGGAGAGGGGAGAGCGAGAGGGGAAAGACGGAGGACTTTGCTCCGACTAATTCATAGCCCGTGCAACATACAGCGAAGACAGATCCCATTGCTTTTCATTGCTTGCATGATCTGTGCATGTTTGACATTTGTCAACTCTGAACGGAGACCTAGTTAACTATTGAGAGGGTGCGGGCGGCCAGCCTCCTCCCCATTCCTCTCGCGAAGAGGTCTAGGTGCAGTGAAAGGACTATAGACTCGGTGACCGTCCGTCAGATTTGAGGTTTGGCGATATGGTGGATGGTCCAGAATTGTGCATGTTCCCTGATGATTGGTGGTCGCGGGGCTTTTGTTCGGGGAAATCGGATCTCTTCAGCCGTCCATCGCAAGGGACGAACTTTACGGTAGTTTTAGTCTTGGCCCCCCGTGTGCGGCGAAACAAAGTCTATATCAGAACCCTTTTTTATAGGCTATTCACCCCCTCTACCTATGGCTTGTTGGAATCAAACATACGGACCTGAACTGAGGCCGACTCGTTGGCTACGTGTTCAGGACCGAGGACGGGCCAAAGCACACAGTGTGTGGGCGGAGTAATCACGGAGAAATTGACTCCCCAAAACTACAGGCTGACATTTGCCGTCGAAGAGCGGTCTCGACCGTGGCCTTTTCTCTTCATTGTCTTGTCTGATAGATTAAGTAGAGGAAGAAGGAGCTTGCTCGATCGGTTAGCGAACCTCTGATTTGCCTTTTCTTGCTTCCTTGTGGCTGAATTGGTCTCGTTGTCTGTAGAGTCTGGTGACTCGTTTGAATCTGGAGCTCTATATGGATCCAGACGGATGGAGAAAAGAAACGTAGATCAACCGTCTTGGGCTCCATTCAAATCCCGCCCTTTTGCGAATCAACAGTACCAGCTGCCCGTAATCAATCGGCAATATTTGAGTGCGTAGTATATGGCCTGGCCTCGTATCGTTGAGGATTTGGGTATCCACATGGCTGTCAAAACATGTGGTTTTCGTTTACTTCGCCATTGTTGTATGGATGGCGCTTGGGTCAGCTGACTTGGGAACCAGGGCACTTGACTTGCCGGTCGATACTGTGCGTGTCCGTCGGTATCAACCTGTTCCTTATTATTCTCTTTAGTGGGGCCCGATTTTCTCCCGGTATTTACCTAGACCACGACTACTTCCACGTAGTACGTACGGAGTACTATGTTCATCGAGATCGGTCCCGCGAATCATGGTCGAAAAGAGCCCTGTGCGTCTTCCGAGATTGAGGGGGACGGCGGCGGCGGGCGGGGAAAACGAGAGACTGTGAGAATGAGAGCCCTAAAACAGGCACGATGATTTGGCGGGGAGATCTAGAAGGGTGGGGGGGGCCCTTGTAAGGCTTTTACCTTTCCTGCTCTCCCCCCTTTGGAAGCCCCCAGGCTCAGTTTCACCACAGATTGCACTCTCCAGATACCGGATTTCTGGTGTTGTGGCCTCCGATGGTTCGGCCGGTCTCTTGAGTGAAGAATCAGGGATTGCAAGCAGGTGAGGAGGGGCAAAAAGGTCACCTGTCGGTACTTTGGTGAGACGGAAATGCGCCCATGTCGTACCTGCCAATCGAGATTGGAATCTTGAGTGATCTGGAAAGAATTCCAATCCATCGGTACTGTGTTCTTCAGTTTTAGTTGGTTTCCCAAAGTCCGGGTTTGCGTCTGTATTGAAAGTCTCATTTACAGACAGAGGTACATAGGCTGTACGGGGTAAGTCAAGTGTTGCTCGAGCTGGCCTGGCCCTAAGATCTACTCGCCAGTGACTAAAAGAGATGAAAGTCACCGATAAGTCTGACTTGACAAATCTCTTGTACATACTTACAAATGAATTGTTGCACATTCTCTTTTCTATCAATACTCGATCTGCAAAGGCATTGGTCGGGCTGTCAATGTCCACAGCGTTCCCTCGACTCTCATCTTTCATGCCACAAGGCGCCGACTACTTACTGCATATGCAAGCCGGAGAAACCGACTCTCCACCTCCTGCATGCAACGGTGCAGTGAGTTCGGTGCACGGAGTACATACACTCCACCTAAGGCTCGCTTCAGGCGGCAGATAGGGGGGCATAGGGCTCCGTTTTTTGATGTTTTGTGGAGTCAATATAGCATTGCTTGTGGCTTGAAAGCCGTTGCATCTAGACCAAGGCGTCATGGCAGGAAGAGAAAAGCAAAGTGAATCCATTGAAATGGTGGTGGTCAGCCAGCTTATCCCAAACATCCTCATATCTCTTTCATGCAGCGGGAAAATCGAAGCTCTCCATTGAGAATGAAGCATTGCTCACCGTTCCGCCTCCCAAGGTGGGTGACTACAGCACAATCCTGAACGCCATCACATTGCTCAGGGGGCAGCAGCAGGCATCATCTGGACCTTTTCTCCGGACACAATAGAAGGACAACGCACTCATCGATACTGAAGACCACATCCATAACGAATTGCACCCTCTACGTGGCAACGCTCAATGGTACCTTGGAAAGGTGACTGCAAAATTGGCTTTTCTTGGCCTCATAATCATAGTGCTCTCCTCGGACCTATTTCCTGTCCCAATTGAGGCATTCTCTTGCTCGATTGGTGTTGTCTAAGCTTGCGCAACACGTTGCCTGTTCGCATAACGGAGATTTCCCGGAATGAGTGTCGTGGAGAGAAAAGTGCATGGATGGTGCCAATGAATCGCTCCAAGGCAGCAGCAGTTCCTGATCGGTCTCACTTACTCGTGTCCAGCAAGAAACTGAAAATGCTGCAGCGGATTCGCTTCAGACAGATTGATCCACCTCCGCTTATGGAGGACATTTCCCCAGACTTCTTTTCCCCGCGATGCCCGATGATCGTCGCATTCTACCGACAATGTCGATATCGCAGCAGTCGATGAGTATGTCACGGGAGTAGAACAGAGTGTGACTCGAAGATTTCGGCAAGAAGGCAGCCATCACGTGGTCACATACTGTACTCCCTTCGTTATCTCTCCGCTTTCACTCTCCAATCCAAGACAACAGCAACAACCACAATCACAACGCCTCTCAGCGCCTCCCGTCTTCAAACCGGATCAGGTACTCTTTGTGGCTGCAGATTACTGGGCCTCGGGTCTGTTCTTCGTTGGCCAGGACCGGGCGACTCGTCGATCTCCGGGTCACCAGATCTCTGCGTTGGCAGTTCGATCACAGGGAGGAGGTGTGGGTGAGAGAGCCAGCCTTAATCCCCCCCGCGGAATTAATTGACGCGCTGACAAGTCACCTTCCATTTAACGGAGCAGCAGCATTTAATGTTGCTTAGCGACCTTCGCGCCAATCAATACGCCATATGTTATTTCTTTTTCCTACCCCATTCTCGGCTTTCTTCAATCTCACGCGTGATCATTTGGTGCTGCCGCGGACGACAGGATTCCCTTGCTTCTGAATCTTCCACAACTTACGATTCTTTTCAGATTGCTTGGCCTGTGAACTCCGACAGACGAGAATTTCCATCCTCATCCCGTCGACCTGCTTTCCTGACTGATACCATTCGGACCATGAGGTCAGCACGTTCGACACAGACCGTACTATTGCCAACATTGTCCCGCGTCATGAGCCTCTTGTGTCTAGTCCCACAAGGTAACTACGTTAGTAAGTTAGTCTCATCTATACATACCTTAAATAAGTCTCTACTCTTCAATCTAGCCAAGGGCACATCACCCGCCTCAATTTCTAGATTCATTCACCCTGCTTCGGATTTTTATAGGTCCAGGCCTGGTCGATCGGCGTCTATTCCCTGTCGCCCTTCTTCCTCTTCTAGTCCACCAATTCAAGCGTGCTCATTTCCCATGTGCAATGTATCTCCTACCATTATGGAATGCTATGTCATCATGCACGTTTTGGAGAATTCATCTTGCCGCCGATCTTCCACGGATGAAAAGAAGGGAGAACGACTTTAATCGAAAGGTGATGATCCAATTGCTCATCAAACGCTGTCGCCTGCGCTGTCTTTGCGTTTTCCTATCTCGCGGCAGCTTGTTTTTATTTCCACTTTTTGTTTTCGTGTTCTTTTTTCTTTTTTTGTCATTTGTGTTATGTTCCTTGAAGTAAATTCCCCTGGATCCGACATACCGGCCCGCAACTTTTCTGGGTCACACGCCCGTGGGTAACTCTTGTTTTGACATATATGGTAGGGATTTGGTTTTTGATTTTGCTTCTTCTTTTCTTTTCTTTTTTTTTTTCCGCGGTCAATGGCTGAGTTGGCACCCACTCACACGACGAGCCTCAAAGAGCAAATCCAACAGGACCGTAGGGAGAAGAGGTGTAAGCATGTGCTCTGAACATCCTTACAGTGACCAAGGAAACGTCAAGTGTAGAACATTACCCCAAACAGATGCCGGGATCCTCCCCCATCTTTGACATCACATCACACATCATGCCATCCGAGCCCGTAATTGTCAGAGTCTCAATGAAACGCGATGTCTTCCGTCATAGCTTGACATCATCGACCACAAGCTACATCTAGGCCGGTGCACATTTGTCCCTTCTCCAAGCTACCAACGACAAGCTACGATTTCGGGAAAGACGCAACAAGGGGAAGTAGAGTGATCCTGATGTGTCTGCTTGATTGCGTCTCGTTGACTGCTGGAGGCTGGTAGCTTGTATGCAATAATCTTATGTCTGTAAGTGGATGAACTGCACCTGTAACCGACCTACTGGGCTGAGATGGCTGTCATTTCCTCTTTCATGGGTTGTCAAATTGTTCTTTACTTTGCCATGTCTTCTTCTATTCTTTAGTATGTGCTATGTGCCCATTCGTAAGACCGGAGTTGTTTACATTGCGGGGTGAGGGCTGCGATGTGGGTGTTTATGGGACAGATGCGGCAGGGATTCGGCGGGCTGCTGAAGTTCGAAATTCTGGTTATTTCTGATTGCTTTCGTGCTTTCGTTGAGTGCAAAGAAGTACTTGGAGTCAACCATGTAGTTGGTCTGTTGGGGAATATGAGGATTCGTTGTGAAAGGTTGATACAAGGAGAGGGTTGGGGAGGGGGGGGGAAGGTCGGTCAGAGGCTATGAGTCCCAAAACTCAATTGCGAAGTCAATGTTGATGGCTTTGAAAAATATTTTTTATGCATGTATAAAGATTTGTTCACTGCTAATGCAACAATCCCTATTTCATATGGTACATCGAAGATATCAATATTACAAGGTCAGTAGGTAGGTCAAGGGAAAAACACTTGAAAAGAATAGTAGTCATCAATCCGTCAATCCAGACAATCGAGAGTTCACGTTCCCCGCCAGTGTCTGCCACATAGAAGATGGCAGAAAGAGTGGTCTACAGGGCCTTTTCAGAGCGACGTTCCCAGCGCACCATGGCTGGCTTCAACGGACCGGAGAACAAAGTCGAATAGTCTGTTCCCGGGACGCCCTTCTTACCCTCAATGTTCGACAGACGCAGATGGCGCACCATCGTCGCGACGATGGTCGTCAGGTTGAGGTAGGCGAATTTCTCGCCGATACAGCGATGACGGCCGGCACCGAAGGGGAGGTACGGACTCGAAGTGCCTTTGGAGACAGCGCCGTAGCCGTAGTCGACCAGCTCACCACCGTCTTCCTCCTTCTCCACCTGATTGTCCCAGCGGTGCGGATCCCATTTGCTCGCATTAGGGAAATATTCGTCGCTCTGGGCGGTGACACCGGGGGAGGCCATCAGCACATGGCCGGTGGGCACGACAAGGTCCGTACCGGGCACAGGCATGTCGTTCTTGACCTTGCGCATAATCGAGTGAATGGACGAGTGGAGGCGGAGGGTCTCCTTGATGACGCCCTTGTGCAGAGGTAACTTGTCGAGGTCCTCGTACTGCAGCCGCGCGAAGCTTCCGTCGGCTTGACGGCCAAAGGCGGAGACTTGTTCCTGGTAGAGCTCATCCAGATAATGAGGCTCGGAGGCTAGGCGGAGCAGGATCCAGGCGCTGATGGAGGCGCTCGAGTGTTGGCCCGCGAGCAGCAGAGTAATCATGATATGTGCGATCTCGTGGTCCGGCACCGGCTGTCCGTTCTTGTAGGTGCAGTGCATCAAATTCCACATCATGTCCGTTTTCTCCTCGTCGGGGTTCTTGCGGCGCTCGCGCAGGATCTCCGTGTAGATCTCGCGCATGCGTGCATGTGCCACGTCTCGCTTGCGGTTGTGCGGCAAGGGCGCCCACGGCAGCATGAAGTTGATTGGACTGAAGCCCTTCTCGAGGTCGTGATAGAGGTCTGCGAATTCGGAGGTGAGCTTGCTGCGGACCTCCTCTCCTTGCAGGGCGCGCGCCGCGGTATAGATCGTGAGTTCGGACATGGCGGCGGGGACGTCGAAAACCCCAGCGCTGCCCTGGAACCAAGGCGAGGTGCGCAAGAAGTCCAGCGTCTCCTGCTCGATCAATTGTACGTGCGACTCGAGCGCAGTTTGAGTCAGACCGTACTTGACAAACTTCTTTTGTTCCATGAGTTTGGAGTTGGGGCAGTCGTACACCACGTCGGCGCCGAAGACGGGGGTAGTCAGTGGGGAATAGACCTCCTCCGCGTTCGCATCCTTAAGTTTCGCATTCAGGATGAACTCGTTGCCTTGTATACCTAGATATACTGTCGTCTTTTGTCCTAACAGCACAAATGTGAAGATGTCGCCATACTGGTTCCATCGCGAAGGGTCAGCTCACATAGGTGCAGTCTCGTTGCCGCTGGAAAGGCACTGACCTTTTCTCGGTTCGCAAAGAAGAAAGCATAAGGATCCATGCCATAGGTGATGGTGTTTCCTAAGAATGGAATCCAGTGGAAGACCACAGGGGGTTCATTCTTGTTTCGAAAGAGCAATTGGCGCAACACATTCAGCGCAACAATGACCAGAAATCCCGCGGCCGCGTAGGCGCTGGCAACAGCAAAGGATGCCATAATGGCGACGGGAGTCGAGGATGAAAAAGAAATCGGACACAGGAAGAGATGTCTATAGAAGGGTGGAACTCATCATCTGGATGGAGACAAGGAAGAAAGGAAGAAAAGAGAGGAAAGGCCAGGTTTTGGGGGTATCTCCCAATAATAATAATAATATTAGCTCAAGCTGCCAGGCACCAACCCAGCCCCTAATATTGTTGGCGGAGCGAGCATTGTCTGACGAACCACGAAACAAGGTGAGCCGGCATTGCGATGGTCCCTGGGCCGAATCAGACCACTTGGAGTAGGATATTTGGGGATCGAACCATGTAATGCAAGATAGAGAGTAAGGAGCAGCAAAAAGAGTGCCTGGTGAAGCTGGAGAGACTCCACAAGTTGCCCCTTTGAGCGATGCTCGAAGGACGGCCTTCGTATTGAAATACGTGCCGCTATGATTGGTCCATTTCCCGGGAGGGGCAATTCTGGACCACAGTGGGTGCCTGAGGCAGGGACAGCCTCACCACACTGTATGTAGTATGATGTACGGTAGGGTCCAGAGTACGGAGTAACTACACTACTGTGTATGATATGAATCATTCGACTCACACTCTGCGGCAGGCATCACATGAGTCATGGAGCCAAGAGTCATGGCTTTACTGAGAACTACTAGTTAGTTAGTCAACTAGTTAGTTACTCATCGGAATGAGTAATCATGATGATGACGCCGTACTCCACTTGTTTGGGACTAGTGCCTCCCGGAGTTTAATCGCCCCGCATAACCCAGAACTCTTGGTCCAAGACTATACAAGAAGACCACCATCTGAGGCTACACACATTTACAGGCCTTTCAAGCCTTCCCCAACTCCTGTCCTGAAACTCCACGCATATTTCTCAACTGTATCCATGGACACCACACGGTTCGCCGGCTCTGGCGCCGCCAATCCCGGCCAACCTCATCGCCCCATCTCAAAAGCAGAAGCATCCAATCCCAGAGAATTCCAGCTCAATCAGTTACGACGCCGCTTTGGCCCCAAGGAAAGCAGTGATGACACAGGCACGACCCTGACATTCGGGCTTGTCCCCTCCGATCCGGACTTTCCTTTTGAAATGGACAAGCTGCAATGCATTTTACATGTGCCTCGGACTTATCCGACCCAAGCACGTCCATCGATCAAAGTCACCAATCCAGAAATGGGAAGCGCATTTCAAGAGAATGTTGCCAGAGGCTTCGATGACATTGTCGACAGCACCATCAGAAGCGGCAGCCGTGGCACTCTGCTCAACTACATGAACACCCTTGACCGACATCTGGAGCGCCTGCTGACTACCTTGGAACGGGGGCCTACGCTTAAATTTGTGCCTAATACGGCACCCAGCAAGCCATTGCCCACAGAGGTTGAGAAGTTGACACGGGGTGTGGGGTCACTAGCTGTGTCTGCATCGCCTTCGCAGCCTCGGACCCAGGTACTGAAGGCCTCCAAACCTACTCCGGCTCCAACTTACACCGCGGAAGAGAAGGCCCAAGCGGAGAAGCGGAGAGCAACCGAGACGAAACAGCTGGAAGCTCGTCTTGGTAGACTGTCTTCCTTTCAGAAGCTGCACAACGGCCTTGCCTTTCTCATTCCAATTCAACCAGCCAAAGCTGATCGGCTACCCGTGCCTCTCCAGGTAGTGAAGGCTATCAAATTGCAGGTGCCCCAATTGTATCCGCTCGAGCCAAGCGCCATTGAGTTGAACAGCATTGAGGGGCAAGAGGCACGAGCTGTCGAAGCAGGCTTCAGCAAGTGGTTCAAAGCCAACCCCAACATGAACCTGATATCGCAGGTCAATTACCTCACAAGCAACATGCTCAACCTCTCCAAGACTCCGGTAGAGAAGCCTTCCGTTCCTGCTACAGTGCCAACAACCACGGACTCTCAACCAGTCGGAGTAGTAGGTGCTGTAGACCCGCAGGTTCCAGAGTCTGTGGCGACGGACAAGCCCCATGTCCATGTTGTGCCCCGACCTCCAGAATGGAACGTGGGCGGTGACAGCAGTGCTTCTGAGGAGACTGATTTTACCGAATCCGACCAGGAACCTACGGATGATGACGAAGAAGGAGGTGCTCCAGTTCCTGACCTTCCCGAGCCTACCAATGTGGAGCGCGGTGTCGCTCTCTCATTTCCTTTCCTGGAACTGTACGGCATAGAGCTTCTAGAACTCGTCGGTCTCTATATCACCATCAAATGCGACCGATGCAAGGAGCCATTGGATGTGAGAAGCATCCCTCAGATCAAAGATAAGAGCGACGAGCTGTCTCTCAAGGTGGAGACATGCAAGAAGTGTGCAAACACGATGAGCATGGGTAAGAGGATCCTCATCAGAAGGCTATGCTTTGGCCTGAATTGATGCTCATTCCCACGTACAGGATTCCGCCGACAACTGATGCATCCTACCGCTACTCGAGCTGGCTATCTCGACTTGGATGGATGCACTGTAGTCGACCTTCTTCCTAGGTAAGGAATCACTGCCTCAAACGTTGCTTCGTCCTGTTCTGGCCTTTGCAGCATGTAAAACCGGCAGAGAGGTTGTACTAATAGCCGGTGCAGTAGCTTTATTCCCACCTGTGCGGAGTGCTCGACATCCTTCCCTACCCCTGGAGTGGTTGCTGTTCGTGGTGAAAGCGCCACGGCAAACTGCCGGCAATGTCATCGCAAAATGGGTACGTGCATTCATGCGCAGGCTGTCTCCAACCTCTTACGCTAACCTGCACAAGTCCTGAAAATTCCAGAAGTCAAGTTCCTGAAAGTTGGGTCTGCAGCATGTAAGCACCATGGTCCTACGCGTCAAATCGGCTTCTCACTCAAAACACAGTCTCTTCTCGCGATCGTCCCCCTCCCCGAAAGAAGGTCAGCAATTCAAACCAATTTACCTCAAAATCATCATATACTAACAGTACTCCCAGCCCAAGGAAGTCCTCGGCATCGTCGCCGGTCAAGAGCTTCCACGCCGCGGCCGCTGCTCGCATTACGGAAAAAGCTATCGCTGGTTCAGGTATGCCTTTGACCACAGCACCCACTTATCCGCAAATAAGAAGACTCTTAACACATGCCCGGCCTGCAGATTCAGTTGTTGCGCGAAAGTCTTTCCCTGCGATAAGTAAGCACCCGCCCGATTTACTCCTTCCGCACATACATACACTAAACGAATCCCCCAGGTGCCACGACGCAGCCACCGACCACCCGAACGAACATGCAAATCGTATGATATGGTAAGTGCCACTACTATAAGGTAGGACAACATCACGAGCCTATTCTAATCTTGAGAAACAGTGGCTTCTGCTCCCGTGAACAAATTTACCGCCCCGAGAATTGCGGCATCTGCCGTGCCGTTCTGATTGGTAAAGCTGGCAGTGGCTTTTGGGAAGGCGGCAAAGGCACTCGAAATAAAACCTTGATGAGTCGGAAGGGTATGTTTTGTCTTTGCCATCTCTTGCTTCATAGACTTTCTGAGGTGTTATGCTAACGTGGCGTGAATTCGTGGTGAAATAGATCCCCGCAAGTACAAGCGTCGTGGTGGAACGACGCCTGGTGGTTCTTCAAAGAAGACTTGATCATATATGGTTCTGCGTCGTGATTTGCGGCAAGCTGTGGAGAGAGGCCATCAATGAAGCAGTTGCTTGTCAGGCGGGCTGCATTTCGCGCCTTCGACATTTCTGCCTTGTAGTTCTCTCAGAAGTTCTTTCTGTTTCGAAGCATAGAGACGGAGTAAATCCCCGCTTCTCGAACGAACAGAGTCTTCTCATGCTGATGCAGACATTCCGGTCTGGTTGGTTTTCGGTTGGCTACCTCATTGGCATGAGGTCCTTGCAAGGGTTGCTGGTTCACATGGTCACATAGCGTGGCAGGGCATGGCTTAAGAGCCTTGAGACTCGTTTCTCAGAGGATGTGTATATACTGAGCCAATGGTGTGGACGAGATGGACATAGGTCTACCGTGTACATAATGCAGACTACAGTATGTATGATGTGTACTGTAAGTAGGAGTGTGATATTGACCTTCCTAACACGTCATCCATCAATATCTTTGCATCGCAGATGTAGTATACAGGCAGGAATTACAGAAGAACAGAAGGTGCCTGAATTGCAACTGTAGTTCACCTAACTTGGAATCCCTGTGATGCCTCACAACTGTTGCCTATCCTAAACTCACTGCTTGACTTTACTGGCCACATCATCTGCTTCGTATTATCTCCACTGGCCTTCTCATGAAACCACCGCTGCTAAGCATCAAATTCACATCAAGAAGCACTGAGCATAATCCTGAGCACACTAACTAGACTATATACCTAAAAGTGTTATAGTCCACAGCCGCATTCACTGGCGCTCAGATGGATAATCGTATTAGTGTTTTGGCCGTATTGTCGTGCCTGCGTCTTAGGGGGCCCAGTGCCTATCAAGTTGTGCGTATTGTTTGTCGACCATGACAGAGGTATGTGTGTCTCTGTGTCTTTGACTCCAGCTCTTTTGCCTTGTTGTTGTTGTTGCCATCTTCTCTCTGTGCACCTCCTCTTCACACTCTTAATAACCGCAGGTGCTCATGATTTTGTGGGCTTGAACGTCTGGTTCAAGAGGCGTTAGCCACTCACACACGCGTGCATTTCCTTCAGGAACTCAAGGGGATGAAGATCACGAGCTGCTCTGAGTACATTCTCGTTCAAATCAATTGTTGACACCAGAGGCTTTTTGAAGGACATCCTTAGCGAAGCGCGTGAGTCTCACGCAGGCGAGATTCGTCGCGATGGCATGCAGCGGTACGTATAGTATAGTTCTTGTGGATGGAAGACTCTTATGGCGATGGGGATGAAGATGCAACAAACGGCCTGGCTTTCAGTCCTTCTCTTGTCCTTCGACTTTGAAGGTTGCTGTGTAGGCTTCTGACTACGCTTGGTGACGTTTACTTATTCTCTTTTGGTGCTCTTGTTTCACCAATGAGGGATACATTTAGTATGGAAAGACATGGTATTGGATTGTTTTTTCTTTGAGAGGATGAGACCCTCTTGGGACAGAGAGGGAGAGAGAGAAGCATGATCAGTCGAATCAAGGAGAAAACTGACCACACTCTGAACAACAGCAAACAGCATCTATCAGAACAGATCCAGAAACAGACAGCAGAGGCAACGACTGCCTGCTATTCCAGAGATAAACCAGCTCAGAGGACTGACCACTTCTCTGCCGTCCCTTCACCGGATGCTCAGCCACAGAGAGTCAGGCACATTCATACGGACCGTCAGTGCAATCTCAACCCTCCCTTTCTTTTACTCGGCCAAAAAACAACCCAGACTGAGAGAATCCACGGAGTGAATGACTTGCCTTACATTTCTTTCATATCAGGATACGTCACCTACTTACCGTCCTCCGGCCGGCCAGCCCACAGGCAGAAGGCCTCTCCTTCCCCCTCCATACAGCGCCCTTCTTACCGCTGCGAGAGCGGCCAGACCAGCTGCAGTTCCTACTCATCCTCTCCTACAGCAACTTTTGGGCACATCAGCGGCACCGACAAGACTGAGGGCCGACCCCGCTATTCCTGTCATCGTGGTGACCGACCCCGTCGGTGATCAACGCTCCCTGAACAACAGCGACTTTCCTCCTCCCCCTCCTCCAGTGTACTCTCCATCGCAGCGAGTGATCCCTTTTCCCAGGTCATCCCAAGACCATATTGCCGAAGCTTCTCGCATTCTAGGGGGCCTCCGCGCAAGGGCCAACAACCCTTATCTCAGCGACCAGACAGAAGAACCGGCACGACTTCCTCCTCCCCGACCCCAGTTCCTCGAGGTTCCTCAACCCGCGTACCCTCGCCAACAGAATACACAGGCAAGGATGTACTTCAGACATACTATCTCGCCAGGCCCGCAGTCACTCCCCGAAGTCACGACTGAATTCCGAAACCAGCCCGCGCGAAATGCGATGTGTGACGTCTGCGGAGGCCGTAACACGACTGGAATGAGCAGCTGTACGGTCTGTACCTGGCATTGCTGTCATGAATGCACCATCCGAAATGGCCTCCGCCGCTATCACATTGCAGGGGGCGAGGTTCATATAGCGCCTACTACGATGGAGGAGCTGCAACGTACGAGTTTCGGTCCCATCGCAAAAGCCAAGCAGAGAAAGCTGGAGGCAAAGGCAAGAAGACGCCAGCCCATTCGAGGCTCCCGTGAGTCAACTGCCACAATAGAAGCGTCTTCTTCGAACGAAGCAGCAGCCATTGGAGCCGGACAGTACTTGGGAGCGGGTGCAGGCAATGATAGCAACGAGGAAACAGATGGAGAGCATGCCGCCGACGAACTGCCCGAGAATACCGATTCAGGAGAATCAGATGAGACTATTGCACTCATCCCAGCAGAGCAAGGCGAAGACGTGAGCGCAGAGCGTCCCCATATACACGGCCGTAGCCTAGAGCAGCACACTTCGACCACCCCCGCTCGCCCTTTCCGCTCCAACTTAACCTCCATTGTAGCTCGCCGCGGCACAGTGCGCACATTCAACAGCAGGGGTGCAGTTTACACCGAGACAGAGCTCCCTCCCACCAGCAGCCTCCTCGAGCCCACCTCGACCACTGCAACTCATGCATTCCGCTCAAATGCAACACCCACCACCCCTCGTCCTAGCACCACGCGCACATTCACTCGGGGATCAGGACACACTGAGACAGAGCAGAATCCCGCCAGACAACTGCCTACCAGCAGCCCCGGTCCCAATTCGACCACAACGACCGCCGTAGCTCCTCCTCCTGTCCGCTCCGAGACAACCATCGATGCAGCTCGACGTGATTTCGTGCGCACATTCCACGGTGCCCCAATCTACACCGAGGAAGAGTTTGCTAATGCCGCCCAACTCATGACTTTTGCCGGTGCAGCGGCGGCGATGCATAATGATCTTCAAGGTATAGAGCACACGCACAAAATTGCACCCTCGTAATCCTCTTTCTAAACGAAACGAACAAGACTGAAATATTGCAGCTGGACGTACACCTGACAACGAGCATATCTGGGAGACTGCGCGTGCAGAGGCCGCGGCGGAAATTGACAAGTACAAAACGGAGCATGGACTGGACGTACCTGGGGGACTGATGGCGTTGGGTGAGCATGAGCATGAGCACCATCGCCATCATCATCATCAGAGACCCTCCAATCATCGTACTGGCCATGCCGTTCATGCTGAAACGGAAGAGACTACAGCTCCCTTGTTCCGCACGTCTGGTAATAATCACTTGGTATAGATGCTGATACTAAAGCCCAACCAGCAAATATGCGTTCCGCACGTCCTCAACGCCAGTAGTCGAGGTTACAGTCGGAGTTGAGTATCCTTTTGGATATGTTTTCTCTGATGATCGAAAAATGCGGGCTGGATTGTCTGGAACATTGCGGACATGGACTTGTGTTTCGACGTAGCTGCACAGTGGCTTGGTCAAGCAGCGCGAGCACATAGTGTTTGCGGAAGGGTTCCAGATTCTGACAAATGTGCTTACACTGGTGTGACGGGCTTGGTATACTCTGCTCGCGCCCAATCGTTCCACCCACCCATATGCCACTCGTCTTGCCAGTGCACTTCCTCTCATTCTACACAGCTTAGATTGGAACCACGCATTCTAAGAGACGTCTGTCAGATAGCTTGATAAATGCAATGTTTAGTGTACAGAAAATGAAAATAACAACACAGTACAGATCCGAAAAGTAGAGAGGATGGTGGATTATAGATCAGAATACAAGAAACAAATCGAGGAACCAGCCCTAGCCATATAACCGCAGTGGCAGAGTTGGGGGGGTTGCCCCATACATATGCATGTCTTTCGTCAAACAAATTCCCCGGACCACGTATCTTTAAGGGGTCACCGGGGGCAGGGGCTTTTTCGACGCTTTGGCAACTTTAGTAGCAAGAGCAGCCGGTGGCGGAATCTTCGCTAACTGTGCTGCCTTTGCAGCCTGGAGCAGCTTGTAAGTCCGAGTTGGGCGCCAAACACGGCTGCCCAGAACAAGAACCCAAGTGAGCAGGAGGAGACTTCCTGCCTGATGAGCCGAGGCCAGGGGAGTAGGGACCAGGTAAAGCAGGGTCGAGATACCGAGACCGACTTGGCAGCAGGCCAAAGCCACCACGCCGTGCACGCCTCTCTTAGCCGCGCGGCCCAAGGTCCACTTCACGTGGGCCCTCTTGCTGTAGGCCCACAGGGCCATGATGCTGGTGAAGGTAGTCAGCGCAAGAATGCGGTGGTCCAGCTGGACCAATGATGGGTTCTCCAGCATGTTGCGCCACCAGAGATCCGAGCGGTCTTCGCGCTGAGAGTAGCGCGGGTCCAGAAGCTCAGCCTTGGGAGGCGTGAGTCCGTTGCCCATGTAGGGGAATTCGTTGTAGATGAGACCGGCGTCCAGACCGGCGACGAGAGCACCAGACATGGCGGTAACAAAGACCAGAGCAGCCAACCCGGCCACGGAGCGGCGGAAGAATTTCAGGACGGGTCTATGGAGTCTTTTGAGTTCCTTTACACCCTTGATCGGATCGGCAAGAAGTCGGTGAGAGCGCAGGATAGCAAGACCATTCCAAAGCATAGCAGTGTAGCAGACAAAGGCAGCGCCAAGGTGCGCGGTGAGGCGATACTGGCTGACACGAGGGTGGCTGCCGGGGGCAAAGAGATCTTCCTTGAGTCCAGACGCAACCATCCACCACCCGATGAATCCTTGGAAACCGATCAAGCCTGCAATACCAGCAAGGCGCAAGGTCATCGGCTTGCTAACCTTCTTCCTCGCAACAAAATAGATAGCCGGGAGCACGAACGACAGACCGACAAAACGACCCCAGAGACGGTGGATCCATTCCATGTAGTAGATCGACTTGAATTCGGAGAGCGTCATGTTCGGGTTCAGAAGTTGGAATTCCGGGGAGGCGCGGTACTTGGAGAATTCGGACTCCCAGTCTTCGTCGTTCATGGGAGGAATAGATCCGGTGACGGGACGCCATTCTGTGATACTCAGACTATACCCCAAGTCAGCGAGAGCTCCCCAACTCAATCATCGAGAGACCCAAGTACCCTGATTCTGTCAAGCGGGTAAGACCTCCGAAAACGACAATGCCAAAGACGCTAGCAGCACTGGCCAACAGCCAGTAGGCTACCTTTTTATCCGTGAGATCGGGAAAGAACCGTTTCGCTTCTGGCTTAGATGCTGCTGCTGCAGCCTGAGCAGACTTGGCGGGCTTCGGAGAATTGGCGGCCTTGGGAGTCTGGGCAGGCTTGGGAGGATTGGCCGGCTTGGGGGACTTGGAGGCCTTGGAGGCATAGCTTCTTAGAGTAGAAGCAAAAGCGCTTCTAGCTCTGGCGCGCAGTGAAATTGTGTTGACGGCATTGCCCGGCGCAAAGAAAGGCTTGCGGAAAGCGGAGGTGGATGCATAGGTTTGAGTTCGGATGATGCATGGGCGGCAGGTGAAGAATTCCCTTGATAGTCGCGGGGCGTGGCTCCGCAGTAAAGGAGCGGAGGGCCCCAGAAGCACCATGTTGCCGGTCGTTGAGAGCGATTGGGAGCTGATATGAAAGAGTGTTGCTGGAAAGTCGAGGCCGATCAAAAGATCTTCGGAAGGCGGAGGCGGAGCCGCCGAGAGGGACCGTCCAATCATATTCTGAGGATTAGATGCAGGCTATCAGCCCATACTTCCAGGGTAAATGTAAACTACCTACACATATATGGGCTGATATGTGTCTCAATCAACAAATTGACATCACTGGCACCCGTAGCTTGATGCATTCTATTCTTTTTTACCGTTAAGCGAAGGGATTCAGGCATGTATTGTGGGATTGTGAGAAAAGGTATAGAGTTGTGTTTTACCCTCAGGCACCACAACCCGGACCCTGTCGGGTACATCCATGTATCTTTGAACCATCAGCAACAATCAATCGCATCACAGTATAGCTACCACTATCAATCGCATCGCAGTATAGTTACCACTCTATTAGTCTCACATGACTTTACTATAGGGATCATCAGAAAGCCATATCCTCGCCCTTGACAGTAATGAATCGACCCCCCACAGAATCTCTCGTTGCGCCATCGATCTATGTAGACAGCACGTTAGCAGCGCCACAACAGACCCTGAAAATGATTACAATCACATACCAGCTTGGCAATCCCACTAGCACAATCATCAACCTCACTAAAAGCAGACTCCAACCCAATACTTTTAGCGGCCGCGTTACCCATCGCAGTCTTGACGAACCTGAATGAAACAAGTCAACAACCATGTCAGCAAACCACGCGTTCATAAACCATCATCCATTCCACCTCATCTGATATGGAAAAAGCAGTCCACTCACCCTGGATGAACCATAAAGCTCACCCATCTCTCATTCTCCACATGAATTTTCCTTGTGATCCAATTCGCCGCGGCTTTACTGGCGCCATAACCCCCACCAGGAAAGTACTCCTCCGCCAGCCCCGCGATGCTGCCCAAGAAACTGCTGATCGTCACGAACTTTGGCTGCTGCTGCGGACTCCTGCCCAGAGGTTTGAACGCTGCTTGGAAGAGCCGGATCAGGCCGACGGTGTTGACGTCCAGGTGGCGCTGGACTTTGTGCAGCGGGACGTCCTCGAGCCGGTAGTCGTCGTCGTAGTAGCCCGCATTAGCAACCACGACGTCGAGGTGGTCGATGTTTTCCTTTTCCTGGAGGTGCTGAATGGCTTTGTGGGCGTCGGTGTCGGACTCAGCGTCAATCTTGACGACGATGAGCCGGGAGCCTTCGCCGGCTGCGAGGGTGAGGAGAGCCTGCGCGGTATCCGCAGACGGGTCGCGGACGGCGGCGATGATGGTGCAATTGGGCCGGGATATGAGGAGCTTGACGAGGCCGTGACCGATTCCTGTTGGTGTTTCCAGTTGCACGTATTTAGTATAAACGGGAGGCAGTGTGCGTAGATTGCAAGGTGCTGGACACTGCTCTCAAGGGGGAAAGAGGGCTTGTTGTTATGGGCGTACCTCGACTTGCTCCAGTTATCAGGTAGATAGTTGAACTCATAATGATGAATGGGGTCTCATGCGGTTAGGTTCTTCAGTGATGTAAGATCATCTGCTGTGTGAAGAGAATTATATTCGCATGATGGAACATACGCTTATGGTTTATATACTTCTAAATCTCATCCGACTAGGTTCCTTGTGGTTAGGTTGTTTTTAGATAAGCCGCGAATTCGTGCCCGCTGGAAGTTGATAGTCTCCACATATGGTGAGGCTGACCACCGAGACACCTGTCAGCTCTCACTATGAGTTTGATGAATATCCCCTACAAAAAACTCCAGAGTCAAGATATTCTCACACGACTTGTTCCCACTCAGATGCATTACAAGAGAATCATTGACGGAATCCATGAGTGGCCATAACATTTTTGTCTGTACATGCCACGACGCCAAGTGCGAATCCCTAAATCAACCCGGCACTTTTTATTCCTAGAGCGTCATTCATACTGAATCATGACTGAATTAAGGTCCCAAGAGAGAGGGGCACAAAAGAACGCAATGAGATGTTGAAAGAATGAAAATTTTGATCAATATAGGTTCACATTTGAGATTGACGCTTAGGTCTAATGTTGATTGGGAGAACCAGATATGTGCAGAAGAGACGAAGTGAAAGAGCAACGGAAGAAACCTACTCCCAAACGTTGGAGAACAGATCGTCAGCCCCGCCAAACCCGCCAGCCGGTTTGGATGAAGTGGACGTATTATGTGTGCTATTAGAGGTAGCGGTAGTCGAGGAAATTGGTGCCGCACTGGTCCAGCCGCCGAAGTCCTCATCAGCTGCAACGGCTGGGGTTGGCTTGGAGATAGCGGCCGGCGACGTAGGCGCACCCCAGCCACCACCGACGTCGTTGGCAGTAAGGGTGTCAGGGATCTTCATCATCGACGATGCAGCTGACGGTGCTGGAGCAGAAGCAGGCGTACTCCAAGCATTGCCTCCCCAAGGATCAATACTGGATGGAGGAAGCGCGCTAGCAACGGATGCCGTTGGGGTCGAGAAAGCCGGTTTCGGTGCTAGGGCGGGCGCGGGCGCGGGTGTAAGGTTAAATGCAGACTTCAATTCCTGTTGCGGATTGGTGGCAGACACTGGAGGCGGAGAGGTAGCAGCCTTGGAAGGCGTAGAAGAGAATCCGAGCAAATCGTTCGAGAATGAGGACGATGGGGGATTGGGCTTAGAGTGAGCAGCGGAAGCAAAGCCGCCAAATCCCGAGTCAAAACCACTAGACGAAAGAGATGCGTTCCGGGACTGGGGCTTCGCTGGTGGAAGAGTAGGGGAGGTGAGGCTGTCAAAGAGGCTGCCGCCTCCACCGGTACCGATGGAGAGCGCTGGTGAAGAGACCTTCGGAGCTGCTGGGGTTGACTTCATGCTGGCGAAGTTTGTGAGGTTGGCAAATGGCGAAGGCTTCTCGGCCGACTTGGTAGGCGGAGGAGAAGTGGTAGAGGGGATGCTCAGCCCGCTGAAAGCATCAGTCAAACCGCCAAAGCCGGAAGACGATGCAGACTGTGGCGGCGGAGAAGCTAAATCTCCAAAAGAGGAGGTACGCTCATGCTGCATCGCGGCAGGCGATGGCTTGGAGTAAAGAGATAGGATGGATTGCTTGAGGTCAGGTCGAGACATGCCGGCCGAACCAGTAGGGGTGGAGGCAATGCTGGCAGGACGGCTAGCTGGAGCAGGTTGAGTGCTGCCAAAGAAATCGAGTCCCAACAACGAATCTCCAGGGCGAGCGGCAGGCTTAGCAGGAGGCGCGGACTGTGGTTGCTTAGGGGCCACCCTAGTGGCAGGCTCCGTTGTACTGGGGCGTGCCGGGGGAGAGATATCGTCACCGAAGAGGTCGATGGAAGCTTGAGGACGATGATGAACCGGAGGCTGACTAGTGGTCGCCACGCGCTGAGATGCGGAGCGCTCAAGCTTGGCTTTTTCTTGAACAACTGCGAGGGGCTGATGCATGCTAGAGTCAGCTATCACCGGATATATGGAATGATATATTGTTCAACACTTACCACATCATCATCACCATCACTCAATGTCGACGGATCGGGCATTGGACCGTCCATGACCCATCTCTTCGACTCATACTTGGTTCTGATGAAGTTCTCTATCTTCCTGTCAAGAATAAAAATCGTTAGATACAATCGTCGCGAACCTTTGGGTGATGCGCTTACGCTTCGGACGGGACGTGGCCGGGCGCCAACTTGGCTTCCCAATATCTGTCGATTACAATCAGCTGCAAGATCACTCAAGGCCAATCCCGGCTCGCAGGAACACAAACTTGTTTGCCCTAGCATTGCCCCATTTCACAACGCTCTGAAGTTGTTCATCCGTCCATGCATCAAGGTCGACGGATTTAACCCGACTGATATGGGTACCCATGCCCCGGTGAATGCCCGAGCAACGGATACAAATGAAGATGCCCAGGTTCCATGATGCCCATCGCGGATCTATGAGAGGCATATGTTAGCAGGGTCCAGGCAATTTCAGGTTCCCTAGCATTGGTGAAATGGTGCTGGTTGAAGAGAAGAAAAAGAGCGGTGATCCCAAAAGTTCCGGGGGTGGTCACTTACGCTTGTTGCGCTTGCAGTCGGCACACGTCTTGTTTTGTTCAAGTTTTAGCAGGCTCTTGATAATCTGCTGATTTTGAGCAGCCTGAGACGGCGTGGCGCGTCGAGACATCACAGCGAGATTCGCGATACCAGTCGAGAAGCCGGGGTCAAGTGACAGAACTCGCTAAAGGAGATATGAAAGGGGAGTTGATTCAGGGACGTCAATCAGCACCAAGTGGCGGGATCCGGTGGGCTGCTTTCGGCCTAAGGCATAAAGGCGGTAAGCCCCCGGTTTCGGCCATCCGCACGTGCCCGAGATGCTCGCGATCAATCTGCGGTCACATGACAGGTAGATCGACGGCAGGACTCGGCGCATTACAAGGTGCCATATTTGGTCCATTGCATCGGGTGGCTATTTACATCAATGTAGCAGAACAAAAGTGAACGTTCGATTACAGAGAGGACTAGAACAGACAAAAAGAAGGCGATACTGATACTACATAATTCACTAATTAACTTGACAGAAGTCTCTGTGGCTGATTACTCAATCAATAGCTTTGCGGTCAACCTGAAACCCCTGACAGAAGTGTATGTCTTTTGTTAAATGGCTAGTTACAACAAGCGGGGGAAAGGTTCGACTCGAATTTGCTATCTATCTGGTCCGAATCCGTAGCTGATAGCAATCACTCCAGACTTTCATCACCCACGCACCTCGCCAGTGGATATGTCTCGCCCGAGCAAGTGGTCACCACTCCCTTAACCCAAGATAGCGTTCCCCCCTCAAGGTTGAAGCTCGCATCATTGAATGAATCTGCCTGGTAGTACTCGAATTTGCCACTTCCCGGCTGACCAGTGAAGACATAGCCTCTCTTCCGATGGGTCAAGGGGTTGCTCACAATCGCTCCCCACTTGTTCGCCGGGATGGTCATGGTAACCGTACCGGTTACCGTGCTGGTTGTTGTCTCTTGGTAGCTGATGCTGGTGGAGATAGACAGAAAATCCTTAACCAGGGTGAGGTCGGCAGAGACGCCGGTAGTGATGCTGTTGGCGATCGATTGGCCGGCTGCAATGGCAACGGTGGCGGCGGCTTGATTGGCGTGCACGATGGTTGACATGGCCACGTCCCAGCCGAGGAAGTCGAGGTCAGGAAGTGGAATGATCAGCTCAGCACTGGATCCCCGCTTGGTGAGGTTGGATGGGAAGGCATTCGAATTAATCAGCCGCGGAAGAGTGTTTTTGGCTGCTTCCGGCGAGAGGTAGTCAAGGCCTTGTAGGTGCGAGGCCAGGTCAGCTTTGCGGACAGTAGTGGTGGTGCCATTGTTCAGGAACAGCACTGCCTCATCGGGGCCACAAGAAGCCGGCTGGGAGGGGTTGGCTGTCGCAAGGCATAGTGCCGCTGAAAAGAGTGGAAAGAGAGGGACAATTCTCATGATTGACAGAAAGACTGAGTAGGAGACCGGCGGTGTTGTGCTATTTGAGATCCAGAGTCGAGCCATGAAGACTTGCCGTCTTCATATGAGTGCGCATTGGATTACCCTTATCCCTACTGCGATTGTCAACGCTCGCAGGAAGAGTGATTTGACCATCGATAACGTTAGTTATCGTCAACTATGATCTCTAAACCAGATCAGCCCGAGGTGAAACCTCCGAGGAAGGGCCAAAGAAACCAAGGATCGACGGCCGTGGGATGCGGAAGGTAAATTGAAGTATAGCCTCAGACAACTGCATGGAAACTACACGAACCGCTCCCGGGCCCACTCAGCGAACCTTAATAGATGAGTTTGTTTCTCCGCCTCTTCAACGGCTCAGGGGACATCGGGCCTAATTGTTCATCCCAATGCGGCCGCAGAACTGATCGTCGGCCTGGGCTCAAGCTGAGACGCAGACGACCCATGCTGAGGTATACTTAGCCACAGGCTGGGCGACGGCCAGCTGAGACTTGATCTATCAAAGATGCCGAACTGCTATGAATGTTCCCCGTTGCCTACCACGAGGCTATGTTCAAGGATATTGCGATCATCGTTGGTCGTCAGGTAAGAGGACCTTGGCGTACAGCCTCACTATTGACTATCGAAGGGCGTGTGTGTTGAGTGGATGCAAATCAATTTGCGGAGGAACATCGGGACATTAGACCATGGCGAACTATCGATGAGCTCGACTTTGTAATTGCATCGAGGGGTAGGTGAGGTAGTGAAAGGACATCACAACCATATATTGCGCGATACCCTAGGCATACCAGTTGCAGACCGCGACAGGAATTCCAGTTGTCAGATACCTTATTACACGCCTCCTTGCCATTCAAGTCTCAAGCATCTTTTCCAAAATTCTCATCCTCAGAGAACCAATGCAGCAATTTATGACTCTGATCGTGGCTATCCTGGCCGGTGGGCAAGCACATCTTGAAACCCCGTCTGTCCAGTTAAGCATCACTGACTCTCAACCAGAGCCGTGGCCGATTTGCACTACACAGGACTTTGCTACGACTCTCCAGGCCAGGACGTGGTAAGTCAAACACATGCTCCAATAGGGACAACCCCTTGAGCTACAAGTCACTGATACGGTCTACAACAACACAGAAAGTATTCAACAAGGCCGCTACAGAGAAGGCCTGCACATACTACAAGAACCGCAACACAGGCAGCAAGCAATGGGATCAATGCCCCGACTGCACCCTGTTGAACGACCAGAGCCTGTTGTACTACTGCAAGTCCGAGGGCCAGCACATTGGGGGCGATGAATTGTTCTATTACTGTGGTCTCGCCGGAGCAGCCGGCAGTCTAGCCTGGTAGATCATGTATTTATTTTATAATTTGTGTTCAACATTCGGCATCATTCCTTATCCAAGAGACAGGTAGATAGGAACACCGCACAACTAACACTGTCAGAACAACTCCAAATGGAAACATATCCTCATGTAATGCACCTGCCACACCCCCCGGGCCCCCCAATTTACTCAAGAAATCCTCAGTCCCCATCTCAGCTGAACCAACCCAACCTCACTCTCCAAAGACACACGCCTTCAGTCTCCCCAAACACCCCCTCACATGCACATAGTATACCCCTCTTTCACCTCTTCATTTCTTCTCCTGATCTTCCGCAAACCTCAAACTTACACTATTAACACAATGCCTCTCATCCGTGGGCGTCGGATACCCTTCGCCCTTGAACACATGCCCCAAATGTCCGCCACAGTTACTGCACACAATCTCCGTGCGCTGCATGCCAAACGACCGATCGGTGTGTCGCGTCACAGCTCCCGGCAGAGAATCAAAGTACGCGGGCCATCCGCACCCGGACTTAAACTTGTGGGTCGCCTTGTAGAGCGGCGCATCGCAGCCCGCGCAGTGGTAGATCCCCTCCGTCGCGAAATGCTGGTCGTATTCGCCGGTGCCGGGCCGTTCGGTGCCCTTTTCGCGGAGGATGCGGAATTGTTCTAAAGCGTGAAAAGTTCAGTTAAGGATCTGAGGGTTTAAGGAGAAGAGGAAGGTTGCTCGTGGATGGAGTGTGAGGGTGTACGGCTAAGGGGAGGTTGAATGGCGAGCTTACCTGGGCTTAAAACGGCGCGCCATGCATCGTCACTGCGTTGGTCGGGGTAAGACATGCTGGCGCTGTGGTCGAATTTGCTGCTGCTAGTGAAGAAAGAGTTGAGAAAGGGGAGCGCAGGAGCGGCTTGAAGGGTTCGGGAGCCGGAAATAGGAAGGGGAATGGAGCGAGAGAAAGATGAAGATGATGGGGGGTGGGCGCCGCGAAGGAGGGGAAGGTTGAAGTTGCGGAGAAAATTGGCCAGACGCTGGAATCGCATCAGGATTGGCTCAAGTGGCGCGATGGGGAAGCGGGTCGATGCTCTTGCTTGTGACTCCGTTTGTGTACTTGCTTATCGCGGTATCAGGTTGTTGAGAAGGAAAGAGAAGAAGTGCGATTCCATGCATCTTTGAGCTGTAAGTATGTTCGCCGCGGTCTCCGGTGAGTTTGCCGCAGCTTTTACGTCATCCGCGCCGAGTGGAGTAGTTAACTAAATGATTCATACGACTTCTGGAGACGAACTACACTTGGTATCATGGATGTTGGTTGTCCTATCTCGAGTGGTATCTCCAGCTATTTCAAATTCTTAAGTCGAACATCTAATATCTCGCCCATAACGCCATCCGTCCTGTAGATCCAAGCGCCAATAGATGAATCACCCCGGGGTATCTCCGCAAGAGCCAAAACATAGCAATCCCAGACGAAAATTTATCAACGTTGTCTCATGACTCCAACGACCGTAAGCGCGCCCTCGCCCACCTCCACCTTCCAGCCGTCACGAATCAGCATCTTGCCAACGGCTGGGCCTAGACGGGATGTCCCATCATGGCTGTGCCGGCCTTTTCCAGTGACGATGTGGAAGCCGCCCTGAGTCCGTTCGTATCTCGACCCTCCCATGAGCTTGGCATCACCTAGTGATTCCCACCAGGCCGAGACCCGCTCCCGACTGATACGGACGGCATCTTGTACAGACACCCCGTGAAGGTCAAGCCTGTTTGGCGTAGACTGCTGCTCGACAAGAGCGTCCGCCGCCGCAGCAGCATTACGCTTCGCCAATTCGAGTTGATCTCGGCCGACAGAAGAGTAGTACGCAGCGGCTCCCCCCATCAAACGGTCAGACTTGCCACGCTTATACGCGGTTGACGCTTTGGAAAACGCCTCGGCTCCCGCCGCGAAATGGACGTCTGCTGCGCTTCTCACGTTTTCCAGGTTATGAGCGAAGCGCGGTCCGAGATGGCGGGGTTCAGCCACTTCATCTTCGTCATCCAGAGGAGGCAGGGTCGACGTAATCTTGATCATTTCGGTAAGAGAGGGCTGGGACATTGTTGGAACAGTGACCATGACCTCGGCAAGCTCCTTTGCCGCAGAAGGGATTTGTCGCGTGATTATCAGTAATCCCACAGATGTGTCTTTCGTTATCTCAGGGTACTGCTGTCTGATTTCAGACACCTGGGAAGCCATTAATTCGTCCTTCGTGACAAGTTCTTTGTTCTCGGCAGCATGTGCATCCGCGAGACCCCGTATCGTGATTGGCAGCGAAGCCCCGTTGGCATGGTACGCTGATCGTATCTTTTCCTTGGGGAGGACCGCAGATGTTAGCGAGAATATGAAATCGACGTCTTTCTCCGCAGTCGCCCAGATGTTTGAGGCAGGAGCTGGGGAGAGGGGTTCAGCGTAATCAGAAAACCGAGCATTCTGATCTCGTGCAAGAGCCTTCCCCTTCGCTTTGCGCCTGCGTCCTTTCTTCCTGACGGTATCGGCACCATGAAAGCCATCCACGCCCTTCGGAACGGCAAACATGACGCCATCTTCATCGGGAATCTGCTCATCGAAGAACACGTAGTTCAGAAGCTCATCCATAGCGCGGTCAACATCCCCACCGGCCTTGTGCAAGGTGTGCTTGATGGTAAACCGATCCGTTGATCGGAACATTTCCGACAGACAACCGATCTTGTCCTCCTCGTTGAACCCGTGGAGCGCGAGGGTTCCATCCGAGCGGACGATGTACGACACATGGTTTTTCCGCCCATTAGCGCTGGCCTCCCCAAGATTGAATCCAGACATGCCAGAAGTCAGGCTGGTGAGATCGGTTTCGCGCGAGGGCACCGTATCGGTGTGTGATGGCGTGTTCTCGCACATCCCATCAGTGTTACTATCGAGGCTCAAACCACTGGTCCCAGAAGGGTCAAAAGGCAAATCCTCCTGCTCCCAAGCGGACAACCGCAGTTCATCCAGTGTCGCACGAAAAAGCTCGACCTGTGCTTGATCGGTAAGGTCATAATCCAATACAATCGCCGCAAGTAAAGCGGGATCTAGAGGAGGGCAGTATGTTTTCTCAAACTCCTGGAGACCAGCCAGTTAAACATTAGCTGGTTGAACATGATGGTCACCACAAACGTAACCACAAATGTAGACGTGGGGCTAATGGTAGATAGATATGCGTCTCGGCGGTGGTTTTTACCTGTAGAGGGCTATCACTTTGGTCTGCCATGTTTACCGAGTATCGAACACAAGCAGGCTTCCATTGACGTCTTTCAATGCATTTGTCTATGTGCACAAATCCAAGCTGCTAATTTTGATCAGATCGCAGGTCACGACGCCGACAGTGTGTCGCGGGGCGCCGGAACAGTGATGACATAAGCAACTGTTTGACATCATGGTTCTTTCCGTCTCCGTCACTAGGCTTATCGTGAATCACGTGGTATTGAACCGAGGTTGCGGCAGGTGCTTACTCCGCAAGCCCTGCCCATACAAAATCTCGCATGGCTGGCTTACAGCTGCATAGACAGACTTTTGAGCCTCACCACTAGTTCAAAATAAAATACGACCCGCATGCGCGAATACTCGTAAAGGAGCTTCAAGGCAGCAGTAGCGCAAGCGAAACTATTTTTAAATAGTATGTGCATTTCAGAGCCTCCAAGTGACAGATATATCTGGTATAGTCTAATTATCGTTATAGCATGTTTTATTCAACTCATTTATACTTGGCCATGAACTCCGAGTGAAACTTCACGATCCGCTGAGCCCAGTCCGTTCCAGGAGCCAAGAATGTCGTACGGAAGTGCAGGGTACCCTCCTTCTGTCCAAAACCGGAGCCAGGGACCACACAGATACCGGTAGCATCAAGAAGTCGCAGGCAGTAAAATTCGTCTGCGGCCCGGTTTTCAGCAGCGGCAGCCTCAATAGCCTTGGTGGGGAGGTTGATGGTTGGGAAAAGGTACATAGCGCCCTGTAGTTTGGTTAATTAACATTCGTGATCTGTAGCTGAAGGGGCAAATGCTCACCTGAGGTTCTTGGCACTCGACGCCCTCCATCTCCTGGAACGCTTCGTAAAGAGCCATAGCACGGCTTCTCAGGCCATCCTTAATGCCGTTGTATTCCTTCTGGTACAAATCGTAACTGGGCTCTCCCTCCTTGGGAGGGTTCACCATCAATTCAACCAGGCACTGACCAATGACTGGTGGACATAGCATAATGCTAACATATTTGTAGATCTGGGCTGCGACTTCGGGGTCGAAACCGACGAGCTCAAAGTAGCCACCGCGGTGACCGCACTCGCCGACCATACCCTTGGAGACACTGTGCAGGGAGACCAGCTCCACGTTGTCGTACTTGCCGGGTGTTTCCTGCTGTAGCTGACGAAGTCCCTTCTTAAAAGAGATGAATTCGCCTGCAAAAACATTGGTCTGATATACCTCATCGGCAATGACCACCAGTCTCTCCTCAGCGGCAACTTCAAGAACACCCTTAATATCTTCAGCACTGAGAGAAGCACCGGTAGGGTTACCGGGGTTGATAACAACAATGGCACGAACGTCGGTGCCAGCAGCCTTAGCCTTTGACAAGTTCTCTTTGATGGCATTCACATCAGTACCCCAAGCCTTATGTTCATCCAGTAGGTAAGGAACACACTGTGCGTCCAGAAGAGACAGTGTTGCAGTGTAAAGGGGGTACTGAGGGATCGGGACAAGCACTCCGGCGGAGGGACCATCGCAGATAATGTTCAAGACAGTGCTCACACCAGACGAAGCACCAGCGGTCAAGTATAGATCCTGGGGGTTGGCAGGGAACCCATCACGCTGCTCAATGAACTTGGCCACACTGTCCCGGATAAGCGGTGCACCTTGGCTGTGACTATAGGCACCAACACTTTGAACATCCGCAAGCAGCGCCTTCGCACGGTCGATGACGTCTTGTGGGTAGCCAAATGTGGTCCGAAGAGACTCGGGGTTTTCCAGCAACACGGGGTTTTCGAGAAGACTCAAAACTTGTCGGAAGTAGCTGATGGGCTTCTGGTCCAACTGCTGAGGGTTGCCAATATTGGCGAAGATGACGCTGTCAAAGGGCAGAGACTTATCCCCCTGAGCCAGTCTCACGCGGTATTCCTCTGCCTTGGTAGCGATCTCACCGCGAACGGCATATTTGGCAGCCTTGACGTGGGGGTTGATGTTGTCCAAGGTCAAACGACGGGGGGCGACGGCGGTCAGAGTGCGTCGGGTGGTATAAGCCACGGTCGTCTGAGTCTGCATGGTCGAGTCTGTGAATATGGCAGAATGTGATTAGCTATGGTGGTATGAGAATTGATTTATGTGAATCAAGTGGTTCATCTGCCGGAGGCGATATGCCCTTCCATTTGTATACTGGGGAGGACGAAACCCAGCACATATACACCATCGAGTCATATATGTCACGGGATATGCAAAACGTGGGCGACTGACAAGATCCGAAGATCGGGGGACAGTAGTCAGGGGACCGGTGTGAGGGGTAGGTACAGTAATATCGCGCAATGCAGTCGGCAGCCAACGCCGACCATGCCCAATAATAGGGACCGCGCGGAGGGGACCACCGTCTGGAGAACCAACAGGTGTAAAACAAGTAACGACTCACCCGAGGAGACTCTGGGGATCCCCGCGGGTAGGCTTACCCGCGAAGAGAAATGGCGCGGGGCCTGTTGATGGCACGACAGCAAGGCACCACTCGGCCGGGAAACCGAGCATCGTAGCGGAGTTGCCCGCAAGTGCGAGGCAAGCCTAAATTGCCAGCTCATAATCGGATCTCAATTCGCTCGATTCACACGGCAAGCGACCGATTGCACACCTAGATGTGCCTCTCCACTGAGGTTCGGGTGAGCTTGTAATGGACTGCGGAAATGAGTCAGGGCCTACTAAGGTCCAGAGAAAGAAGAAGACAGAGTCGTAGTCTTGACTGACAGGGGGACTAAGAATCACAACAAATTCCAGAATTCAGCACCCCAAGCAAGAAAAAAAATGCGATGAGATTCTCCCAGGCGGTGAAGAGTTGGGAGCCCATTATCGATGAGTCAGCTACCTTATCTGAGATCTCTTGGTCTCCACTCTCTACTCGGAAGAACCAGATAGGAAAACTGAGAACACGGAGTTGTTGTTATGTTGTGATGGATGGGTGGATGGACAGGAGGAAGTTATAATTAGTATGATCTATGCTGTCTCTGAGATTGAGTACGGAGTAGTGTAGGTACTAGACGTTAGTGTCACGGTTCCGCAGACTAACAGCGAATCCCTGCCAGACAAGAAATTAAGTCGTCAAGGTACATATCATCCCACACTTGCGCCGGAGCTTACCGACCGTCGGCAGATACAGTCGAAATTCTGCATGTACGTTCTGAAAGCTGAGAGGCCGTTTGCTTCTTTCGAGAAGTATTCTCTCCAAAAAGGATCTCGGATCGAATCTGGCCATCAGTAACTGAACCATTTTAGGTCCCATTTCCGCTGCTTCAAGTGTAGATGCATTGGATCACTCCTCAAGTTTGCCGACGCAGGCATGGTGGATACTGTTGCCACGACCAATGTTTCACTCCACCATCTGGACCATTCAAGCCACGGTGCAACTGCAACTACGATTACGACTACCTTTGATCCCACCTCTGTCATTCTTTGTGCACTGACAACAGTCTCCTTGTTGATCAAACCTCGAGGTCATGTTCTTTTGCGTCATTAACATTATGATACACTAGCCTCGCTTGCTTTGGTTCTATCATGGTCGGATGGTCAACTCGGTGGGAAATGGATGATATAAATAAATCACTGGATCCTCTCATCTACATAGTCCTGAACCACTTGGCATTCAAATCGGGCCACAACAACGATCTAGCTGCGTTCGCTTCCCCTCAACCGCACGGCCTGGCCATACTTCTGCAACTTGGTGATCAGAGCATCACCGTGCTTGACCACATCGGCATACTGTTTGTTCTTGTCATCCGGTCGGTTCGTTTCGATGATCCCATTGACCCGGTCAATGGTACATGCGATACGGTTGCTTGCGATGAACTTGGCAAGATCCCTGCATTCTCCAGTTAGCGCTGCTTTAGCCGAGCACAATTTGTGGCATGCTTACCGATCTAAGAAGTCTACCGTCACACCGAAGTCGCTCGCCATGCTGTTCAATCCCACCACGCGGTAGCTCTGAAGCAGCTGCTGGTATGCACGCAATCTCATCTCCCGTACAAACCAGGCACGGTGTTCATACAAGTAGCGATCCTGGGTAAGGAAGTTGTCCTCCACCGCCGCCAAGGACACGAAGAATGACCGGTAGTTGCCGGTGTATAAACTGTCGACCAGGTGAGCCAGAGGTGTGAAGTCGACGGGAGTTTCAGCCTCGGCTTGGACGCCAGAGCCGCCGCCCAGGGCGGTTAGGTTGACTGCGGTCGTCGCGGTACCCGGTGTGATCCGCGAAACTGTGGCATCCTTCATCTCCTCATCTTGGGCGCCAGGCCCAGCCGATGTCTCACCGGTCAGGGCAGCCAACCGATCCTCCCCAGATCCAAGGATAGCCTTGATCTCGGGAGCGTCCACAACCTTGGCCTTGAAGTCGACTCGTTTCAAGGAAAGAGAGCCAGCCAGAACTGAGTAGATAACAAGGGCGGAGTAACTGCAGAGTTCGTAGCTCGTGAAAGTGGATAAGCTGTCAAGCAGAAGAGGCGCAGCTTCGTTGTAGGATCGGATGGTGAGGAGGTGTAGACCCTTGTATGCCTTCAAACGATTCCGACGATCCCAGTCACCGCCGCTCTCGATGAGAGTATTGGCTCTCTCAATGTTCTTCTTGACGGACAAAGGATCTCCAAAGAAGAGGCCGATCCGGATCATAGCGAGCATCAAATCAATCTTCGTGCCGAGGAATGTCGTTTTCTCAAGGAGGGTTTCGTGAGACTCGATAGCTTTGTCCTAAATGCCTTGCATCAGCATGGGGTTTTACTGAGGTACTCAATCGGGTCAAAGCCAAAGAACGCACCTTATCTCCCACCCGTGCCCAGAATTCGGCACGTTTTCCCCGAGCGGCGAGCACCTCTGTCTCTCCGGCAGCTTCTTCCGCCTCATCCTCCTCTTTCTGGAACCCCTCCAGCTCTTTCCGGTTATCTTCGACCAGGGACTGATACAAGGATTCATCCCACGGGAAATCTACTTTGTGAGACGACTTCCGCGAGGCGAGCAGGTTCGACGTGATTGAGGACTTGCTTGGGTGTTGCGCAACGCCCTCGCCAGAGTGGTTCAAGATGCCTTCGACGGGATGAGCAAGATGCCGGTAAAACGGAGCCATTTTCTTCTCTGTGATGGCATCTTGTAGCTTCTTCAATGACGTCTGTCGCACTGTCTGGGGGCATGCTGGGTTGGAGAGATTGAAGACATGTTGGGCGAGGGCGAGATCGGGGTACTTGATATACTGCGGATCGGACCCCATGCTGGCGGTTCAAGGATGAGCAAGAGATTAAAAATGACACAGGGAGGCGATGAGTTCGTGAAGGATGCTGGATTGGAAATGGTGGATGTTCTTTGGCGAAGGAACCTGTTGACAGGATGATGGACGAAGGCGGATACATCACCGACGGAGCGTAGCTGACCCAAGCTCAGCTGGAGAAAACATTCTTCCGGCGCCGACACCGCTTTCCACCGTGCCATTTCTTGATCACGACCAAGTCATATCACCATGTAGCTAAATCATCCATTTCTAAATGATTTTTGCATCAGATACTATGATCTGTGTTCATGTCTCGCTTGTCCCCTCACTCAATTACTAAGCTATAGCTATTTCTCTGCGTGTCATGGAATATTTTCTAAAGCTCCAGTTGCTATAAGATGGAGAAGCATTCCGGATTCCAAACATAGAACTATGATTAGTTAGAATTTAGCAGAAGTGGTGGAAGTACTGATAAGAGGATGACAAAAGGTAAGTGAAAAGCAGTGTTGTTTTAGAATCTTTTCTTGCTATAGTTCTGGTCCCAAACAGTCACGAAGCATCTCCATAGACGTAGATATCTGCTTTATCCATCATGTGTCGTGTATGAATGAGGGTCTGTTGTATAAAAAAATACTCTAGTATTCCGAAGAACGGTGAAAGGATACATGTATGCATAATCTGAATAAGCCCTCCACAATACCAGCACTAAACCTACTGAGACTAACGTCCTGTATCGGCGTGCAGTTCACCTGCACAGGATTATCAATGCTTGTAGCTCAATGCAGCCACCATTTTGGGGTTGTGTTTCGTGCCAATATCCTTGCACAAGCTTCCGCTGAGGAGAGAACGCTAGTTGTATCTGAGGCAGGTGAGCCGGTGAGGGAAGTGCTACTTCTACAAGTACTAGTACAATCACGAGCGAATCAGGCTATAGAACTTACATTAAAGATGGGCCACCAAAAATCCTCGAATGCAACATGAGGTTCGATAGGATTCGACAAAGGACAGGGCCCATTCTGGCACTGTTGGGCGGGTGAAGACGGGGAAAGCCAAGGGAACCTTGAGGTGAAATCCCCACTCGTCCACCGCTTAACCCGCGGTAATCATGCGCTAACACCCGCTAAAGAAGAGGGGACCATTCGGAGTACATCCTGGCGATGAAGTTCGCTAGAGGTTCCAACTACTATGGATGGTAGCACCTGGAATAGCATGGATTTGGTAGGAATCCGGATTTCTCTGCTCTTTTTATGTGCCCTCATCACGGGTTGTTGTCTTAAGACCCGTCTGTAAAACTTTTTTTTCTCCTTCCTCGACTGTTCCCCTTGTCTTGTCTTTCCGCGTACCTTATTTGGTTGACATCCGTCCTTTTCGTGCTGTTTTATATCCGGTTTGAAGTATTCTTGGAAGTTGCGGATCGGCCTCTCAACCTTGCACGTGCTCACTTGCTATCCCTGTCTCTAATTGTTCTTCTACGATTCTTCGCCGGGCAATCGCGCAATTGTCCCTTGCATACCTCAATTATCTCTTCTGGGCGTGATCGTGCACTTACACCAACAAAAAGATGGCGGACGACCATATAAAAGGGACCGTAGAGTCAAAGAGCGATGTTGAGGCTGATTGTCAAGCACCGGTCGATACGGTTTCCGGCCTCCCTCTGGATGCGAATCCGGCTGGCAAGAGTCGTTGGGAGCGCAGTTGGCCCACCATCGCCTGCGGTGCTGGGCTTTTCTCTGATGGATATCTGAACGGTGTATGTAATACCATGGCTGTTGGCACATGATATGGGCTCTTTTCCGCTCAGAGCTCGCATGGATTGTGCTGATTTCGAGGCATCTAGATAATCGGACCTGTCAATACGATTCTCAAAAGACTCTATCCGACAGAGTATGCCAACTCAACTGCAAGCCAGAACGTTTCGTCGATCACTTTCGTGGGGACTGTGGTGGGTATGCTCATTTTTGGTTACACAAGCGATCATTGGTCGCGCAAATGGTCGCTGATGATCTCGACAATCATTCTATTCATCTTTGCTGCTCTATGTGCTGGCGCATACGGATACAATAACAGTCATTATGGCCTGTTCGCCGCACTGACAGCCTATCGATTCTTCTTGGGCATCGGAATTGGTGGAGAATATCCCGCAGGAAGTGTGGCATGCGCCGAGAACACTGGGGAACTTAAAAAAGGCCATCGAAATCGTTGGTTTGTTATGTTCACCAACTTCCAGATTGACTTTGCATATGTCATTTCGGCATTGGTTTCCATGATTTTGGTTCTGATTTTCACCGAGAATCACCTACGCGCAGTCTGGCGTGTTGGGCTGGGACTGGGTGTCATTCCTCCCTTGAGTCTGATGTATTTGCGGCTGAAGCTCGAAGAGCCTGAAGAGTTTGACCGAGAACGCATGCACACTTTCCCGATATGGTTGATTGTCAAGTGAGTATATCACCCCTCCTGCACGCTGGATCATCTCTTTACTCTACGACGCTTCAGCCGATGCCAGAAATCGAAACAGCTGTCGGCTGACTCTCGAATAGGTTTTACTGGAAACGATTGGTTAGTTCCCAATTTTGCATAGACTAGGAGATGTATGACTAACTGCAGCTAGGCTGTACTCTCCCTCATATGGTTCTTGTATGACTTTTCGTCCTATTCCTTCAGCATTTACTCTTCGGATTGGATAGCCATAATTCTGGGGGATAGCGCTCCGCTTTGGAAGAGCTTCGGTTGGACAACCTTGACCTACTCGTTCTACATTCCGGGATCCTTTCTTGGTAGTCTGTCCAGTGACTGGATTGGGCCCCGCAATAGCTTGGCTATCGGTGTACTTTTCCAAGGCATCGTCGGATTCATCATGTCAGGCTGCTATGAGTATCTTTCGACCCCGAAGAATGTGGCGGCCTTCGTCGTGGTGTTCGGGTAAGGCAACAAGGTTACTGTTATATTCATGTACTCGCTGACCTAGTGCTTAGCATCTTTTCCAGTCTTGGAGAGTTTGGCCCCGGTGACAACATCGGCCTTTGCTGTGCGAAGAGTAGCGCGACCGCCGTCAGAGGTCAATTTTATGCCATCGCTGCTGCCGCCGGGAAAATTGGCGCTTTTGTTGGCACCTATGTGATTCCTATCGTCCAGAAGAACGCACCCAACTCAGTCCGTGCAGGCCAGGATCCATTTTTCGTCTCGAGTTCCCTGTGTATCTTCAGCGCGGCGTTAGCCTACTTCTTTCTGCCACAGATTGGTCAGGTATATAGATTCCAGTCTTGTCAATCATCTGCTCATCACTCTGTTATTACATACTGACCTTTCTTCCAATTTTTAGGATACCATCACGGACGAGGATGCTAAGTTTCGTGCTTACCTCGAGACCCATGGATATGATACGAGCTTGATGGGCAATCACACGAGGCCCGAGGAGCAGTAAGCAACTTTTGGACCCTGCACTGACCCGTCAAAGCGCATGGTGGTTGCACTATTGCCCAGCAGAGAACTTGCCCACTGAGCGCCATTTCCCTCTTCGCCTGCATGATAATCAAGATCTACTGAACGCCCTTTGCGACAATCTCCAATGAGCCCAAGCGACAGACGCATCCAGCAGACCCCAATCACAAAAGCAAGTCGGAGAGCGAATCCAGCGACAAATTGAGCAACTGATGCCCAGACGCACGAATTGGTAGATGATAATAGCTGTGCGATCACCGCATCAGCATCGCCTCGACTGTTGGTTGGTATATTTATGATTACACACTTAATGACTTTGATGTCTGCTGTGTAATGTGTTCTGGGTCATGAGATCTCACTGAGTAAGAGTTCCGTCAAGCGGCTATCGTTACGCTTTAATGAGGCGAGTCGTCCAGGCTTCTTTAAAATAAGCTTTGTCAAAATGATCACACCAGTTGGTATATTATAAAGTCAGGCTGCGAAGACCTCAGGATAGAAATATATGCGGCGTGGGAGGGGACGAGTCTCGTGACCAAGCCACACATGTTTACAGTGGTCATCCGTACAGGATTACAGGTTCGTGATCAGAAGCACCGAGCAGCCGAGGTTTGTTGGGTGAGCGGGCAGAGCACAAGACGAACCCTCCTCTCCCGCCCCCGTCAATCGCCGGTCAATTACCGACCCCAGCTTCCAGTCATCCTACTTTTTCCCCAGAACTTATTGCAGTCTTCTTCTATTCTCCGTTCGGCTGCCATCTCCCTTCTATTCCATCATCGTGTGATACCTGGCATCTTCTCTCCTTAAACGATAGTCCGGCCTCATCTCCCAGCTGGCTGCTCCCCCTCACATACCGCTTATCTCTCCACAAGTTGACAGCTGCCGGAACCCATCTCCCGCTATCGGCCGATATTATCCCCGTGTTCTCAGTCACAACCTACACAACATCCCCCCCGTTTTCAAGATGGTTGCTGACGCCCTGGTCTATCACCCTGCTGTGGCGCATTACCTGCGCTTTGTAGCGACAACCGGTATGTGCGATGCATTCATGGTACACTCCTTGGACACGGTTTGTGGCATGGAGCGCAATTTGGGGACCCCGCAACCTCCGGTTTCACCCTTCACAACCTCCGTTGACTTGAGCATCTTGCTATCCTGGTCTCATGCGTGGTCGGTCATTTTCGTGATTCTAACAGTTGACCCTCACAGTTGGTCGCGATAAGATCCTCCGCACCTTGCAATACTTCTCTCGCTTCTATGCTTGGTACTTGTACCGCACCAACCGCCCGCAGTCCGCCATCGATCCCTACAATGCCATCAAGAAGCAGTTTGGAACCACACGCAAAATTCTCCGGATTGGCAAGTTTGTCGAACACTTGAAGGCCGCCGCTCTCGCCTCCGACAACAAGAGCCCCATCGATCCCGTACTTCGTTATCTTGCGGTTGGTCGGCAGCTTGGTTATGCTGGATATCTTTCTCTCGATACCGTGACGGTTGTGGATGCGATTGGTTTCCGCAAGCTTGCTTCCGTGAAGCGGCTGCAGGACTCGGCTTATCGCTCGTGGATGGCCGGGCTGGTGTGCAGCGCTGTTGCGAGCCTGTACACCCTTTTCCGGTTGAGGGAGAAGGAGAAGACCCTTGATCTTAAGGAGGGCGAGGGCGTTGTAGAGGCAAAGAAACTTGAGAAGTATGAGGATCTGTAACGAAAGCGATTGGTAGAGTTGCCAACAGGACGCTAACATCTATCGTTAGGGAACGCTCTACGGCTCGCATCCAGCTGATCTCCGACCTATGCGACTTGACTGTTCCAGCGTCTGCCCTCGGCCTTGCCGCACTTGATGATGGCCTTGTCGGCATTGCAGGAACGGTCAGCAGTTTGATTGGTGTCTGGTCACAGTGGCGGAAGACTGCTTAGGCAGTTTATGCTTGATTTCCACATCAAACGATGGTTTGAAAAAACAGCTTGGAGTCGTTGTCAGCTGTTCATGAAACTGCGACTCTAAGGGGTTGCGGGGCCTTTCGTTGGTTTGTCCAGCTTCTTCAGATCTTCTTTTTACCTATGGCACGTGCTGGGTTTATGGTGAAGGAACGGGAGATTTATGATCAAATCTTCGGACATAGGGATTGCCTGATCATTATGCATTGGTGGGGACCCCGGTTGAGATTTCAACTTGCGATGCAGGTTTCCATTGTTAAACATGTGTAGCCTAATATTTATTCCGCTTTTTTCCCCCGCGGTCAAATGAAGCTTTCCATTGTCCTGTCACAAGGGTCTCCTCCTGATCTATAATGGAATCATTAAGTGTTGTTGTTGTTCCTCTGCTCAATGTATATATATATTCTTGAACTTGCTGTTCTAAGATTCTAAACATAGCGAGCATGCCGCAGGTCAAAGGCCGCAGTCCCCAAGGTGTTCGCGGGGTTGCGGCTATGGGTAGCCGTGACTCCTTGACTTCGGTTGTCGGGATTTGCTTCTCATCATCGACATCAAACCTGACATTGGACCAGGTCACGCCAGACACCGTTCAGGCAACAGTTGGCTTGGAGTCTAGACGTCAAATGTGAAATTCGTCTGATTAATGTGCGGTTCTATTTGCAAACTGCGCCAGCAAATGCCATGAGGTGTTTTATGCCGTCAATGCGTCCCCTTCGACAAGGCTGCGAGCAAAACTCAGTCAAATCTCCCCTCAAGATTCTGTGCTCGAGATGAAAGGAGAATTATTGAACAAGGAGGATGATATATTGGACGCCAAAGCAATACCGTCAGGGCATATCTCAGTGCCGCAAGCCCTCTTCATCCCCCATCCAATTGGCCCTGCCTGGTACACGCACTACTTATCAGGAAGTAAGACACAAACCTTGCACGCAGACTGTCATTCTCAATGCAGGCACACTGACGCAATCCAGTATAGATCACCCCCTGACTCCTTGTTTCGCCCTTTGATCCTTGTCTCAACTGAAAATGTGACACCGCCGATGCGGGCCACTTGTATGCAGGACAATCGAACAAAACAGAGGCACAGAGGTTTACGCCACCTGCCGGCTTGGCACTCTACCTGTCGAATTAAGAGGCTGTACAGCTACTGCTACTTTCCGTTAAGTCAATATGGTTATCTTGGTTCGATAGCCCCATTTCAGACGAGCAGTCCATGGGAGATCCCCATAACCACCCGAGAGTCTAAATCTTGTGCTGGCATGTACGGAATACTATCACCACTACTGATAACCACTGGCATAGCCAACTGCAGAAAGAACACATGCCGACTATGGCCAGCAATCGCGGCCAAGCTTTGCAGCCGCATTGCTTCCTGCAAGGAGGCGTACAGCGACCCACAGCATACGCACCAACTTGGTGCCCCTCGATTCTTTCGCAGGGGTATCGAAGGGTAGCAGGTCTGAATTGGTACGGTGTAAGTCGTTTGCACCGGGGTGTCCCTCGCCGCTCATTAGTCCCAAGTTGAAGTTGCTGTGCCTTGTTCATACATATATCTTTGATGCGCATGCAATCTTCAGTGGGCTTATAAATGAGATCTACTTATGCAGACATTCTAGGCAAAAAGCCCGGTCATTTCTAGACACCGGGTCGCTAATCGAAACATAGAAGTACCTTTATCTACGCTAGCGAAATGCTGCACCCAATTCTTGACCTCAGCAACTTCAACATCGTCCTCTCTGTCGTAGGTAAGAAGCGCTAGACCCAGGTAGTATCCTTAGTGCAACAGCTTACCGTGGCACAGCACTCTATATCCTTCTTTTCGGGTACATCTCGCTCAGAATCAAGCAGAGATGGTATCTCGGCGAAGCCTGTAAGGACCCTAGATTGACATCCGTTTGTTCATACACTCATTCTCTGATAGTGCCGGCCTTTTTGATTGGTATCTCATTGGGGCCGATTGGCGCTAAGTTTCTGAAGATATCTGAATGGGGAGGTGGTCAGGACGACTACCGCAGTGACATTGCATTTGTGATTTCCCCATTGATAGCGAACAACACTCTGAGACTGACCATATCAGAACCTGACACGTTTAGTGATTGGGATACAGTTGATCAAAGCTGGATATCAATTGCCTAAAAGATACATTAGACAACGTCTTTGTGAATTGGCTATTTGTCTGCTTCCGCTCATGACTATAGCGTGGTTCGCAACATCAGCATGTATCTTGCTTGCAATCCCCAGCATATCCTTTGTAAGTTCATTTTCGCTCCGATGGCCCATGCACAAATAGGTGAACCCCGGCTAAATGTCTCATGTGCAGCTTTCAGCTCTTATCATTAGCGCTTGCGTGACCTGCACCGATCCCGTGCTATCTCAAGCCATTGCGAAAGGACCCTTCGCGGATGATTACGTTCGTCGACCACTTCGCGAATTCATCTCAGCCGAGGCAGGGGCGAATGATGGCTTTGGCTTTCCATTTCTGCTGCTTGCGGTTTCTCTGCTGCGCTACGCAGAAGCTCCGGATAACACTGTCAGCTTGGAAGACTTCGATCTGGAGCGGGGCGTGCCCGACTCGCTCGGCACAACGAGTGCAGGGCGCTTTGGTGGAGGTGTTGGTCCTGCGCTTAAGCATTGGGGAGTAGAAGGAGTCTTGTACATGATCTTTCTGGGTGCTTCTTATGGAGCCTTTGTTGGATTCATCTGCCAGAAGCTACTCAAGGGTGCATCGATTAAAAGATGGATCGACAATGAAAGCTTTACGTTGGTCCCTGTGGCAATTGGTATGCTCATCGTCGGTACCTGCGGCTGTTTTGGATCGGACGAGACACTTGCCTGCTTCATCGCGGGGAGTGTGCTCAACTGGGATGGCCTCTATCAGGCTGAGATGCAGGCCCGACATGATTCATTCAATTCGACTATGGAGACACTACTGAACATTGCAGCGTTCATGTATCTCGGCGCAGTCATGCCTTGGGATCAGTTTCATAGGCCCCACGACACAGGCATTTCTATTTGGCGACTGTTGGGACTAGGCTTTCTGATTCTCATCTTTCGCCGCATTCCAGCCATCATGGCTGGTTATAGGTTCATGCCCAAAGTCTGTAGCAACTGGAAAGAAGCATTGTTTCTGGGCTACTTCGGACCGATTGGTAAGCGCTGCTCGTCTCAGGGTGAAAGTGTCAGGCTCATGTTACTTGGCAGGTATCGGTGCAATCTCTTATGTGGAGTATGCTCGACGCCTCTTCCCCTCCCCAGGAGAGAGCGACAAAGAGATCAACAACCTTACTGCCGCTATGACACCAGGTAAGACTGGCGCTTGCCAAATGATCTTGTTCACGTCCGCCGCTAATTTGCACAGTTGTCTACTGGCTGGTACTGTTCTCCATTGTTGTGCATGGTCTATCTGTACCAGCGCTTGATGCGATCTACAAGTTCTTTGGTGTGTCCAAGGTCAGCGACCATCCAGTAGCAATTGCATTGCTATCGGATAACGAAGCACTTCCAAATAACTGCTCGGTTGATCGTCAGCGACATTCGATGATCGTCAACAATCGCTTCTCACGTCCCTCCGACAGCGACACCGAAGGCCAAAGTGGCCAGGTGCGGAAGGAGTCAGGAACGATGGAACGATTAAGTGAGGATAGTCCGCTCAATGGCAGCGCCGAGTATCTGGATATCCCCTTGTACGATTACCGAGCAGGGGGCACAACCGCCACTCGGGCCATGGTTTGACTGGGTGGTTTATGCTACTTGACGTGGGCGGAAGAAGCGACACGCTTGTGTTCTTTCATTCATTCATACGTTTCGTTCATCATGCCATGCCAGCCCAGGAGATGTGTCCGGCTCGTGTCCACAAGATAGAGCGTCCATCCTCGAGTCCGATTTTGACTTTGACTTGCGTGTGATTATGAGGCGAGTCAACCGCGATCTCACGGCGCGACCGACTTAGACAGGGCAGGTCTGATGAAATATCTGAGAGACAGGCCAAAACGAACAGAGTTGGACAAGTTGAGGAGCATACCTTTCCACAAGAACCGCAGGTCTTAGTACCGCCAGCAATGGCGGCACCGCAGGAGGGGCAAGAATTGTGGCCAGTCATTTTTGCAGAGGTTCGTTCTGTTTGCGGTCGGTGAGGGCCTGCGGTAGGATGTCAGAGATGTTCCGGATGTGTTTTCGAGCGTGACGGAATCTTTGAGGTGGTATACCTTGAGGTGAAAGTGAAAATGAGCTCTGAAAGTGGAAAGAGCAGGAATGGGAATTGCAGAGAAATGATCGGGAGGAAAAAAAGTGCCATCACAAGACTTAGTAGGTACTAGTCAGTCAGCGGGCAGTGTTTACCCCGCCGCGTGATGATGCCCCCGCTTTCTCGCCCTCATGATTGGCTGTGTCTTAACAGCATTGGGCATACAGTGATCCGCACCAATCAATATCAAGCTTTCATAGTTAACAGCACTGGCAACTCACCTGCGGTACTGAGGGTTAGGTACACAGTACAGCTTTAAATTCCGTGGCAGAAAGGCACAGAATTCTCGGGCACTCTATCGCACCGCTTGAAATGGATGCCAATCGACTTGTGGGACTCGAACTCTTATCACGTCGGTCTACACCTGAGGCTCTCAAAAGAATCTACACCCTGCGGCACCAGTGCTAAGATACCTTGTTCGGGGTGATATTGAGTTTTGATGACCCGCAGCTCTAGCATCAGAAGCGAGACTCTTGGCCAAAATCTCTTTCTTCGGGATGTTGACTTGGACCAGCTTCGATGTCAAGATGAAGCGGTGCATATGTGTGAGACAGTATGAGTGAAGCAACTGGCATGGCTGATTGGGAAGCCATTCACAATGAATAGAGGGAAGCAGAGTAACCTTTCGTGACTGGACGTTGCAGCTGTGGCAGACATGACTCGCATAAGCATCTAGTTCTCAGTGATAGCATGGCGGAGTTTTCACATATTTTTGCATTTCCACTACTTCCTTGCATCAGCAAAACCCTTCGTTTTCGTGCTTTCTAGTAGCGGTCAATGCTGATAGTCTTTACATTCAGGCAGTTGTTTAGCTGGTATCGAGCCCAAATTCATCGAAGTAGGATAGATAGTTTTGCAGGCCACGGTGAGTAGTTTCCTTCATAGTCGAAGGACTATGTGCTGGTGTATATATTACATAGGTGACGAAGTGTGGAGTAGCGGTAGTTTATCAACTAGGAGTAACCAATGACAATTGTATATAGGTTTCTAAGAGAGTTTGACACGGTTCTCAACTAGTAGAAACCCCAATCAGAAACTTCTGATAATTGTTGACATATATTGACAACCATTGACAAGTGTAAATAGCAATAGTTAGCTCTGGTATATCTGCAACTATACTTGTGACTCTATATAACTCTTAGTGACTAATCTAGAAGTAGATTACAACTATATGTAGTCATCAAATATAGGTTCTTTATTCTCAGATACAACTCAAAGAAACTAGTTGCTACTAGAGTCGAGAGGTATCAATAGTCATAAACAATTGTCAATGGTTGCTAAAAATTGCTAACTATCATCCAACTATTATTGACACTTTTAACTGGTCTCATTACACGGAATGTACACTTGCTACTATGCCAACCTTTCCACTATGAGTATTGCAAGGATTCTCCGTGTATTAATGAGGCCACAATGGCATAGCAGAGTGATGAGCTTGCTCTGTATGAAGATCCATGCCCGTTGATCTAGTCACCTATGCACATAATCCGGCAGAGGTATAATTCCAGGCTTGTTGTGTAAATACAGTAGGCGGGCCACAACAACTCTGCATACAAGAAGACTATATATAACTTCGATCGACATTGTGTATTTGGTGGGGGGTGGGGGGGAGGACCAGGAGAATAGCATGCCAAACCAGGTGTAAGACATATGTTTAAAAAAGAAGGCAACGGGTTGCTAACATATATGCAAAGCGCCTAGAGCTGCCTAGACAAGGCTCTTACATAGACTCATACTCGAAGCACAGCATCCTCTCAAACGACTCGTTCATCACCATCCTCTATGTTAGAAGTGATTGGGCGGGCAGTATTTACATAGTCTGTGATCCATCCCAGACTTTGCCTGATCAGCCAGCATGCAAGATGTGATCGCGTGCCCATTCTCCTTTTTTGAGTATCACATACAAAGAGGTCTCATCAATTGTTCTCTTTCTGATCCAAATAAATCGAATCATGTTCCCCAGGTCAGCCGATCAATTGCACCTGACCAGAAAGTTGATCCTAGTGGTCTAGATCTCCTACATTGACACAAACCTAAGGATGCCAAAAATATACATCGTGATCCCCACACAGTCGGCAAAAAGCTCCACTATCCGATGTTCGACCCGAAAGAGTCTAGAGCTTCCCCGGGAAAAGGAAGATCATTGATTTACGCACATATGTACTCATTCCATTGTACGGCAGTTTCACCACGCAGAATGCTGTAGTCGACATGAATATTAGTAAGGATTCTATAGGTTCATTTTAGGTAGTGAATACCCAGTCTCTACACGAAAACAGACAATCAGACATGCAGTAGACGCACCGCTAGAAACCTCTACCGCTCCGTGTTCCCCCCCTTCCCTAAAACTTCCGGTCATGGGGGGTTGATGGTCTCCACATCCCGCATCTTTTTGGGGTGGGGGAAACAGTTGCCTCGGAGGAGTCGGGGAGAGCACGTGGAGAAGGGTTGTTTTCGGGGATTAGCCTCTTTTTGCTTGGCTTGGCTTGGGTTTTGTTTGAGAAAAAGGACTGTCTTGTGCGCTTGTTCCGTAACTTACTAGCAAAGCCCTGCTGACTTTGATTCTTCTTGGCGGATGTTCTATCTGTAGTCAGTAGCTCGGGCTGTGTTTAGCCCGGAGAGTTGGGCTGAGCCAGCAAGTACTTGAACTCGTACTCGTGGATGGTAGCGGTTGGCGCGCGTGATAGGGGTTGGTTGCCACGCGGTTTTAGCCAAGATGGATTTTATAGGCAGAGACGTACATTTGATTAATGATTACGTGGTGATGCAGTAGCGAGAAGCCATGGTTAGAGTTGAATACCTACAGCGTAGAAAACTATCTTTCATTGATTGTATACCTACTACTCATTGTCCAAAATGACGATTTTGTCGTCATTTGTTCGTTCAGCAGAACATCCGGGGAACTGGCCCGTGTTTTGTGGTCGGATGCGGGGTACAGATTCGAGACCCGAGTTCGCTTCCCGATCGGCTATCCAACGCCTTCACTACCGTTCCTACTATGAAGCTTTGGTCCGGAAAAGCGTTTCACGGCAGTTACTCTGGAGGTACACATGTATGGTACTTTGTCTGGTTCATCAACACGATGTCTTTTTTCCCCTAAACGTCGGTTGCGTCAAGCGTCGACCTTCTATCCGAAGGGACGTGCCAGGCGCGCCTGACCTGCCCGTGTTGTGCTGCGCCCAGTCGGTTATCGCTCGTGGAAAGTCGGAATCAAGTACTTCCAGGATGGGCCTGTCATGTGCGTTGTTTTCTTCTCTCATGGGTAAATGTTTTGGGTCCTTTGGTCTCTGCAGTTTAATGCCGCAATCAACATTAACATGAGCGATTTTAAAGACTAGCGATGAAAGCGGGATGACGAGCCAGGGGCAGAATGATATCCTAAGCGCCTCGAAAAATAGGCCTCTCTACACTGTCCTCATGGTCTTCCTCAAAAACTTGTCAAATGGGGTGCTGATCCCGAAGAACATACACAATCAGAAAGACGGCAATATCTTCTGCCCACCGCATACCAGGATGGTGACGTTCGATTGTCAATCCGGAGAAGCTAACTTGTTTCATTGGCCAGACCGGGAAGGGCTTCGGAAGGCAGCTGACCCTCACCTTGCCAGAAACGGACTAGAGCCAAAGGAGCCTGCAGCACCCGAGTTTCTCTTCCGGGCCATTTCGTCACTCGGAAAGATTCCTGGCTTCTGGGACAGTGGGTGTGTTCTGGCCCTGGGGCTGCAATTGGGATCATCCCCGGGCGGTCAGCCTGTTACGTAAGTCCTCATTGGGCGCTTTCCCACTCTTTCGACCCGGTTGGGAATAGCCCGGGGTGATCTTGCTTAGAAGTTCGAGGCTTAGAGCCCGCATGCCGAGAGAAAGTCAAAAAAAAGGAGGGCTTTTCCATCCCCCGCAATTTCCATCGTCTTTTTCGACCTGGTTACTTTCACTTTGTGTAGCTCGTACCCATCCATGTTCCCCCGGCCGCAAACTAAAATCCTGGTCGAGCGGTTGGCTATTCCTGAGTTCATTCAACGTCATCACTTCTGCATCAATGGTCATTTGGTGGTCAAAAGTTGAAATTTGAGTCTGCACCTCCCGTGGGAGGAGCTGTGAATAATCGCTTTCAGCTATTGTAGAAACTAGTTACGGTCTATTGATTTCGTAATAGAAAAGCTAGGGAGGGCCTTGTTAAATACCTCGTTTGCAGAAATGAACCAAAAACCACAACGGTTTCGATATCTATCTCAAGTTTGTCACACTCGTAGTTCTCCCCGTACTTACACTTCTTAGCTATTAATCTAGTCTATCAAAACTCAGCCCCCTCCCCGGTTTCCCCCTCCTTGTCACTGTCGGCCTAGATTGAGACATTATTGACGCACTGTCGGTTGATAAGGCCCGAAATTGTCATTTCTTGTTCCCGATCCTGCTGTTATTCCCTCACTTTTAGTTGGTGCATCCGCGCAGAGCTTCCGGAACCACTTCGTGCCCACATCTCAGATCTCGGAACAAGTCGGACTACTCCAAGAGGCAATTCTGCCTCACTTTCGATTTTCCACGATTACCAACTACCGCTTCAGCCTTCAGCCCGGTCCTTTGCCCCGACATCTTCCGTGGAAGCCGTGGAGCTGTGGAGAAGGTGCATTACTCCAAAGATTCAATTCTCTTTGCGACCTGAATTCGCTGCCATCATGGCCCCAGCTGGAAACATTCATATACCCCCAGTTTCCCCCGTCGATAATGGTCCTCTCTACACAGATTTCTTTCAACAGCAAGTTGCAAAGCAACGAAATAATAACTATCATTCTACTTCCCTAAGAAACATGGTTGCTGCTTCCGTTAACCGCACCGCGCTGCACCCTGGTGGTGTTCAGTATGTCTTTCCTTCCCTTTCTCGGTGATGTGCCTGGCGATGGTCTGCTATTCTCCTTTTGGTACATAGCAGAGACACATCCATCCACCATTTCACCAGGACATTACTATGCTTGACCATGGTGGCTAACCTGCATTGCTTCTTAGGCCGGGCAAGGGTCACACTGAGCTCGAGGAGGAACTCCACGAGCACGCCCACATTGACTACGACCGCGTTGCTATTGTAAGGCTCAATGCGCCTTGTCCTCCATGAACACTAATGCTAATGCTAATCGTCTCAGATTGCCAACCCTGCTGTTCCTGCTCTCTACGAAGATGCTCTGGTCTACGAGACTGGTACTGCTATTACCTCAAGTGGTGCCCTGACTGCATACTCCGGTGCCAAGACTGGCCGTTCTCCCTCCGACAAGCGTATCGTCAAGGAGGAATCGTCAGAGAACGAGATCTGGTGGGGACCTGTCAACAAGCCCATGTCTCCTGATGTAAGTTTGGCCTGGCGTATAATCGCGCATTCCCACCTCCCCCCCTTGCATGCCGGCTGGTTGCCGCACCAAGCCAAGCTTGAGGGTAGATCATGGTCGCAGTGACGCGGTGAACTCGGTGGAAAAATGCCTCAAGTCATGAACTGCTGTGCGACAGTGCCTCCTGTTCAGCCTGCGCTTGTGTTTGCGTTCAAATCACACCGATGACGTCGCCGATTTTCTTTCAGCCTAGCTAACGCGCATCCTTAGGTCTGGCGTATCAACCGTGAACGTGCTGTCGACTACCTCAACACCCGTAACCGCATCTATGTTATCGATGGTTTCGCCGGTTGGGATGAGAGATACCGCATCAGTGTCCGTGTCGTTTGCGCTCGCGCCTACCATGCTCTGTTCATGCGCAACATGCTTATCCGCCCCTCGCAAGAGGAGCTCAAGTCCTTCCACCCCGACTATGTCATCTACAACGCCGGCTCTTTCCCTGCCAACCGCTTCACTGAGGGTATGACCTCGGCCACTTCGGTTGCCATCAACTTTGCCGAGAAGGAGATGGTCATCTTGGGTACCGAGTACGCCGGTGAGATGAAGAAGGGTGTCTTCACTGTTCTCTTCTACGAGATGCCCGTCAAGCACAACGTCCTGACTCTTCACTCCTCTGCCAACGAGGGTGAGAATGGCGATGTCACCGTCTTCTTCGGTCTGTCCGGAACTGGCAAGACCACTCTGTCTGCCGACCCCAAGCGTGCCCTGATCGGTGACGACGAGCACTGCTGGACTGACCGCGGTGTCTTCAACATCGAGGGTGGTGTAAGTTGTCCAATCACCCGAGGAGAACATCAAGAATGCTAGCTGACCCCGAGGCAGTGCTACGCCAAGTGCATTGGTCTCTCCGCCGAGAAGGAGCCCGATATTTTCAACGCCATCCGCTTCGGATCCGTCCTCGAGAACGTTGTCTTCGACCCCATCTCCCGTGTTGTCGACTACGATGACTGTACCCTCACTGAGAACACTCGTTGGTGAGTTTCATTTCTCTTTGGATGGTCCTGTTCATTAGTGCTAATATCTTTCAGTGCCTACCCCATCGAGTACATTGAGAATGCCAAGATCCCCTGCTTGTCCGAGAAGCACCCCTCGAACATCATCCTCCTCACCTGCGACGCCCGTGGTGTTCTCCCCCCGATCTCCAAGCTCACCACTGAGCAGACCATGTTCCACTTCATCTCGGGTTACACCTCTAAGATGGCCGGTACTGAGGATGGTGTGACTGAGCCCCAGGCCACCTTCTCTTCCTGCTTCGCTCAGCCCTTCCTTGCTCTCCACCCCATGCGCTACGCTACCATGCTCGCGGAGAAGATCTCGCAGCACAAGGCCAATGCCTGGCTGCTCAACACCGGTTGGGTTGGCGCTGGCGCCACCACTGGTGGCAAGCGCTGCCCTCTCAAGTATACTCGCGCCATTCTGGATGCCATCCACAACGGCTCCCTCAACGAGGTCGAGTACGAGACTTACGAGGTGTTCAACCTCCATGTGCCCAAGACCTGCCCCGGTGTCCCCTCGGAGCTGCTCAACCCCCGCAACAGCTGGACCGCGTCGACGAACTTCCAGGACGAGGTTAACAAGCTCGCCAAGCTGTTCAACGACAACTTCGCCAAGTATGCCGACCAAGCTACCAAGGAGGTCATCGCGGCCGGACCGGTGCCTCAATAGATTATTCCTTTTCTTGTTCGCTGATTCCCTTTTGGTTTATCATATCGCATGGCGTGCTGTGTTTCAAATAATGGGTCATATGAATCTTTTTTCTTCTTCAGATACCTGAAAGTGGCTTGTGCCGATCAGCCGAAGGAAAATTCGCTGATCATGACTGTTCTGATTTTGGTTCTATCCAATACTGGCTGTTGGCCGATAGGAAATATATTCGGTTCTTACCAATTCTCTTTTTCCTGTACCTGAAATCTATACTTTATTTTCAGTACAATAAGCATTGGTTAGTAAGTAGTACGGGACAGTAACTAAGCTTAGTATTGCCCAAAGTAGGGCAGTGCGTGACTGCCAAATGAAAGTTGCCTGGGGTTGATTACCATTCTTAGCACGCTGTCGGCATCGCACACCCGTCTTTTCTTGTCTAACCTTCCACTATCTATGGACCACAGATTCTAGCAGGATCAAGGTCGCTTCGAACCTTGAATCTATTCGAATATGTATTGTGCAAGTCACCAGTGAGTTGGCCGGCGAAAGCATTGGCGCCTCAGGCATCCATGACGGTCCATAAAAGGCCTGTCGACAGAAGCCCTTCCCACTTCCAAAACATCTTTCGAACATCTGGTATGCCATCCTCGCTCAAAGATCTCGAATTGGACCTCGCAAAGCCTGAACTCACAATGAAGGCGCATACTGAGCCCATTCATAGATTATCTTGTTCCGAGATCCGCGTTCTCCACGCAAGGAGGCCACTAAATCCCTCGCGTCAACGCGGGATGCAGCCAAACCAATTTACTCCGAGCATCCCTCGATCGAAGACAGGGGTGGACCCGTGAACCACTGGGGTAATGCACCTACGCGTGACACTCGACGCAGGAACGAATCTAGCATGCATATTGGACATTACATCTCCGAGTTAAGTGTCCTGGAGCGAGCCACGGCTATCGACTTGGCTGCACTAAACCATAATGCAACCTCACTCCTGAACATACCTGATACTACCCGTGAGCCAAAGCTCCGACATACCGTTCCTGTCGATCACTACTCTCTCTCTCGCCAGCCGTCAAGGGGTGAATGCCGCTTTCTGAGGCTGTTACGTGCCAGAAATGTACCTTGCCCGAGCGTGGATGGCCCTTGCTGGGCTCCGAACCTTTTCTAGGCGCTCAGGCAAGGACAATTTGACTAGCAGGGCTCGCATCTCTCCACGAGTGAGTGGCCACAGGGCACCCTATTCTCCTGTGAGCACCCTTTGACAGTCGGTGATTACTTGATTTCTCGGGTTGCCTCCTGCTTTGCACCATTCCCGCCTTCAGGGGGAAGCACCCACCTCTAAGTCTTCAAACATGTGTGTACATTCTCTATTGTGAGGGGAAAAGGGGGGCTATCACGCGTAGACCCCGCGCCACAAAAGTCCCCTTGATCAATTTAGTGGTGTCTCGCGTCCACGTTCGCAACCAAGCTGGGACCCAACGCTCCTTTCCGATCAACATCACCATGGGCAAAAAGTGCGTTGCATAGCTCTCGAACTTCTATACATGCATGCAAACGAGAACATGATTCAAACTAATCCTCTATCTTCGCTGCCTCTGGGGCTGCTAGGAGTGGGAGCCGGTGTTCTAGCGGTGGGTAACCCTTTGGTTCTGAATCGCGTGATGAAATTTAAAATCCAGATCCTGTGTCGCCTGGCTACTTTGCAACAGCTCTAACCCGCGACTTTCCAGATTCTGGTGTACGGAGTATATCAGGTTTATTTCCATCCATTGGCCCAGTATCCAGGACCATGGTTAGGGAAGTTCACCGAAGCCGGGGCAGCGTATCATGCTGTGAAGGGAGACTTGCATCTACATATTTGGTGGTGCCATCAGAAGTACGGTGAGTTCATACGATGGGGTGGGGCTCTTGAGAGGCTATGAGCCTTGCAATGCTGACAGAATGACAAGGGCCGGTGATTCGGTATACTCCGAATTTGGTGATCTTCAACACAGCAAGTGGAATGAAAGGTCGGTCATGACCAAACCGGGCCTTCTAGGTGTCTCTTAGACTAACCCATTGAAAGACATCTACGTCCGAGGTAAGGACTTGCGGAAAGATGTCCACTACGGCGTCATCCAGCTCGGCACCAAGAACCTCCTCACGGTTACCAGCCCCACAGACCACGCTAGACGAAATAAGATCATTAGCCCTGGGTTTTCGAGTACGGCAATGCGTGATTTTGAACCAAAATTATTGGTACATGTCCAGAAATTCTGCGAATTGCTTTACCGCCCGAAGCCTGGCAGTGATACAAAGGATTCCTGGGGAGAGCCCATGGTCATGTCGGACTGGTGCAGCTATTTTGCGTTCGATGTGATCACGGAGTTGGTGTTTGGCAAACCGTGTAATCTCCTTGAGAGCCAGCAACACCGATGCACAATGTATGATATCTCCGGGATGATGAAGCGGCTGTCGCTGTTGATGTATGCACCTTACGTGTTTCTTGGCCGACTGGATCGGAAATTGTTTCCAGATGAAATGAGTGGAATGAAGCGATATCACCGGCTGGTGAATCGCATGATGTCGGATGCAGCAAGCATGTCCGGGCATGTGTTCAGTCGCTTGACGACCGCGAGAGACAACAAGGTGCGCGCTGGCATGGAGCCCGCATTCAGCGACGCGGATGTCTATTCAGAAGCTGCGATGTTGGCTGTTGCTGGTAGGTTACACTGAGCCACAAGCCGTGTTTCCTTCATGATAATGACTTACTGACACGATTTCACAGGGTCTGACTCGACGTCTGTCTCGCTTTGCGCCAACCTATTTTATTTGGCAACCTATCCCCACGCCTACGCCCGCCTTGCCCTCGAAATTCGCACGATTTTTCCGACCCTGGAATCAATTCGCACCGGGCCGCTCCTCCTTCAACAGTGCCCTTACCTGCATGCCTGCATCAAGGAGACTCTCCGCATTTCGCCCGCAGTAGCCGGATGTCCCTATCGCCGAGTCGAAAAAGGGGACACCATTGTCGTCGACGGCCATGTTATTCCTGAAGGCTGTAGCGTAGGTACGGGAATCTACAGCATTCATCACAATGCGGAATACTTCTCGCGGCCGGACACGTTTCTCCCGGAGAGATGGCTGGGCAACAACGCCGACAACTCGCCCGAGCAAGCTACTATCACGCCCGCCGCATACACGCCTTTCTCCCAGGGAACGCGCGCCTGTGTCGGGCGACATTTGGCGCAGATGGAGCTGCAGTTAGCCCTAGCGAGCTTGATCTGGCAGTACGACTTCCGCCGGGCGGAGGGCACAGTCGGGGAGATGGGCGCGGGGCGTCGAGACGGGGGCGAGTTGGGGCGGTCGAACCCGCATGAATTCCAGCTCTATGATCACATTATCAGCCAGAAGATGGGGCCGGTTCTTCAGTTCCGGCCGAGAGTACGGACTCAGTAGGACGCGTCGGTCAAGTAAGATGGGAAAGCAGCGAAACCCGGCACAGACGACGGTTGGTCGGTTATACAGGATTCAAAAGGACGGGAATGACGGGAAATTCGTCTTGATTCAATTGATACCTCTGGGAGTTTGATTAGGAGTTTGACGTCAGAAATGTGAATACGTATACTGCTGTATAATGGGAGGCCGTGGTGCCAACTGCTTCACCACATCCACCACGGTGATAGAAATCGACGAGCAACTCGCAGTAGTATACAGTAGTCTCTCTGCTTCAGAACTGGCTACATCGAGACACCAAGTCATTATGAGCCAGGGCAGGAGATGAGACTCCTCCGACCCAGACCTGGACGGAATACTCGTGGTTCGAGTATCCACCGATAATCGGCTGTTTATTCACCCTAAATCTGACTCTCACCTGGCGGAGCACTGTTGAACGGGTCAATGCCCACGGCATGAGCAATCGCTACTCTGGGATTGGTCTAGAGCTTTGACGGTTACCGACAATCTCGGACGACTGTTCTCCTAGTACGTAGCCTAAGTTGTAGTGGTGAAGATGGTCATCATCAGCTCTGCCACCCCTCCGCCCGAAAGACATTACCGAGATTCGCCCAGTGACTCTGTATCTCCCGCTCCGGGATCCCGAGTCTGGACGCAGTGGGCTTGGATCAGTGTTGGAGGGTCTTGCCGGGGCAGGGACCCGGGATTTCTGTGTGGGTAACTGGACATGACTGGGGAATGAATACGAAGGTTGGGATTGAATTGTGCATTTGTTGAGGGGAGAGTGAATCAGTTGCGTTGGTTGTCACACTAGGGGTGTACAGTAGTAAATTATGTATGCCATTGAGGTTTCTGCATGGTTGTCATAATGCTCTATCGCTTCGCTTTGTGGGTGTAGTTAGTATAGTATCATTCTCAACTCCGGTCTTCCTATCTACAAGAACCATTGAAGATTCTAGCCGATCCTTATCCCCGCCATTGATGCTGTTGCTGCCCCTCAATCCGGACATAGATCCGGAGGAGACCTTCTCCGGGAGGCTCTTCCGGGAGGGAAGCTGTTTTGGAAGCGAGGAGGTAAGCCAGCCAAGACTCCGGAAATCGGCAATATCAATGCGCTACGAGTTGGAACGTCCAGAAATCCTGCCTGATGATGCATGTTCCAACTTAGAAGACGAATGCAAAAGAGGCATGCAGGAGCAGCGGAAGGAGCGGAAGAAGATTGATCAACGGTAGTTTAGTCATCTGTCACCTGTCTTTCTTACTTAACTACTTGTTCTTTGAAGCCAAGAATCTAACCTCGGGCCTGGCCGGGTTTCCGGGGGTTTCTCGTTGCTGCTGCATCGGGTTTAGTGGCCGGAGTGGGTGGAGAGCGATTTTCCCCACTTGCTGGGTGGGTAACTGGCTATACTGCGTATACTGCGCTGGAGATGACAGTTGAGGTGAGTTGAGGTGAGTTGAGCTGCCTTGTGTTGGGTTGGGAAATGGGGAGAGGAGTTGTGGGTGCAACTTTTGTATCTGTATAGCTGGGGAGAGTATTGGGTTCAAGAAGAAGAATAATATCATCATACGGTAGTATCAAAAGATGACGTTGCCAGCTTCCCCCGCATTTTCCAGCTGGCGGCTTCATGCAGTAGTTTTGGGATTAGTATGTACATCCTCTGTACTCCGTACCTCCTGTGTAGTATGAAGTATACAGTACATCTCACTTGTACACGGTAGTAGTGGAGACACGACTAAATAATCACCCGTCAAACTAAACAGCTGTGTATGACCCGTGCATCACTGCCTGACTGACTCTACCAGACCCTCTTTCTCTCTCTGTACCACATCTACTCCCTCCTTCCTTAAGACTCAACTTGGATCACTCTTCCTGCTTCCCTGTCCGTTTTTCCCCGCTATTTTTCTTCTCCTCTCCTCCTCTCCTCTTTCTTCTCCCCGTCATCTGACCAAAAGGAAAAAAAGAAATCCTCCTTCCAATCTCAAGTTATAAATAAATTCTCCTGTCTCCTCCTCTTCAAGCTTCCCTCCGTCGAGCCCCTCTTTTACATTTCTGCTTCTGAATCGCCATCTTTCATCCACGGTAAGTGCCTTCGGGTTTCACCCACCCCGTGCCTGGCCAGGCCCAACGGTTTTGGCCTGGGGCATTGCTTCCCATACCTCGATCCCATCTTCTTTGTTTCTCTCCCCGCTTTTTCTCGTGTTGTCTTTGGCTTTATATTGATTCCCTGCCTGTCGTCTTGACTCTCCTCTCATTAGAGGCATTATTGTTCTCATTCACATTGATCGGAGCACTGACAGCAACCAACAGATCTGGTAAGGATCGTGATTCCTCCTCAACATGGCCTCGACTACTACTACCACCCCCGCTCCCACCACCACTGCTGCCGCCGCCAAAGAATCTCAAGCCACCATGGACTTTCTTCATCATCCCTACACCCGTGCGGCGCTTCCCTTCGTCAATGGTGGTCTTGCTGGCATGACCGCCACCGTTGTCATTCAGCCCATTGACATGATTAAAGTCCGTCTGCAACTGGCCGGCGAGGGTGTCCGCACTGGCCCTCGTCCCTCGGCTTTTGGCGTCGCTCGCGACATCATCGCGTCAGGCAAAGTACTTGACCTTTACACTGGTCTGTCTGCAGGCCTTCTACGTCAAGCTGTATACACCACCGCCCGTCTGGGTTTCTTCGATACCTTCAGCAAAGTCCTCAGCAAGCGCGCTGAAGCTGCTAGTCGCAAGGTCACTTTCGCTGAACGCGCGGGGGCCGGGCTGGCTGCTGGTGGTATTGCAGCCATGATTGGCAACCCAGCCGATTTGGCCCTGGTCCGTATGCAATCGGACGGCCTCAAGCCTCCCGCAGCGCGGGCCAACTACCGTTCGGCTCTGGACGCGCTTGTGCGCATCTCCAAGTCGGAAGGCGTCCCAGCCCTGTGGGCCGGCGCCCTGCCTACAGTCGTGCGCGCGATGGCTCTCAACGTTGGTCAATTGACCTTCTTTGCCGAGTCCAAGGCTCAATTGAAGACCCACACCAGTCTGTCGCCCCAGAGCCAGACCTTTGCCGCCTCTGCGATCGCCGGGTTCTTCGCCAGCTTCCTCTCTTTGCCATTTGACTTCATCAAGACCCGTCTGCAGAAGCAGCAGAAGGACCCCTTGACCGGAAAACTGCCTTACAAGGGCTTGCTGGACTGCGCGCGCAAAGTCGCGCAGGAGGAGGGCTGGTTGCGGTTCTACCGCGGATTCGGCACTTATTATGTGCGGATCGCTCCTCATGCGTTGGTTTCCCCACCCCGAGACTTCCTTATTGCGTAGTACTGCCACTAACCGCGCGGATCTATCAGCATGGTTACACTGATTGTCGCCGATTATCTCAACCTCATCACCAAGTAGTGTGTTCGATGTGATTTCAGGGGATTTCCTCCAATTCATGTCTAGGCATCAGACAATGCCACGTCCGGACACAGACTTCTGCTCCGCACGTACTACATTCCCTTCATGTCCGGATCGGCAAGCCGCCCCGACCGGGCTGACAGACAGGACGGCCACGAGAGTGCATGCTGTCTGGCACAGATGCGATGAGGTGAGACGACTCTCAACTATACCCATTCCTTCATGATAGGTGCTATGGGAGGAGATTTCCATTTGTCTACGCTGTTTTATGTGTATCTCTTAATAATTATATATCCCACGGCGTGCTTGATGGGCGGTGCACGAGGGTACTGAAGAACATGGTCATGAATGAGTACTGTCTGTGAATTATTTATTGACAATACGATACCAAACAACAAGCAAGTATCCTAATAATCGACCTCGAGGTCCTCCTCGTCTTCGGGAGTTGAGTCTTGCTCATCTTCGTTCCCGAGCGCTTCGTAGTCCACGGATTCTTCCTCTCCCTCCACGCCGTTGTCTAGGTCATCTCTGCCTTCTGCATTTGTGGTTTCATCACCGGATTCTCGTTCTTCAAGAACCTCGTCCCCAGGGGTTCTCTCTTTTTCTACCCGCTCCTCGTCTGCATTGACTGCATCTTCCTCTTCGACTACCTCATCAGCATGCCCTGGCTCTTCTGCTTCATCTCTCTTATCCAGGCCATCTGTGTCTTCTTCCATTCTCTCCTCAACACCTCCTAGTTCTTCCCTTCCAGTTTCCTCAGTCGACTTGTCCAGGTCCTCTGCGTTCGATTCCTCAACAGCGTATGTTGATCTTTCTTCGGTCCTCCCGTCTTCCATGTTTGCCTCGTTTTCAACATCGGTGTCAGCTTCTCCTTCTTCTGCTTCTCCTCGTGCTTCCCATTGTTCTTCCCTTTCTGCTACTGCTTCTTCGTCTGCTTCCCCTCCTGCTTCTTCTTCTTGCAATGCTGATTCTTGGACTTCTGCTTCATCTTGTACATCTGCAAGTTGTACATCTGCAACTCGTAAATCAGCAACTTGTGCTTCTTCTGCTTCCTCTTCTGCTCTTCTTTCCTCATCATTCGAATTGGTTCCCGCACCAGCACGCCCGAGATCTTCCCCATGGCTTTCATTCTTGTCCTTCGTCTGCCCCTCTAGGCCTGTGTCCATTCTCTCCTCAGCATAATCTAGGTCCTCTTCGTCCAATCTCTCAACCGGTTGATCTAAGTCCATCTCATCAGCATATCCAAGTTCTTCCTCTTCAACTCCCTCCAGATTATCTGTATCTTCTCCCTCCATCCCTTCATCCACGTAATCTGGATCGATCTTCCGATATGCTGGACCATCTTCTTCTACTTCCACATCCAAGTCTCCTTCTGATGGCTGCACTCCTTCAAGGTCTTTTATATCTTCAAACAAATAATCAATATTTGCGACGTCTTGTGCGTCGACAAGTTCCGGTATCGCTTCCGCCATTGTGTCATTCAAAGACGAAGCTTTGATTTGTTCGATCTGAACCCCAATTTCCTCTTCTTCCTTTCCCAATTGATCATTGATGTCGCCCTTCATAGCTTCAGCATGAACAAAGCTGACTTCTTCCTCAATTTCGCCTCCATCAACTGCATCGTCAGTCAGGAGCTGAGAGGTCGCTTCCTCTTCGTCCACATCTTCCTGGTCTTCAAGCCCAGCGATTTCGAAGTCCCCAAGGGGCGGGTTGTCGTCTTCCTCTTGGCCTGCTGCTGGCGTTGTGTCCGCAATGCCTGACTCCAACCCGTGTCCGTCGTGTGCAGCGTCTTCGGCTTGAAGGTCTTCGTGTTTAATTAATTCAGTGTCGACCGCCGGCGGAGTTTCTGTTTCTTCTTTTTCTCCCTCTGTCTTCATCTGTTGCGCTGCATCATCCATTTCAGTTGCTGTCTTTTCTGCATCTTCGTCTTGCTCTGCTATTTGCAGGCTTTGACCCCCGTGCTCAGTAAGTCCGGAATCGAAGATGAAGGTATTGCTATTTTTGTCTTGGATTTCTTCTTGGATTGCATTATCAATGACTGTATCATTGACAGTGGGTTCGGTTTCCTTTTCCGGGTCTTCGTGAACTTCTTGCTTGACAAGCTCGGTATCAAGGTGTTGACCTTGTGCCTTTTTTTCTCCCACTGTATCATCACCAGCAGATACAGATGCTTCTTCCCTCTTTGTTTTTCCCAGGTCAATCTGTTCAGACGTTTCAGCATTGACCTGTTGGTCTAGATTTTCATCCTCAACGTCTTGTTCACCTGAGGCGGCACCATTGTGCTGGCTTCGTTTGTCTTCCGCATATTCTGTTTGCTCATGCTCCTGGTCTTTTTGTTCACTTGTGCCATTATAAATATCCTGCATCTCCACATCTTCATTGTTATTTTCATTTGGAATCTCTTCTTTCACTGCTTGAGCAGCATCAGGTGCATCTTCTTTGGCTATCTGCTCAGTAGGCCCATCGTCAACAACTGGCGACTTCGCGTCCTCAACTCCAGCCTTGACATCTGCCTGTTCTCGTTCAACTGATTCAGTGTCAGCTTGCTGACTCTGGTTCTCTTCTTGGACGTCTTGATACTTTTGTCCAAGTGGTCCAGTGCCGGCATACTGCAACTCCTCCTCCTCCATCTCTTCACTTTCCCGGTCTATCTGCTCGGCTGCTTCAGTATCAAAGTGTGGGTCCGTTTCCTGCCCATCATGCACCTGACTGTCATCCTCCACTGGTCCTACATCACCATATTCAGTCTCCTCTTCTATCATTTCTTCTTCCGGAGGTTTTTGGTCGATAGCTGGGGAGGCGATGCGCTGAGACCCTTCGTCTCCACCATTGAGGACATCTTCCTCATCTTCTGGCTCAAGTGGTCGAGCGTCAACAGGCTCGTCTTCTTGCTTGGCTGCTTCAACATCAATCTGCTGTTTCTCATCTTCCCCTGATGCAGAATGAGGTTCTCGTTCAGTTGCATTGTCAATGTTCTGACATTCTAGATCTTTGGCTTCTTGATGGACATCTTGTAGTTCTTGTGCAACTGATTCAACATCAACATCCTGTATTGTCTCATCCTCATCCTCCGCATCATATCGCCGTCTTGCCCCCTGTGATTCCCGCAGTCCCTCTTCCCTGGGATCAGTTTCATCTTCTTCCTCCATTCCCCCCTTGACTTCTTGGTCTCCCCCTATTTCATTCTGGACTGGGTTATTAGCCACCTGCACCGATTCTTCGACACCTTCCTCTTCTCCATCTCTTACCTCCACTTGATCTTCTGTGTCTGCCATTTCAGCCTCTTCGCTGTGTTGCTGCTGATGTTCAACCAACTCATCCTGGACGGCCTCATCAGTCATTTGAATCTCCTCGTCAAGCTCTTGCCCGTATTCTTCTCCACCTCTTACCTCCTGATCTTCCTCTTGAGCTCCCTCCTCTTGACCGCGCCCCTCCTGCTCTCGATTTTCCACTAGCTCATCTTGTACTGTGTCATCAGCCACTTGACTCGCCTCTTCCAAACCGTCGTTGTCGCCTTGCTCCCCTGCTCTTACCTCCTGGTCTTCGTCCTCTTCATCCTCGTCGACCTCTTCGTCATCATCCCCTCCCTGCCAATGTCCTCCGTCCTCAAACTCGATCGCTTCTTCATCTTCCTCTTCCGCACTTTCCTCTTCGACCACATCAACGACAGCAACCGAGACGCCACGTTCCTGTTTGATTCTGATCCTGTCCTCCTGAGTTGCCGCCTCATGTGCCGTGACTGTGTCGTCCTCGTCATCGCTAGCCACCGTGATTCCGCTCTTCCTGCTTCTCTTTCTCCGCCCACCCGAGCCTCCTTGGTCGTACTCATCCTCCTCGAGCTCCTCCTGCTCCCGTCTCAGAGCAGCCTCGGCCCGCTTCAGCCTGCGTACAAGAACAGGATCACTCCGCAGATCGAACTCCGTCAGAACAACTTCACATACCGGGCACTGAACGCAGTGTACGCGACGCGCACGTCGACCCGTGTTCCCTAAGGTATGTCTTGGATCCGGGGCGGTGGTGCGGCTCTGCGCAATCATCGCGGTAATAGCCTCGCGCTCGAAGCTGTGCGGGCATTTCGTGCTGGTGACCGGGTCCTTAAAGGGGAGAAGGGTGAGCGGACATTTGAGAGAGATGCGCTCGCGCTCGATCGCGATATCTTCATCCGAAGCATCTTCGTCGTCATCACCTCCAGCCGACGAATTTCCAGTGAGACGGGAAGATGATGCGCTCACGGCAGCCGACACTCCTGATGCTGCGCTCGTCGCCGTGTGTCTGCTGCGGGCGGACGTTGTGGGTTTTTTGCCACCATCCTCAAGATGAGCGAACCAGGTCGAGGCGTGTGGAAGTGGGGGAATGTCATCACCGGGGTGTTTGGCTTCATGGATGATGCGGTAGAATCCGACGTAAGCGTTGTTAGTGGAATATCTGATGATCATGTTAGACAACATTTCATCGTTATTTATGACTGGAAGAATGGTCAAGACTTACTTCTGCGTAAGCGACAGCCCGCTCCACTGCTCCTTCGTCGCCGCCAGACTCTCCTCTACCTTGCCGACCAACGTCGGCCCCACAACCTCCTCCTCCTCATTCTCATTCTGATCCTCTTCATCACCTTCCATCTCCACGTCCACATCGCCATCCCGTCGGTGACTCCGCCGACTAGTCCTCGTCGACCTCCCACCGGCGGCCCCATCCACAACATTCACCCTCCCCTCCAACTCCTTCAGCATGTCAGTCAGCGCCTCGAGCCGGACTTCCCCCTCGATCGCCCCGCGCATCTTCTGATCGAGCTTCGACGTCATCGTCTGCACTTTCTCCCTCAGCGTAGACAACGCTTCATCGTCGTCACCACCGGCGCCATCCTCCTTGCCCTCGTCTGCAGCAGCAGCATCGCCTGCGGAATCAGAAGCGTTTCTTTCTCTTTTGCGTCGCGCCCGCTCCTCCGCATCCGTCAACCGCTCGTTGATATCGCCCGCCGCCTCGGTGAGTTTCTCCTGGGCGTGCTGCAGGTGCGTCTTGAGCGTGCGGAGGGACTGGCTGGCGAGGAGGTTGACGAGGATGGTGTGCGAGGATGAGTGGAGGGTGATTTGGTCGGGTTTAGGGTTGGGAATTGTAGGCGGGGTGTAGGGCGGTGGTTGGGGGATTGCTGTTGCTGAGGATGAGGGGTCTGGCGCTTGGGAATGGGCAGCTCTGTGGCGAAGAGGCATTTTGTCTGCTGTTTTTTTTTTTTTTTTTTTTTTTTTTTTTTTGGTCTTTAGTTGTTTTCTCTGTTCTTGGTGTATTTCGTCTAATTGTCTTTCTGATATGAAGCACAAGCACAATTTGATGTTGATATTAGTTTTCGGTCTAGAGAAGGTGATGATGGAACGGGCTGGGAAGTGGGATTTACTGAGACCCTTTTTCAAACAGAGAACACAACCCCCAATTAGTCGTAGAAATGATGGTGCTGGTCGTGGCGGTGTCTTTGTCTGCTGGTTTGCTTTGTTTCAAATTAATCACACCCACCTACCTTTCTTACCCACCTTACCTACTTTTCTTTGCTTCTGGCATTGGCATCCGACGAAGATGAAAGAAAGCAAAGACGCGACGCGATCCCGCGCTAGTCTGGTTCGGGTTATAGCTGCGCTGCCGCGCCCGCGGTCTTTTATCACTCCAGCACTCTAGCCAGCTGCTTATCGGCTTATCGGTGGATACAATCGTGGGGAAGCCGAGGCGTTCGGTCACCCCTGTGGCGCCGCGGTCATGCCCAATATCACATAATCCACAAAGCGGTATTAACTAAGTTAGTTACTACGGAGTAGTTAACTAGCATTGCTACCACTTCCCAAGACCGGGTTTCACCCGTGGTCAAACGGAGTTCTCTCGGCAGCTGGCGGCAGACGGCAGACGGCAGGCATCCTGCCGCATGACTTGGCGAAGGGGTTAGGCGGTAGGAATTTGAACAGTTTTCCGGGAAAGTTTTCTGGTGGTCGTTAATATGGTTTTGAGCGGAATTTCGTTGCGAGGTCGCGCGGGTTCTGCCGCTTGGGCGGTGGATATAGCGGTAAGGGAATTCTGCTTCCCTAAATTATATAGGCAGGCGGAGAGATTTTGAACAGTTTTCCGGGAAATTTTTTTGGGGGCTGTTAGTATGGTTTTGAGCGGAGTTTTGTTGCGAGGTCGCGCGGATTCTGCCGCTTGGGCGGTGGGTGTAGCGGTCAGGAGTTCTTTCTGCCTGTCTATTACAAAGGCGGAAAATTTTTGAACAGTTTTCCAGGAAAGTTTTCTGGGGGTTGTTGTTCATATAGTTTTGAGCGGATTTCTGTTGCGAGGTCGCGAGGGTTCTGCCGGATAGTCGGTAGGTGAGGCGGTGGGCGTAGGGTGCGGGTTGCCGGGCATGCTGCCGTTTGTCTCTGTCCTACAGAGCCATGCAGTCAACTGCCTGGCAAGGGACTTGGTCAGCAGAAGTTGCCTACAATACGTTTTACACTACTAAGAACAATGGGTGTGGCCATATATGCATTAGGTGTTTGAAGGTATTCTACAGGTGTAATGGTAGTAGTAATAAAGATAGAGATGCGAACCCCAAACCTAGCCTGTCCGTCCCATCTACACCTTGTAGAAGCAGAAGGCATGATAGAAACCTGTACTGTCGGTTAGCTCGGTCCTTACAAAGACAAATCACCAGTTCAGAACTTACTGACTGCTTCCTGCTCCTCCAGGGTCATATTAAGCTCCCCTGTATTGCGATCACGCACTCCCATGCGTTCACTGAGCGGTCCCAACTCGGCATCGTCCTTTTCATCGCGCCACACATCCAAGAATGGCTTGCGATATTGTAGTTCCAAGTTGTACTCCTCGGTCAATCTGGTCCCCGTCGTCAGCCAAGACTACACTCTCAAAGAATTGAAACAAAAGCAGCAGATACTTACGCTCGGAATGCTTCCCATGGCACCACATATTCCGGAACCTCCTCCACAGCCTCCTGCATGAAGTAGTTATATCGCCAGCCAAATGGAGGCCGGAAGATGCCATCCTCGGGGGTCTCCCCAGGGAATCGCACGCGGTAAATGGAATTGCCCCATTCCACCTTGCTTTCCTCCTCGACCTCTCCATCCTCGGGCTCTGTCTCCTCCTTCTTCGAAGCGGCTGCCTCCTCATCGCGCGCCTTGCGCTTCGCATGGCACTCGGCAACCTTGGCACTGATCACGTCGGAGTTCGGACAGACCCCCAGAAACCGGCCGCCCTTCTTCAGACAGCCGGCCACATTGCGTAGCATCTGCCGGGCTTTCTCCTCGCTCTCGAATGCGTAGTGGATCGCGAACATCGAAGCAACAACATCAAAGCCACCCCCACCCCAACGCGAGCTCATCACCGAGCCTCCGGGTCCAACATTAGGATCAATCCCGACGCGCTGCACGATGTCGATATCACCCAACCACTCGCCGAAACAATCCTTGGGCGCAAACTCCGCGTGGAAACTCGGGCCCCGGCCCCCACGACCGCCCCGCGGCCCTCCCCGTCCCGACCGCATCTGGCCAAACCGTTCGCGCGCCTGCACGATCGACACCTCTGCTGGATCCAGTCCCACGTACAAATCCACCGGCTGCGGCGCCAACTGCCACTTGCCCAGATCGCCACCCTTCCCGCAGCCCAAGTCAATCACCAGCAGCTTCTTTTGCTCCATCTGCGGCGGGCCCGTACCGTCCGCCCAGTCCTTAGTCCCAATCGCCTGGGACACAAACTCCTCGTCCGGCGAAAACTTCTGGATAAGCGTGCTCTTGACCCAGTTGTTGAAGCTGCGCAGCCCCTTGATCTTACTCTCAGTCTTGCGCCACTCGCGGCCCCGTTGCGGCACGGCGTTGTAGTGCTGACGCACGAGGTCCGTCACGCCCCGAATCTGCGAGTTGCGGATCGCCTCTTCCTGCTCCGCGCGCTCGCGCTCCTCCTGCCGACGCCGGAGGGTCTCCCGGTCCACGAGACCCATCCGCGCGCCACCGCCGGGTCGCTTGCGCGGACGCGACTGGGCTTCTGGGGTTGGGGACCGCGGCGGCATAGGAGGGGAAGGGGATCGGTTGCGGCCGTTGTTGCGGTTGGGGCCGCCCGCGGGCTCGTCGTCCCGGTCGCGGCGGGAGTAGGCCGATGGAGGCGTGCGACCGCGCTTGCGGAGTTTCTGGTGGCGCTCTTCAACCCGCTTGCGCTTGGAACGGTATTGTTGGTCCGGGACCGCCGTCGTCGAGCTGCTCGGTTCCTCCTCGGAGTGCTTGCGCTTGTAGGTGTCCGGATTTTCCCGTCCGGCGGGGGAGGGGGAGCGAACAGGTTCGGTGTACGAATAGTCGCCCATTTTGGTGGTGGATGTGCCCCGTGGTTTAGGTGAGGGTTTCGGTTGGTCTGAAGTTGATGGGAGGTTGCGAGGAGCGGCGGGTTTATCGGAGACAGTTGGAGGGAGAGTTGGTGATAGAGGCGCTGGAAGGAGAGAGGTAGTCAATTTCAATTGAGGTTCATCTGTGATCTGTCGAATGTCAGTTAACAATGAAGTACGAGTGGTTCGAGTGGTCGATGAAGAAGGTCAGAGATTTTTCGCTGCAGATGCAGCGAGAGCGACCAAAGCCAGCCAGCGTCGGGGAATCACCGCCTCCGGGCGCCACTCGTTGACTAAAGACTCCGCCTCCGCCAGGACAGGCCCCTGCAGTAAGGTATAACGGTGGGGGAGAAGTTTTGGCATGGGTCCAAAAGACGTACAGCAGAAGATGATTGGGGTTTTCGTTGCGGGGAAGAAGTGACAGTTGGAGGAAGTGGATTTGATGGCGCAGAAGACAAAGCACTGGCAGGCGGAACAACTTCCGCCTTCTCTTCCCAGGAATCCCGGGCCGGATCATACATGCTGATGCTGCCTCGTCCCCCTTGGTGCGACGACGGTGCTTCTTGCTCAGCCATGGTGGAGATTCTCGACAAAAGTTGGTGACGACATGCACAATGCCACTATTACGACGGCAAAGGGATCTTCCTATCCTTTTATTCTTTCCTGAATTCAGGTGCTGTTACGATTTCCCTGGTTTGAGTCTAGCCCCAACCGTGTTTCCCTCTGGCCGCATCCGGACAAATGCAGCGGTTTTCGATGGCCATCAACACATCACAAAGAACTAATTCCCAATTCTACTGGACGGGAATGCTTACTCTCAGAACACATTCGAGTATTTTGAAGTGTGATTCTTCCTACCTGGGACGGAAGATCAGATGATACTTTGGAATATGCGCTGTAAAACAGTCCAGCACCCCGTGGCTCACTGCCTCCAGTGGTCCCTGTCCCTGCCCTGGAGGAAACTCCAGGTCGAAATTTCTCACAATTGTGGCCACTAGAAGTCGCATTTCCATCATGGCAAATGGCTTACCCGCACAGGCGTATTTGCCCGTGGAGAAGGACTTGAATGCCTCCTTGCAGAGCACCATCTCCGGCTTGCTCGTCCACCGCTCGGGGATAAAGCTGTTCGGGTCTACAAAGTTTCGGGGATCTGTGGGCTGGTCAGCCTTGCCTGCAGAGTCATCTAGAGATCACAGTTCGAACCTCGATGGATAGTGTAAGTTGGCGTAGAAACTGTGGTCCTCGGAGGGATATGGACCCCGGCTATCATGAGGCCTTCCGAACCAGTCTCGCGTGGAACACCGCTCGAGACGCTGGGGTACAGGCGAAGACCCTCGTTAATGCAGCTTTCCAGCCATGGCTTACCTGCTAGCACAGCATGGGAAAGCCCCTCCTTCGCAGGAAGACAAGTATCCAACTCCTGCTGCAGCTCTCGGAGCTTGTCCGGATGCTGGGCCAACAGATACAGAAGCGCGCTCACTGTCGCGGCACTGGTATCGCTGCCTGCGGTGATCGCGAGCTCGGAGTCGTAGACTAGATCCTCGTCCATTGAGCTCTTCGCTTGCCCTGGACCGCTGTTTGCCAAAGACCCCTCAATGAGATAGCTGAAGAGGTCCTTATGATCCAGCTCCATCTGCGTAAGGTCAGCAAGAAACTCCTTATCATTCCGTGGAACGTGTAACACCAGTCCGTACCTGCTTTCTTTTCTCCAACTGCTCGCCGCACCAGTCTAACCACTGCTGAGTCTTGTATCGAAGAAGTGGAGCACTCCGAATTAACTGGCCGATCCAGCTTGCGCACTGCAGCACGCTTGCGAGACGACCGAGAGCCTTCATCTGTTTGATTTCCGATGGTGGAGCACCTTGCAGCATATTGAATGACTTCCCCAATGTAAGCACACCCATCGAGTCCCAGGTAAACCCGTCAATCAGTTTGTTGACTTCCTGCCTATGCGATGCTCGCGAGGAAATGAGCTCAACCAGGACTTTGCAATGGTCGAGTAAGAAGGGCTCATAGCCGGCCAGTGCTAGCGAGGGGGTCAGAACGATCGTCTAGTATGAGCAATATTCGCCGGCGCGCAAGGGCAGGAAAAGCCACCTCGAGGACTGAACCCACGATCCCATATCTTCCTCCGTCTCGCATGATGTGCCTTATCTCGAGTCATCTGCAGGGAATGATTAGGGTAGTTCAGGTCGTAGAATGTGCCCTTGACACACGAGGTTCCCGCCCCATGTATAACTTTGATGGCCGCCGGGTTATTGATTGATATCTCCCGCGGCTCTACGTGAAGCATGTCAGCGCAGTCCACCTGCCTCCCCCACCCCCGGCAAAACAAATTGATGATTCAAGCCCTTGACATACTGATCCGGACAAAAGTTCCATATTGGCGATGGAGCTCCTGTACACGAAGATGCCATTTGGCATCAATCACCGCTGCCTTGATGGACCAGAGCGCCGAGAGTCTCGCGAGTCGAGGACCAGGGAAGCGCCGTAATGCATGGAAGAAGTACCGGTAAACGGCAATGGACAAGCCCAAGGCGATATTGAAGCTCGCGAGGGCGCTCAGCGCGAGCCACATCGCATGATAGTATCCTGCGCCGGCTAGGAGGCCAAGCATTACCGTTGGCCAGAGATAGAGCGTAGCAAAGAGGGGAAATGCATGTACATCCCACTCGGACTGGATGAACAAGCCGAGATGACTAGTAGTCCCTAGCACTGTGGCAATAATGCAGATCGATACTTGCAACGGGTCCATGGTCGTGCAGGGACGATGGCGGGGGCCAGGGCTGTCTGTTCAGGGAGAAAGAAGAGAAGGGAGCTATGCTTCTTAGTGCTCACATATATTCCATCGGTCTTCCCTAGTACTCATTCAGCATCCACCTTCTTCGGTTCGTTGGGGCTTTTCGGGATCTGAAGTGTCGCTGCTCCGAACTGCGTTTCCGGACAACAGGGGGTTCCTGAATAAGGATTGAGGGATGGTGGGAAGCGTTACCTTGTAGCGAGGTTGTTCGCTGCATGATCTCCCAAGTTCTGTGTTGAAAATCACCGCTCCTCCAGTGTAGCGTCGTTGTGAGAGACTTGGAAGTAACAACACGTTGGCGTCAAATCGCACGAGCTTTGAAACAGAAAAGGGCCGACCGATAGAAGGCTACAGTCACCCTGGGACAATTGCGTGTCGTGAATGCAGAACTACTCATCTTCTCCTGCTCGCGTCATCGACAGTGAGAAGGGTTGTACAGGGCTCAGCGTTGGACGAGGAAGAATTTGCGAGAATAAGCGGCTTGAGGTAAGATTTGTGAGAGGCCAACCAGGATGCATGGCCGTGAAGTTGTTCCGAGGATCGAGCCTACGACGGCGCTGAAACGATGGAGAACACGATGGAAAAAGAGATGTAGATCTTGGTCAGGAAGATGTATTGAGTGTCATGAAAAGCACAAAAAGGAAAAAAGAACGACTGGTGATTCCAAATGTGATCAAGATGATGAAGCTGCCCAGCCGTTATGACAGTGACATGCCGAATCTGAAACATCATGATGGTTAGCAGCAAACACGATTGAGAGAAACTTATCCAGACAAGCCAAAGACGAGAAACTGAACTACTACTGTACCGTCTTTCTACTGCATCTATCCGCATGCGCCACACAGAACCCAGCATTGGTTTATTCATACTGGGGAGAGCTCAAGTCAGAGGGAGTTGATCGGACGGAGAATTATCATGGCGTGAATCGAGCCGACAAAACACAGGGTGGCCCCTGCGAAAGCCGTGAACCCTCGGAATTTCTATGACTAAAGTACAAACAGCCAACCGAACAGGCCAAACGTCATATCACAGAGAAGACATAATAGTCCAACGAATAAGAGAAAAGAATTAGAAAACAAAAGTCTGGTTAAGGAGGGACAAACATTGTAACAATTCTTAGTCGACACCCCCAAACGCCCGCCGTGTCTGTGTTATGGGAACCCCTACCACTCATACCACCCCTCATCTACAACATCATTATGCCGGGTATCCCTCATGCTATGCTACACCTACTACGGACTTTTCAGGTTCATCTCCTCGTTCCGGCCCCAGATGGACAACCAATCTTGCACAGAAGCACTGGCCCGCTTCATTTCTGCAAAACACGCATTTCGCACGCCCTCGCTCTGGATGACCGCCAGGGCTTTCCTGATATTCCGAGGGGAACTAGTCTCCAATGCTTTGGCCACCCAGTGACCATCGGGGACTTCGAGGGCCAGGATGATGGGATATGAGTACTCGTGGTTGCGCAGATCTTCTGCAAGCGCACCTTTCGCCTTGGCGTATTCCGATGAGTAGACGTTCTTGCAGTCGTTCTGAAGTTGAGAGCACCATCTGTGTAGTGGATTATATATAGTTAGCACTCGGGTGATCACGCCCTCTTCTTTAAGATTCTAGTAGAGTTTCAAGGACTAGTGAAAAAAGAAAAAAAAAAAAAAAAGAAAAAAAAAAAAAAGGCACGGGGGTGAGATATTACGCCAGAGTGGTCATCGTCTCATCCATCGATGTGTCCTCCTTCACCAGCTGAGCCAGCATCCGAAACAGGGCCCCTGTCTTCAGGGAGGCCATCTTCCGATATGCCGCTACACGTTCGGCGTGAGATGTTGGGAAGACACTCAGTCCATCTCGTCGCCACACCAAAGATAGATCCTGGCCGGCCAGAATCTCCTCCAGGTTCTGCATCAGAAATGGGGCCAGATTCGGGAAGCTTTGCACCGTCTCGTTCAGAATCTGCGTCACCCGGTAGTAGGCCCGGTTGGCGGTCTCCGAAGGACCATAGATCTTGTGCGCTGCCGGCTTGCCTTTGCGGTAATCGCTGTTGTCGGTGACCTAGACAATGTGTGTGTGTGTGCGCGCGATTAGTGAATGAGGCTTGAAACAAAACTCGCAAAGACGAGAAAATGACCCACATCGTCTACCAGCATTAAACACAGGTGAATCGCGTCCATGATCTCGTTGATCATCGTGTACTTGGCTGGATTATTGGTCTTAAGGTTTGGGTCGAGCTTGTGTACAAAGGGAGCCCAGTGATACTTGCCATATGTCTGGCGGATATAAGCGTAGGGACATTCAAAGGAGGTCACTAGATCTGGTCGCTTCTGGCCGATCAAGAATGCCTTCTTGGATGTCGGCCATAGAGGCGGCATTCTATCCAGAAACACATAGACGACAAGAGGGAAAATTCCGATAGTTGCCATCCATGGCAGCGACATGGAAGCAACCTCTGGAATTGCGGTCATGATACGCTGCTGTTCTTTGGTGGATTTGAAAGCTCTTTTCCTTTCCCTTTCTGCGTGGGGTTGGTAGGGTTTTTCTTAGGTAGACATAACAACCAGGAAATAGATACTTCAGGTTACAATGCAGGACTTATTTGAGGGTAGAAGGTGAAGGGACCCTCTCCTGGGCTATATACGTAAAGGCATGGCTAATCTAAACAGGTGCAGAATGGATCGTTCTTCACCCTCGGACGTCCTGCCCCATTTCTGCTGGATTTGAAGGCGATGGTCGAGGGATTTGGAACAAGTTACACTATCTGGCTTCCTCAGGCTTACCACCAATGCCACTTCCCTGACCTGAATAAATTTCAACCCATCAGCTGGCAGTCAGTCGTGCATAGGTACATTTGCCTAGAGCACAGCAGGACAAAGAAATTGGCCCCAAGACCCAAAGCTTCCCTGGCTTTCTTGCAGCAAGTCCTGCAGAAAAGGATACGATCCTGCGTCACACGGTTGGTATATCCTATTCTTCCAGTCCTACTCCGGGCGGGCGAACTCAGAACAACCTGCCTGGGAAGAATGAGAATCTGGAAGAGTAGCAGCATGGATTGTATGTTGTTTTGCGGGGAGTGAATCTAAGTTCAGGTACTGTTGTAAGCCTGCTCTTTTCCACTGCGAATGTATATAAACAGCGCCAAAGTAAGGAAAGTCATCTCGTATTGAACTACTAAGACGCGAGCCATTTATTATCCCCTCCTCCCTCCCTCGCTTTCAGCTCAGCCAGTCAAATGGATGGATTCAATCATTTGGAAGTGCCTGCCGAGTATGAAGAGCTCAAATGGCTCGATACCCTGTTTGTCGCAGGGATGGGCATCGGTTGGCTTGCCTACTATCTCAATGCCACCTACACATCTTTCACAGATCAGACCTACTGCATGACCGTTGCGGGGCTCACAATCAACTTCGCGTGGGAGACTGTGTATTGCCTAGTATATCCAGCCAAAGGGATGATCGAGCGCACCATCTGCTTCCTAGGTCTGTTGCTCGATATTGCAGTCATTTACGGCGCCATCAGGAACGGCCGCAACGAATGGCGCCACTCCCCGCTGGTGATGAACAACCTGGTCCTCAGCTTTACAGTCATGACTCTCTTCTGGGTGAGCGGACACTTGGCCCTGGCGGCTCAGCTGGGTCCTGGTCAGGCTTATTCCTGGGGAGCTGTCGTCTGTCAGATGTTCATCAGTGTTGGTGATGTGTTTCTGTTGCTGACTCGGGGCAGCACGCGTGGCGCTTCGTACACGAAATGGTATGTTGACTGTCTTTCCCGGACTCTGCGAAGATGTGTTCTGACAGTTGGGGAAACACCAGGCTCTCGCGGTTCCTAGGATCTATCTCGACTCTTGGCTTTGCTTCTATTCGGTATGTATATTGGCCACGTGCTTTCGCCTGGCTAAATTGTCCCCTTATGCTCTGGGCTGTTGCTGTCTTTTTTCTCTCCGAGCTACTCTACGGCTTTTGCTTTTTTCTCATTCGGCGGCAGGAGGAAGCATCTCGATTGGAAGAGAAACGCAAATGTGGATAGGGTGAGATCATGGTCTTTTTGTCTTTTTCTGCGACTTTTGAGTTTGGATTTCAAGACGTGAACACGAGGGTGAGAGTATCGTTCGAGGTAGAGCGAGAGTGCGTTGTGAGGATGTTCGCGGTTTTAGACGAATGGCCAGCCCATGAAACACGTTTCAGATCATGATCAAATAATGTATACGAGGGATAAATGTATCTTTCCCTTCACCTGTAACACCGCGGAAAAGGCCATGCCCCTTCTTCGTTGACAGGGAGGGTTATACAAGGATCAGTGCCGCACTGCCCTGCAGGAGGCTTGGGTTGGGCTGAGGTAGACGGGAATGTCTCTCAGGAGAAAAAGAAAACCAATGGGGTGGGCGTGAGCGACGAACTGATTGTTGAGCTGAGTAGGGGGTAGGAGTGGGGGGGAAGATATGCGGATCTCTGTAACGGTATAATCCCTGAACCAAGAGTCTTCCTGCGATTGTACGTAGAAGGACCATCTGATTCCAGAGGATGTGCTACAAGCGGACCAAAATCACGTCTCACAGACTTACTTCGGAACGCACAGCCAGGGGACTGTCGACACCCTCTCGAAGGAACTACCTTAGCCCTGGTGGACGCAAGACACTCGGTGACTGGCACTGAGTGAGAAATGAATTCTGGGCTAAGCCTGTCTCTCCCCATACATTTGAACGGAGGCGGTATTCACAACACTGGCGGAAACCTTCTTCTCTTAATCTTGATACAAGCGACCTATTACCACAAGCATCGTATTTTGAATCCCCTTAACTCCGACAAGGGATGTCTGCAACACAGTCTCAGTTCAGGGTCCTCATAGTTGGGGGCTCTATAGCGGGGCTAACGCTCGCTCATTGTCTTCAACGCGCCAATATCGACCATCTCGTCCTCGAAAAGGGCAGTGATATTGCTCCACAGCTGGGCGCCTCGGTGGGTATCTTGCCAAATGGAGGTCGCATTCTCGATCAGTTGAATCTCTTCGATACCATCGAACAATTCATCGAGCCTACCTACACAGCTAACGTTACATATCCCGATGGTTTCACCTTTTCCAATGTGTATCCTAAGACCTTGGGTGAGAGGTAATTTCTCGGTGCCGACATGTTTTTCACTTCGCGTTTGAGAAGACACGCTGAATCCCGCAGATTTGGATACCCAATTGCCTTCCTAGACCGTCAGAAACTCCTACAGATCCTATACGAAAAATCTCACGCGAAGAAGAACATCCTCGCAAGCAAGGAGATCGTCAAAGTACAAAGGATCGAGCAGGGCGTACGTGTAATTGCAGCTGATGGTTCACAATATGACGGGAGCCTCGTCGTAGGTGCCGATGGAGTCCACAGTCGAATCCGGTCCGAGATCTGGAGACTCGCAGAGGAGCTCAAGCCTGGACTGATTTCGACACAGGAACGTACCTGTCTGTCTCCCCAGCCCCTAACTGACGTTGATCATCTTGCAGTGAATAACACGCTAACCAAGAGATTCGCTCCAGGCATGACTGTTGAATATGCATGTATCTTCGGAATCTCGTCGCAAATCCCCAACCTCGAGATCAGTGAACAGATCAATGGGCTCTTCGATCACCTGTCTATCTTGACAATACATGGCAAGAAGGGTCGAGTATTTTGGTTTATCATCACCAAGCTACCACGGAAATATACTTATCCCAATGTTCCACGCTTCTCCGACAAAGATGCGGCTAAATTCATGGAGAACCTGAAGCATGTGCGGTTCTTCAAGAACGTCTGTGTGGGGGATCTATGGAAGAATCGAGAGGTGTTCTCCATGACAGCCCTGGAGGAAGGCTTGTTCAGGACGTGGTTCTTCGACCGTATGGTTCTCATCGGCGATAGTGTTCACAAGGTCTGTTTCGCATTGCCTGCCGCTTCCTCTACTCATCCCGCTTGGGCTCAAGCTGAACTCAAGTTTCAATGCACAGATGACAACCAATTTCGGTCAAGGTGCCAACAGCGCGATCGAAGATGCGGCCACTTTGTCCTCGCTACTATATGATCTTGTCCACGGGTGTGGTGTGCGGAATCCGTCCGACGCGGAGATCCAGGATTTGCTTCAGAAGTATCACGAGGCCCGGTATGACCGAATGAAAATGATGTGCCACACCTCGGCAGAAGTGTGTCGGACGCAGGCTCGAGATGGCCTGTATCGGATCTTTGCGGGTCGATACATGATACCATACTCGAGAAGCATCCCGGCCGATTTGGCGTCGAAGGTCATGGCCGACGCGGACAAAATCACTTTTCTGTCTTGCCCTAAGAACCGATCGGCCCTGGGTTGGCAGACGTGGGGAAAGGAGGCCCAGAGAGCGACCCGCGTCCGCCGCATAATCAGGTTGCTGCTCTTCGTTGCACTGGGGGTCTTCTGCTTCTGGGTGTCAGGAAGGGGAAGCACTTCTTGACTATTCGGAAACTATATGTCAAGGGGCTCTAAAGAGTAGCTGTTTCATTACATGCAACCTGCGCACAGGATGAAAAGACCTTAAGGATGCCACATTCGAAGACTCTGTTTCAGATGGAGATACTACTAATTCAGCCACATGAATGGCATCTAACGAGAAACCTTGATGAAATTAACGTTGCTAATAGCCTTCTATCATGACCGAGCTTGTTGCATCATTTACTTCTAAACTTCAGTTTGGTTGGGTTTTGTTCCTGCAACTTGGGTAGGGTATGCTTGCATGAGGACCTACCGTGCGCATCTGCAAGTATGATATCTTGTTCCGTGCCTTAGTACTAAGTATTGTGTCCTTAAACAACTACGACTAGCTTCTTTCAATGTCCTCATCAGTCTCCAACATTCAACCTTTGGCAAACAGCAACCACTCGATCAAACATGTTATTTCCCAATGAAGTTCAAGATATGGTATCAGGGCTCATGCATTAGTAGTCATGCCCGAGTACCTTGGTGCGACGAATACGAGAAAATGATCAGTGGGACAAGGTCCGAAGACTCACAATCTCTGTCACTACTGTCTACCCCTACGCCCGCTCCAACTCTCTCGATCTCAGTCACCTACTAACTTGCTTTTACATGACGTACCCCAATATCCTCAAGGCCCCTGCATTTATTCTGATGCCTTGATTTTGCCGTCTCACTCGTTCGAATGCAATACAGTTTATGATCGAACTTGAAACATCACTCTGACCAATTCCCATTTATCTTTGCAATATACCTTCAAACACCGGCCACGGTTGGACCTCTAAATCGTCAAGCGGCCGCGCGTGTAGAAAGGCGACGGTCCACGGCAGGTGGTTGCAGGTATCGATAAGATAATTGAGATATGCCATAACTACTAGGCTCGTGGCCCCTGTTGAGCGGGATTTCCCAGTTGGTGGTCGTCGTTGTTGGTTTGCTCGCCGAAGGGCTTGACGATGTGATGTACATGGCTCGCTGCCAGCTAGATGCATATGGAATTCAGTTTGCTGTATTGTGTTGCTCTTGATAGTGAAAGAAAGCAGATTTAGAGCTCACGCGGGCATTTTCTGCTCGATCCAGTTGACGGTCTCCTCTGTAGTGTTCATCTCCGAAAACCGAAACTATGGCGACACCCCATCGAAGGATAAAACACCCTAAGGTACAGTTTAGGGCAACGGGGACAGTATTCAAGAATAAGCCTAGCTGTCAATAGAGATAGAGAAACCTTTCATCTCCTAATCTTACACCTATGAGGATGAGGCTATCTTGTGCGCATGCTTCAGGGCGGGGATCTTCTTATTAGTGGCTATGGATTATACCGCCAGAATGAATCATCTAGATTAGTACGCATGTCTGCGCTATCAGTTGATGGGTGAAGCAAGAAGACATGGTACTCCCGCGGACCTTGCTGGAATGTTGAGTGAATTGGAAGTACTCAGACACATTGTCATGAAAATCTACTGGTTAGTCTGGTTGGATGTTAACGCTCTCGTACAAAGCTACTAAACTAAAGCACTTATATAGCAAGGATAGCGAAGTAGCTGAAACAAGCTTCAAACTCAATCCACACCATTCATGTTGTGTTCTTCGGTCTGGTTACTATTGTATATACTGTCAAGGTGCAGTCTTAGTGGTATCAATTTACCAAGGGTGATGCAATGAAGTACAGATGTTCGGCTTTTTTTGACTCTTCGACAAGCTGACAGAGTAAAGAATCACTTGAGATCAAATGGAAGTTGTGATTGAGAAGCTATGCGAGAGCAAATGTCAGCTGAATTGCAACCGCCACTGGAGTTCCAGGTGCGTTGTCTTGTGTCTTTGGAGCGGACTGCATCTCCATGCAAGCATCGGCATGATTAGATTGGCGTGTGTGCTGCCTGAGGCAGAGACTTCACTTCCTAGCCGTTACCAATTCGGGCCTAGCGCCCCCAGCTCCGATGCTCTTCAAGCTCTCTCAAGCACTTCCTTTAATGATTCACTCATTCTCATCTGCTACTGCATATTCCCCTCCGATCCGACTTTGACACCTTCTATGACCTCAGGAAAACATGTCCTACGCGGTGGAAACTAAAAAGCGCAAGTTCCACCGGGTCCTCGAATCCCTGACGAAGCCTCCCTCAACACCCGTTTCCTCTAAGGCAGCCGCCCTCGAAACCCCGCCAGCCGCACGAGAGCATACCTCACTCGAACACTCGAGTAAAAGGGCTCGCTTAGACCTTGCTGAGCTTCCTTTTGCTCGTAGCTCTTTGCTGAGCACACCGCGGCCCAGTTCCCGTGTCTCCACTACCTCTACAACCACTCCATCACGCCCCAGCTTTGTCCCATGGGATCGGGAGCGCTTTCTCGAGCGATTGGAAACATTCCGTCGCGTAGATCGATGGGCACCCAAACCGACGGCGATTAGCGAAGTCGAGTGGGCTAAGCGCGGGTGGATATGTAATGATGTCGCGCGCGTTGTCTGCGTGGGTGGGTGCGGTGGCTCGGTGGTTGTCAAATTGCCAGACGAGCTCGACGAACTGGATGGATTTGATGCGGAGAAGGTGCTGGAGAGGAAGCAAGTCCGTAAGTTGACTGTCCGATCTCCAGACATCCATATGTTCACTGGGGAGCTAATTCGGGATGATCTACAGGCGCGAGGTTGGTGGAGGAGTATGTGGGACAGATGGTTAAAGGGCATGCTGAGACTTGTCCGTGGAGAAACAAAGGATGCGATGGTAGGAATATGCACTTTCTTTCCTCTCTGCTTGTAGCCAAATGGTCAAACTAATTCATTTGCTCCTAGCTACGATTCATCGCTTGCCACTATCCAACCCAGATACGGCTATTTCCGCGCTACGCACACGCTACACCAACTTGGTCAAAATGGCAGATCAATTGCCGGCATATGCGACTATCCAAACTCCGGAGTCGTTTGATATAGACTCGATTATTGGCACTCTCCCAGCGGAATTCGGAAGCAACGGAAGCAACGGAAGCAACGAGAAGCCACAAGATGCTGCAGGAAATGAGAATTCTCAAGATGCTGAGAAAACCCAGGACTCGAACCAAACAATCTCTTCGGACGAAGCCTCAATTAACATGACTGCTTTTACGCTTGCCTTCTTCGGTTGGGATGCTGTGCCAGACGGAACAGCTGGTCTGGCTGGCTGTAGCGTGTGCTTCCGGCGGCTGGGTCTGTGGATGTACAAACAGAAGACCAACGGGGATGCTGCTCTTTATGATACCCTCGACGTAGCCCTTGGACACATGGAATACTGTCCATGGGTCAATGGGACTGCGCAGAGTGGTACCGGACGTGCATCTGAGAAGCCCGAGAACCTTCGATGTGGGTGGCAGCTGTTGAGCCAGGCGCTCAAGGTGCGGCATCGTCGGCAGATTCGGTCAAGCGTCTCAGTCTCCAGCCGTGCTCCATCCGAGGCCCCTTCGACGGATGAGCTTGAAATAGACGAGACTAGCCCGGAGGACAAAAAGGCTCGCGATCGCGCATGGTGGACTAAACTCCGGCGCATGAGACAAGTCTTAAATGTCCAGTCACCCAGAAAAAAGTCCGTCCCTCAAAATTGACTTGCCCATCATTACCATATTTTCTTCTTCTTCTTCTTACTTCACACATTACAGGTTTTATGCAGCGTGGCGTTTCGAGGCATCTGTATGCATAGCGTCTCTTTGTTTTTCATTTTCATGATGTTTTATTTATCGTTGAGGGAATGTTCTTGATGGGCAATAGCTCGGTTGTGTTTGATGCTGGCACAAGATGCAATCGGATCTCTAGCAATTTTAATCTTCATATAGAAGAGAGCCATCTTCGTGGAATATTTACTTCCTGTCCTCGGTAGAAGAATGTTTTGTACTGGGAAATGTCACATGCTTGCACTAGTAGTGCGTCACAATATGCGCTAGAACAAATAGGGACCTCTTAGCGCCTGAGGCAGCCGATTTCTTCCATCCTTTTCGCAGGAATCGGATCTACCTGGCAAAGGCTCTCCGCTTGTATTCCATTTGTTCTTCTTCAGAGAAATGAGTTATTTATGAAACTGGGAGTATATAGCGTGACCTGAAGTATGTGATTTTGGAGCTTGGACTTTCCTCGAACCTCTCCGGCTCAGCAAGTCTGGCCCAACACCCGCCATCTATAGAGCTTGCATTGACTAAGTATCGACAATGAGCCATGAAGAGTCTCGGCAAGCCGAGCTCGACTCGAGACGAGCACTAGACCAGCCACCTCTCCAGAAGCCAAAGGTCCGCTTGAGCTGTGAGACATGTCGCCAACGGAAAGTAAAATGCGACAAGCTCGATCCTTGCACCAACTGTCAGCGACTGGGGACCAGATGCGTTCCCGTTGAGCGCGCGCGTCTGCCCCGTGGAAGATCTGGACGACAAGCTCCGGAGCTCTCCAGCTACGATCCGGATGCAAACCTGAAGGACCGCGTCGCCAAACTTGAGGGCATCATTCGGAACCTTGCTCAGACCGACTATGGATTTTCGCCTCGAACCAGTACTGTTCCGGATGGGCCCGCTGTAAGAGATAGTCCCGCCACAGGTCGCTCGAGATCCAAAGGCATGGATATGCGCAGTGACGACGCCTCGGAAGACTCGGACGCTGGTGGAAACACGCCGGATAGCCATTTAGGATCTTCGTTCTGGGCTAATCTCCTGAAAGAGGTAAGTTGGTTCGAGTGACTTAAACTTCTGCGGCTGGGCTAGCTAGTTTGTCATCGCGGTTGACGAACGTCCCCAAACAGGTGCCAGAGCTACATCCTAATGATGACCGCAGCTCGAGAGAAGGGAATCCTAAGCCGGCAAGCAGCCAGCTGCAGATGTATCGACGTCTTCTTGCAACGGCAAGTCGGCAGCATGAATCCGCCTCGGGAGAACAGCCGGGCATTTCGAAACATGCTCAGCAGCAGCTTTGTCAAGTGTTTCTCGAAAGAGTTGACCCTGTTGTAAAAATACTGCACAGGCCGTCCCTCTGCGCTTTTCTTTTGGAAGGAAAACCTTACCTTGACTATGAGCCGGAACATCTGGCGCCAACAGCCCTTGCCTGTGCTGTCTATTATGCGGCTTCTTGCAGCCTGTTGGAGGATGAATGCACACGCGCCTTTGGCGTGACCAAAGCATCCTTGGTAGCGAAATACCAGGGCGATGTTGAACTAGCTCTGGGGCGTGCGGACTACATCACCACAAATGACCTGACTGTTCTACAGGCATTCGTTCTCTTTCTGGTATGTCTCACGTCCCTAACGTGCAATCCGATTTGCAGTGAAGTCTGATATCTAACTTACTTCAGGTGTCGCTCCGGTCGCAAGACCAGAGTCGCAGAATGTGGACATTGCTTAGCATGGCCTTGCGCATTGCGCAAGCCCAGTCGCTTCATCTGGCTGATCCGCCATTTCCAGTCCGACCCTTTGAGCGCGAGCTTCGCCAGCGTCTCTGGCAAGCAATCGGCTTCCTTGACATTCTAGCCTCGATGGACCGTGACACCGAGCCCATGATGCAGGCACAGTGGTTGCAATCCCACCCCCCTACCCACATCAACGACGAAGATATCTCTTTTGATATGCAAAGAAGCCCAGCCGATTCTCCCGGCTTCACTGACATGACTTTCACCATGATTGTCGGCAAAGCTCATGTTATCACGAGACTCATCAATTTCTCCGACTTCACCGAATCATCCGTCAGCACCCTCGCTCTCCGCCAACAGCTCGTGCTCGACTTTCAACATACCGCCTCTAAACTACTTCATCACTCCCAACCCGACAAAGCTCCCTTCCACTGGTTCACCCGCCTGGTCGCCGAGAGTATCTATGCTTGCCTTCAGCTTATCATCATTCGCCCTCTGAAGCGTACACCGCGCTTCATTCCTCCGTATGTCCAAGGTGACCGCCTCTTGGAATTCGCCGTCAACATCCTCCAGAACTATCATCGCCGTCGGGACGATCCGCGTACTCCGCCGTGGCTCTGGGTCGAATTCGCTTTCCCGCCGTGGCACGGTCTAGCTGTAGCCATTGCGGAGCTCTGTGTCTGCGAAAACCAAGCGATCATGGAGAGATTCTGGCCGACGGTCGAACAGACCTTCGACCGACTGGGTCGGCTCGTCGCCGATTCGAAGCGCGGGAACCTCTGGAAGCCCATGGAGAAAATCATGGCTCAGGCGCGCGCCAGAAGGGCCCAGTTGCTCGCTGGTCTCACACCTACCATCAATCGTCCCCCATACCCTTCTTCTTCTTCGTCCCCGTCTTCCGCGCATCAAATCCCTCAACCGCAGACTCTTCCCTCTCCTACTGCTCGTTACAACAATCCAGAGGCACCGCGGCAGCAACCACCAATACCACCACCAACAGCAGCAGTCTTCCCCTCGAACCCATCCATGCAAAGCGCACAGCAACCACAACCACAAGACGAGCCGGCTCCTGTCGACGTCATGGCTGCGTTGAACACCCCAGAAAGTCTCGATGGTGCGGCCTCCTGGCCCAGCGTCTGGGACGCGGTTGATTTGGGATACGCGGACTCTGCCAACCAGACCGCCTGGATGAACTACGAGAGCTTCCTCACGGACATATACTTCTTACCGAGCCTACGATAGAGAACCCCGCTTCTCTGTTGTGTATATAACATGTGACACCGAATAACTACTACCAGTTTCCCCTCTCTTCTCCACTTCGTTGTCTGTACCACGAGGGCCCAGTCAAATGCGTATGTCCTTGACTTAACACAAACACTCACTCTCCATTTCACCATTATTTTTTTTTCAGCAGCCCCATTCCGAAAAGCGACAATCTATCGAAATTTGCTCTCCCAGCACACATAAGTTTCATAACGATCCGTAGTATACAACGACCCACGAGAGAATTTTGAAGGACAAAAAGCCATCGCAACCTGGAATGTCGACGAATACAGCAGAACAAGTTGAAAATGACCCAACGCCCCCCCCCCTTCTCAAAAGGAAGAGTCGTAGTGATATACTTTAACAAAGATTTGGGGGATCGGGAAAGAACCTCAGACAAGATGGACGTGCAACGCAGAGTGAACCCACACTCGTAACTCAAAAATTCTCTTTTCGAATGGTAGGAATGAGATGAATGGCAAGAAAATCTCTACTACCCTTAAACAGATGACCCGACCGAGCAAACCATACCCACCGCCCGAGACGCCATAATACCTAGCCATTTCGGTGTACCGCGCGAAGACTCTTTCTTCCTCTATTGCGAATTCTTCTCTCTCGCGCAGTACTGTGTTCGAGGGGGATGATGGCCTTCTCCCCTGCTTTCTCGTTCACGGAGTGGAAGGCGATCAAGATGAAAAGGGAAGGAGTAGATGGGAATACGAAAACACGGAGAGAGAGAAAGACACAGAGAGAGAAGCGACGGGAGAAGGCTCAGGTACACCTTAGAGAGAGAGACACTAAGCTTTAAAGATGAAGATAATCGTTGAACATGAAATGGTAATGGGAAACATAAATCCAGGGTATTTGTACATAAAGCAAGATGTCGAGACGAGCAACGAGCCGAAGATAGGAGCAATTAGAGGAAGACAGGGATAAGAGAAGCGGAATAAGAAGCAAAGAGACAAAGAAGTGGTAGTATAACACCGTGTCATATAGTAGCACAAGAGAAGAAGAGAAAGCAACGCCTCGAATCAAAACAGACTAAGCCGAATGTGAAATACTTCGTCATCGTGTCAAAGGGGCAAGAGGGAGAAAGAAAAATGGTGGTTAATAATTGTCTTCCTGTTTTGCTTGTGTTTGTTTTCTCTTTGCTTCAATAATAATCCTCCTTCTCGATCAACATAATCAGTTCCGTCAGTTCCTTGCGCAAAGACCGATTCCGATCCCATACTTCCACAATCTTCGGCCGATGACTGAGAAAGACGGCTTTCTTCCAGGGAAGACCGTTGTATTTTTGGACAACACCTGTGGGAAGATTACGGGCAATGTTGCGCAGGACTAGGGCTGCTTTATAAGCTACCCCGATGGGTTCGCCACGCTCGCTGACTGGCGTATTGAGGTAAAACCACTTCCGCACAATACGCTCCTGAAGCACAGTCCGCTTGGAGACGGGGGCTTCTGCATCTGCGGCGCGTTCTTCCGGAAGGTGAGAGGCGACGTGACCGGCAACCGCGGCAGTGTTCGCGCTGGCGCCAGAGCCGCGGAATCGCGTGCAGCCGTCCCAAAGACAAGTATGAACAGCCGATTCGGCGTTGTCCAAATTGTAGTGGCCGGGCGTTTCGGTGGGCTTGAGCTTCATGTGATCAGCGAAAACGTGATTGCGAAGATCCGTCGGGGCGGAGAAGGCCCGCTGGCAGGTTTTGCTGGGCTTGGAGTCGTCGGCCCATTTGCAGTAGATGTAGGGGAAGCCCTGGAAGGTATAGGCTGTCTCCAGAGGGCGGATGCCTTTGATAATGAAACGGGGCGAGGAGCCCGGGCCATTGATGACCTGCGCTTGAGCATTGGTGAATGTCGTGCTCACGTTTTTGATGAACTCGGCGGCAGGAAGAACGCCACCTCCTGGTAAGCGAGGGTCGGCAAATCGACTCTGGTAAGCCTGCCAGAGGGCAATTTGTGTAATTTCGCATTCCGCATCCTCTACAAAGCAGCACCTGAGCCAGCGCGAGCTCCGCTCGGGCTCAGATAGTTCCATTAGGTCCTTAAGAAGCTCAGGGGGTACACGGGGGATTTCCGATGGCGGTGGTGCAACCTTCTCATCTTGTAGAACGGTTTCCATTTTGGTGGGCCGGGCCTCGTACGTCAGCAGCGCGATCATGCGTGGAACGAAGATGCTGGGAAAATCGAAGACATCGAGCATGGTCTCGATGTTATCGCGCGAGAGTGTGTATTGGTACCAGAAGTCCAGAGCACCGCTCAAGATATCCTTGTCCAAGTCGAGAAGTGTGTGGAAGTAAAGCTGCTGCAGGGTTTGTTTGGGCATGCGCTCCATGGCCCGGTTCCCTTCTGGTTCTTCGAGCTCGGTTGAAAAGTGTGTCAGCGCCCACAGAGCTCGCACAACATGAGCGCGATCAGGAGACTCCAAGCAATGGAGTAGAGAAATCCAGAGTGGATCTTCTGGATCGGTCCGCATGAACTTGGTCACCTCCTCTGCGATGTCCAAAGCATCGTTTCTAATTTCATTGAGACGGGGTTGCTTCGGGAGGTTGATTAAGATCACCAAGAAATCTCTCAGAAGGCCCTTAGCATATCGTGACACATAGAATGCATTTTCCTTCAATAAGACCATGTTTCGAAGAACCAATGTCGCTTCTTTGACGTTCCGTAGACGGTGATTGAATTCGTATGTCTCGAGTGTGTCCTCCGGCAGTGTAACGGGAATATGTTTGATTCTCTCGAGAATATCTCTTGTGCCATATAGCGAATTGAGTACGTTGACACGGGCCATAGGTTCACGGACGTCATATTGCAATTCCCACTTCACTCCCGTGATTAAAAGTGATATGTCAAGGGCCTTCTCCATCAGTGTTTCGGCCAACAACGGAAAGCCCTCGAACTTGAATTTGTCCCAGCGCTGGTTGGATATTTGGACGAGATGATACAGCGCAAAGTCAACCTCATCCGAGATGCCTGATTGTAGCCCGTAATGTGCGCGTTTATAAATGTGATTCGCTGAGTGCACAGATTAGCTGGCGTTGCGGGGATCGAAGAATGGCCGCCGCGGGTAGGCACTTACGCGTCTGAACTTCGAGATATTTGAGGGGGAAGTAAGGGTCGTAGAAGTCGGGTTGCTTGACTGTCTTGCCGTGCATACTGAGGAACAGACCCGGTCTGTTGCCTGGAGTTGCAACCTCGCGTGTGTTCATGGGCACTTTCTGATCCCTTCCTTCCCAGATCTCACTCGAAGGGTGGGTGTTATTCAGGTTCGGTGCGGGTGAGTTAGAATGACTTAAGGTCAGTGGCACGGGCTGTGGTGACTGGTTTGCATGGATATGTGATCGTCTAGCAGGTGTAGTATCGGGGATGAACGGTTGATTAGCTTTGGGGGCCTGCCGCAAACCCTCTTGTAAATTGTTAGTTCGAAGTTTTCGGCTGTGAGGGAAGAGACTTGCCTCGAAGGGATGTGCGGGGAGTTTGACCGGACATGTTAAGAAGCACGCCTGGGCCCTCTGAACAGTGTCTGTCGAGAAGGTCGCACTCCGTTTGTTTATGCCTGCACTTGATGGGTTGGCTCTGGCTAGTCCCAGGATGAATCCAGATTGGCGCAATGCACGCAGAATGGTGTGAATAGTCTCGCACAATCAAGCACAAATCCTGAGGCTGCAAAGGCGTGTTGAAGGTGAATGCAAGACACTTGGTGCCCTGAGAACCCTCCAACGGCTTTCTATGCCTTTCCTGATCGCCCTCCTAATAATTCCGGTCGTACGGATGGTCCTAAGACTATCACGGTGCCAAATTCGACGCGCTCCAGTTTCGTCACAAAGTTGGCTTGCTAGGAAAGGCAAACGGTTCGGGCGACGATCTGGAAGCTTGGACGCGATACGAAGCTAACGGAGACAGTCTGCTTGAAGCCGGAGAAGATGCGATGGCGGGACAACAAACAAGACGTTCGCGATAGACGATCTGGTTGAAAATCAAGGAGAAATTGCTGCGCACAGAATGAGACGGGAGCGGCGAATAGTGCACCTGAAAATCGAGTATCAATTCCTTTGCTGGAGCCCAAGGGGGGCTGAGTGAATGTCGAGACAAGCTGAACCTGCGATCGATCCGTCCTGCCATCCACAGGCAAAAGTCCGCGCTGCTCCTACTGGCCTCAGGCGCGTGCGCGGATCATCCCTCGGGCCGATGGCCGCTCTTGGCCGGGTTTGATCTGTTTGCACGTACCGTGAGTCAGCAAATATGCGCCTGTCTTATCAGGCACAACTGTATCTTATACTAGCCATGTGCTCGCTAAATAGTAGGATCTGTGTTCAAAACGGTGATTTGAAAGATGCCTCTCTGTCAGACCATGTCAAGTCTTTAGATAAGATGACATGATTCAACTGACAAATTGTCTTTATGTGGGCGCATTCTAGAATGTTGAGCCGCCTATTGATGAAATGAATGTTGGCATAATGGCACCTAATTGTCTGCCTTATATGACTTGTACTGGGTGCATTTAAAACGGCCATATCATGACAAAAAATTCTCTAAGTGTAGGTCTAAAAGTAGTGGTCTTAGGAAGTGGTTTGCAGAGACCATCAGAGCTAGCAGGTCACCTGCTCATTCATGTCTTCTACTACCACTTGCTACCTACTGGAAGCATAATGACTACCCACTTCCTCAATAACACTCGCGGTCCTCATTGTGCCGTATATTATAGCCTTGTCAAGCATCTATACACTCTTCCTCAAGCTGTCCGTGTCATGCCTATCATGCAACATGATACTTGTCCTCGACCCCCGCAGGGCACTTCGCTTGCTCGTCTATCATTAGCCAAATTCTCCCATGTCACCACGACGATGAACCACAGGGGCCCATTGAACTGGGGCCATATCATAGGGAACAATGATCTTATAGCCATCTTTGAGCGGTCTCATGTTACGGGCTCTATGTCCGATGGTCTTATCTTGAAGATACTTCGTTTCCGAGATATCATAGTAGGACACCTAGCGAGACTGACGACGAGCCCATGCTGACAGAGAATCAATGACAACTAGGAAGAACTCAACCTCTCCTTCCTTGCAATTGATGCAGCAAACGATCCAACCAAGACATCTCAAACATCCGCATCAAAGCCACTGTTTGCCGTCGTGGTGAAGCTACCTTGCCTGGCAGTGAAATATCCTCGTGGAAGCATGGTACGAGTTTCGAGAGGCCAGCGCACGATCGATAGCGCTGACTTTGATATAGATCCGTCGCTTTCAGATCAAGTTTACGGTTGAAAAGGATTACTATGCAGCTCTGGCAATCCTCAGCGAGTTGAATCTCCCATTCTCAGAAGCCGGTCCTGCTCCCATGCGCAAACAGACATCGTCTCAGTGGAATCCGGGATTCTACCGGCCTGGCTCCGTGTCGAGTGAGCTGACAGTTCCAGGGGGCATGGTGCAGTCGAATGGTGTTGGTTATCCCATGTACGCTTCAGGTACATGCCCCCGGCTGGCAACACCGAGCTTCACAACGGGGGGTATCCAGTCCTATAGATCATGTCCAATTTGAGTAACCTGTGGCTAACGAGGAGCTTAAGGCACATCTATAACCTCTGCATCTTCAACCACGCTAAGCACAAGTCACCCATCCAATGCGAACCCCAGTTTTGCACAGTATATGCACATGGACAGCGAACGCGGACATGCTCTCGATGGGCAACTCCCAGCTCCAAATCTACCGACTCAGGCGTCTCTAGGGGCTGACCAGTCCAGACCGTCCACTGCGACATTGCCCCTCGAGAGAGCGGGCTTGGCTCCGCCTCCTGTCAGAGTACTACCGTTCTCCAGACCACTTGTGAAGAGGACACACACCATAGCTACGGCCGTTGCTCCGGCGGGAAATGGACCGGTAGCTGGAAGCAGAGGTAAGTATTTCTAGCTAATTGCCTCGAAGCACAACCTCCATGCAATGCTTGCATGCTAACCATCGACGCCTACGGTGTATTCTGTACTAGACCCTTTATTCCCAACTGCAGACCAGACACCAACAATGCCACCAGAACACCCTGCCCGCATTGAAGCGCCCCGCATCACCGTGCTGAAACTCTCGAACCGGTCCACACCAGCACCAGCACCAGCACCAGCACCAGCAACCAACTCAAGGGAAGAAGCCAGCTTTATCCCTACAATCCCTGACCACTCCACCTCTTCTTTCTCAGTTCTCACTTCAATCGCAGACAATGAACAAACCAATACCTCACACCAACAACATCACGAAGCCCACCCGGTCAACATAGCCATAGAGCACCGCAACCCCTCCGTCACTACCACAACAACAGCAAGGCTTCCGCAGCGCGACCACCTCCAGACTCAACCGCAAGAGCCAACACATCAACCTCCATACCCTTTCCTCCCCACCCCCGAGGACCTTACCTCCTACGGCGCGGCATCCACGACCGAGCGCATGCAACTCGTCGAATCATGGATCTGTCGCCACGTGGAGGACGATGCGTTTCTCAAACTCTGTGAAGACATCGAGGGCATATGGCGGCGAATGCAGTTGGGGGTGGGGAAAGGACATGGTGGTGTATGTGATATGAGCTGATGAAGTTTGCGGATTTTGTTCTTCGATTTGATCGCGATACGCAAAGTCTCTTTCTTCCCCCGCTCGTCCCGTCCACTTGAGGGATAGTCACCGTCGTCGGCGTCCAGAGTCATGAGAGGCGCTTAACTCATTTCTGCTTACTTGAGGTTGTTAATGTTGATATCCCCAGTCTGTCCTCCGTTCATACGGCACACTGAATTAATATGAAAGAGTAATGTCGGAAATGTTTGAAACAGATATATTCCAGCTAAAAATACAATTACCCCAGCAGGTAGCACCATGTTGATAGCTACAGAAGAAACTATTCAGCCAAATGCCAATGAGTCGGAGAAAGTAGAAATGGCTTTGAGTCCTCACAAAAGTAAAGAATAGGAAAGGGGTAGATGAAGGGGGGCGGAAAGAGAGAATGTTTGCAGCTCAAGTATAGAAATGAAGCTTGCCGAGATCAAGAGCACCGCGTTCCCTCGGGATAATGATACAGATCTTCCAACAAAATCTCACCGAGATCGATGGTATATCAGGCCGGCAAAGACGTTCAAGTAGCCTTCTCTCGTCAGGAGAGTGAAGTCCACGACCATGCGTCCCTGGGATGGTGCGCTGGAGGCGAGGTTCGGGGAGGTGGCGGGCAGGTGGTTCTCCGTCGAAGGAATAGCCGGAGGCGGGGAGGAGGCATTGGCGGCCGCAGCGACCTGGCCCTCAGCGCCCACGGCGAGGTCGGCCAAATGCTGGAGAGAACGCTGCTCATTCGGACCCATGACCGGGGGCGCGGCGGACCCGCTCTTGACGGCGCTTCCAAGTGTGGGATCGTGGAATTGGCTCTCTTGCGCCTTGGTGCGGCGCCATTCAATAAAAGTGCGAATCTTCGAGTCCCAGGCTAGGGTGTAGAAAATATCGCCGAATTCGCCGGACTCTGCGGCTCGCTTGGCGCGCTGATCAAGGATCTCTTCAACTTTCTTGATGGAGTCCCAGCATTGGTTGGCATATTCAGGAAGAACGGTTGCCTCGAGCAGGGTCATACAAGCCAGAGCCAGACTGTGGATGTCAAATGGGGAGGTGAGACGGTACTGTGAGCTGGCTCTATGCAATTCGTTCACAACCTCCTCGGCGGCATAAATAATCTCGTACGGTGTGTAGACAAATATATGGCGCTTGATCAGTAATCGCACGGTCCAGTAGAGTTGGTTTTGCAGACTGTCAAGGAAGCTAGAGGGTGCTCCCTCGTCGGCATTTTCGGGCAGTCGCCGGTAGTCCCCGACGTCTGCGGCCTCGCCAAGAAGCTCCAGACGAGCAGCCATGCTGTTGGCGACCAGCCGGCCTGGGCCACTATTGGACTGGCAAAGATTCTGCTCCTCAATCACCAAGTTCGTTAGATCAACGAGGAAACTCGAATACGCTAGAAAACATGTGAATTAGTCAATTTCGTCATGTACTGAGAAGTGGGAAGGGCCACCTACAGCAGACTCTGGCAGTAACTGAGCCCAGTATCCTGTCATCACCCCGGGTGCGAACGTCAAGGGTATTTAGGACACTTGGATCAGCAACACTGATGGCATACCATCGAGTCATGATAGCCAAAGATACCCAACTGCGTCGGATAAGAGACGCTTCAGAGTCGACATCAGGATCCGTGACTCGCTGCGATTTCCACAGGTTGAGGCCTTTGACCAAATCACAACCAAGCTTGTTCGCAGACTGGATGAGTGTGTGTTTAGGTACACCGTCTTTCATCACCATGTTGTCCGGTCCCCGGGCGTCACAGTCGAGGATCATGAGCAGTATGCTCTGGAGCCAGATGAGATTGACTGTGGTTGACCGCGTGATGGCTGGCTGACGCGTGTAGTATAGAAGAAGATCCTGTGCGTTTTCGTAGGATGTGACCCTCTCGAAAGTGCCGCTTACGCGCTCAGAGTTGGCGCGCGTCACGGTGTAGAGGCTGTACAAGAGGATTTCCTGCAGCTCACGGCCACAGTGATGCAGAATCTCCAGAAAACGCTCCTTTGAGTTCGGCAGTATTGGGAATACAGGGTGTATCCGTTGATAGTAGCTACTCGAGTTTAGCACGTGGCAATGTAGACGGGTTAGCATGCAACCCCATTAAACGGGTACTTACGCATTTAAAGCACCTTCATCCACATCTACCGGAGTCATGTCATCATCCATGGCTTGCTTCGGGACATCCGGGATTTCGAGGCCGGATGGTAAATCATTCTCGGTGCCAGTCGACCAGAACAAGTTTCCAGGCTTGGGTGCTGTATTGTTGACGACGGAAGGATGGCACGGGTCGGTCGAGCTTTCTCCTACATCTAAATCTAGTCAGTTGGTGAAGCGGAAAAAAATGTGGTGCAATAAACCAACCAAAAGCCGTTTGAGAGCGTGTATTGAATGGCGGTTGCGCAAAAGATGAACTCGGCAGCCCGTCAAACACGGAGTATGTCCTTTTGCGACCGATAGGACCATTGTCAATTGGAGGCGAGAACTCCTGGTATGCCCGTGGAGGGGAAACTTCATTCATCGGCTGATACGGCATGTCGGGGTGCACCATAGCAGGTTGCATTTGACTCTCCAGTGTGTGCAGACGCTCGGCCAATTCCTTGATGTAGCTATCACTCCGCATCAGCGACACCCTGATCTCCAAAAGCAAAAACCGACGCGCGCGACCATTCTTACCCTTTACTCGGGCCTCGTTTCATTGGGACTCGACTAAACTGGCACACAACTCCAAGGCGACGGCAGTTGGAGCATGTTTCGACACCGGACTCGGAGCTTGCATCGCAGCGAACCTGGAAAGAGGGATTGTCAGTCCACCCGGAGCGCGTCGCGTGGAGGCGAAAAGTGAAATTCACGTTACCTTTTTGCGCCGGCATTCATCACATGCGCGAGAGATCTTCGACCTTTTCCTTCTCGCGCTCTGATCTCCGTAGCTCAAATCATGATTCGGATCGACGCCGACTTGTTGACTTGGTGTGAATTGAAGCATGTGCTGTTGTTGATGCTGATCGGGGGATGCAGGACGACCCATGTCCGGACCACCAGGGTTTGAGGAGCCAAGAACCATTGATTGACCATGATGGACCCCATTACTCGAGCCGTCAGCAAGACCAGGGCCCGAGGTTTCCCGCGATAGCTCGGCGGACAGAAGTTCGTCGGCCGTCAACTGTCGGTTAGTGTAGTATCCCATCGTGCCCTGGCTCATCTGCGCCGCGTTGGGGGAGGGATAGGAGTGAGCCGGAGGCATATCGGGATGCTCGCGAGAGTTCATTTTGGCTGGAGAGGATGAATACTCTGGGGAAAGATTGGGGTAGATGGTGGAGCGATGCTCCGGTTGATGGAGAGAAGAGAGAGTTGAAGGACGGAAGACGCGAGAACAGCAGGCAAGGTTTTACAGGCTAAACTTGCCTGGGCGGGGAGAATTTTGAAAGGGTTAGCGCCGAATGCCGTCGGCGACGAGCAGGACACGACGGACATTATTTCTTCGCGACCAATTTACAGAAGAGTACATTATCATTCAAGTCTGGATGCAGATATTCGCGGGGAGGGGGGCAATGAGCATATAGTTTCATACTGGGATGATCGCGCCGACGCGGAGGGCCGGCTTTTTGTTTCTGCGTCCAGCGAGCAACGGATTAATACTATTTCCCAGCGGCCCAGAACTCTTCGACCATCAGTAATGAAACAACTGTTTTGTCGGGGAGAGCAATTCTTTACAATGCGATTGTTATTCGCTTTGCGGACGTCGATGGGCGCATTCGGTCTGTGCCTCAGCTGTGTGTGATACGGAACCTTTGGAAACTATCTGAGGCCTCTTCCTGAGATTTGAATGTCGCCACCTTTATTCCGTACATGGTCCTTTACAAGAAACTTAACTATGCGACCTTACCCTCCGGGCTGACTGAAAATGTTCTACTAGAAGCATAGTACGAGCACAGGAGTGGTTCGGATTGACGTATTACACAGTTGAACGATGCCATTCCACCTGATCCTCAGAAGATCATCGTGAGATATAGACTTTGTGTGACTTCATCTCACGTGCATACTCGCCCGGACCTTCATCGTCAGCATCAACCTCTTTCCCGTCATCTCCCTTACAGAATCTACCAAGGCTGAAGATGAGATCGATCAGGACTATTCCTCCCCATGAATGAGCTTAGTTGTGGCCTTTTGCGTCATTCTGAGGTCTGCACTGCATCAAGATTCGCATGTTCTGCCTCTATCCGGCAGTGAAGTCAGTCACACCAATCATGGATCTCAGGGATAGCTTCTCTTCTGGAAAGGAGTAAGAATAGTCCTGTGGACTATTTCTTCATCAGTTGTCTGAGACCTGGCCCGGCTCTAAGATGCTTGTCGCCGCAGGCTATGACTACCTACCGACTTAAAGTACGAACACTCTCGGAAGCAATATCCCGAACTTGCGAGTGGCTGAATGGACGCCTGAGGCCACGACCTGGGTATGTCTCCAGGTCCTGAGAAAGAAAGGCAGCCAGTCATCAATTACAACCACTAAGTTACCGTAGTGTAGGATTCAAATTCTGACCACACAACACCATCGCTTCAATTCACCTCCTTGCCTTCCATCTTCCCTCCACATTGCGGGCACGGTCCGTTGGCTGGGGCAGTCCGGTGCACAATAGTAGGCTGAAACATGGCCAACCATGCCGCTATAGGATACGATGATTGGTGGGGATCACTAGCAATCTCGGGCTCGTCTATCTTAACTCAAGCCAAGCATTCATTATCACTGGTTCACGTCGCCGACAAACGATCTACTGAACACCATCTGTCGCTGGGAAAATTATCAACGGGTTTGGTCGAGCTTGGGTCTCATCTGAAGGCACTTTGGCCGGACCACCTTGACGGAGGACCTGCTTGACTGTACTTCCTAGCCAGCCCCAAGGGATACACGTTTTTGAACAACGTGAACGATCCACTTCGCGAAGCCACCTGAGAGAGATGACTGGAGAACACGGGACAGGGTACCTAGGCAACCCGCAACCTAGACCAGAATTAGGTATCGTCTAGTGGCTATAGTTACATGCTCTGGATTTGTGCGACTGGTGGAGCGCCACGGATTTCCAGCAACCATGATCCCTTACGACCGAAATGGAGGCCAGGTCAATAAATGCCATCATGATATTGCTCAAGCGTCTGACACAGAGGTTGGAAAGGGTGTCGAGTTGACGAAATCCTGTTCGAGTCTTCCCTAGGGAACGACTGATAATGGCTTTTGCGGGAATCTTCTGATTTTCCGTACAGGCAAGCGTTTCGGCTATTTTTATTGTTGGCTAGTAAGCGCCGAGATTAAGAAGGGCCGGAGTCACTAGGACCTGGAGTACTAGTCGATTGCACCTCCCGCTGCTGCCAGGGTGGCCTGCGAGTATATGAAGCAATTCCGTGTCTCCGACTTCCGAAAATCCCTGCCATGAACCACAGCTTTTGTCTATGCCTGAGGCCGGAAGATACTCGTGCCTATTCAAAAAACTGGGTCAATGTGTATGTACTATAAATTACTAGGTTTCAACCTTGAAGGCTTGAAGCAGTGTTCACTCCCAAGGAAGAGGAGCCCGAAGGGACCCGACGGATCCTAGACTTGACCCGTTCTATTGGTGGAGGGACAAACCCACCAGCATCGTGTAGATCAGGCCCCGCCGCATGACCGGCCGGCGACCGTCAAGGACAGCGCTGCAATTGCCCCAAAGCAGAAGCTGTGACGCCATCCCGCAGACCCCAACAACTCGTGATGTTGTTCAACTTTCATTTTTAGGATTCACCTTTCACACTGATCAACAACTGCGACGAAGGTCGCATTGATGATGGGTGTTTGTCATCGATAAGTTGGCAAATACCAGACAAGTTCAAGGTCAATCTCGTTGTGTAAGGTTTTGACCCTGAATTATCCTGCGTCGCATTGGTGATCGATCCTCCCTCGATACATACCAGGAACTCATCACTTGGCGGTTGGCGGTCCGCGTTGCCTAGAAACTGTTCGCTCCGGGACAATACCCATACCTCTCCTTTACGCCGGCCTTACACTGGATCTGACCTGACAACGATCGAGACAATTCCAAGGAGGCCGCACTGCAGGGGCCAGAATCACCGAACAATTCGGCTTAACAACATCCTGGCAGACTGAATGTACTGTGTACTCGTTGTCAGGACTGATGCATGCGAGACCCGCCTCGACCTATTGAAGTCAACCTCAGTTGGCAGTGCCTTGTCCATTCGCACGAAACGTATTCTCCCAGCTAAAAAGACTGCATGGAAGGTTCAAGACTTCTTTCTAGAACTTTTCGACTGGACTGCGCGTGGCAAACATATTTGTTACTGTACTGATCTGGCCGAATGCCACTGGGTGCTGACTCTGCTCTCTCCCAAAGACAACAGGCGTGAGCGCAAAGATTCATTGGACCGATATCTCGAGTCAGGGATCCTACAAGTACCGAGTATGCAACTTACAACACTCTTGCAGTAGTGAGTCTGCTGGCGCCAGCCGACTCGGTTCACCCACTGAAACAACTGTCAGGGCCTCGTTCGTCGCAGCGGCAGGGTTTGTGTGTCAACCACCTTTCAATTGCAAGTTACAACCACATAATCAATATGATTCTCCCTAAATAATCTGAGGCACCGCCAGGTACTCCGTACTGTGTAATACATACTCCCTAATAATGGTCAACCGGGCCGGTTGCTTTCTGCCCCAGATATTTCGTAACGGGATCCATCGGTCACCCGACAGAGTTTGGTCGTCCTCGAGAACAAGCCTCCGTAAAACCACTGGAGGTCTCCATCTTTTCTCTATTCCCAGTGTCCACTTTCTCCCTTCGACCCTCTTTAACCCGCATCTTCTAGCCCTAACCTAAGACCTAAATCCCGAAGAGGGTGAACTCCGTGCCTTATCATTTGATTCATTATCTGCTGCGCGCAACCTAGCTTTTCCCAGCGGGGCTAGCTTTTTAGTAGGGTAGGCGTGAAGCGCGAGTGAAAGAAAAAAAAAAAAAAAAAAAAAACAAACGATCTACTGTGTAGGTGTTGGAGTCACAAGTGATTCACAGTGGAGAATAGCAGGGTGAGAGAAGGAGAGGAAGTCGAAGGATCTCTCCTTGCATTGGGGCCTATGTACATTGTTTTCAAGGTTGAGATCATAATTGCAGCTGAAATGCTTGATTTGAGGAGACCGTAGCGGTAAGTTCTAATGCGCGACACCTCTTACCTTTCTGGAGGTAGCTGGTGGACTCGCATTGCATGCTTCGGAGAGACCTCACGGTTCGAGACAAGGGGGAAGTCAAAAGGGTTAGCAGGATGGGACGAGACCGCTTTGACGTACCACGTAAGTACCACTGCCATGGTGAATCTCAAATATTGATCCAGAGCTGAGGTTGAGAGAATGATTCAAAACTTGACAGAACACTTACCGGTGTTATACTGTCTTGTTGTCTTGTCTGCCTACTGAGTGGTGTCGCCTTCAGCCACACAAGGCTGACCTTCAGCCAGGATCGCGTACCTTGAATGAATTTCACACGAGGCTCGTCAAAACGCTCAAACTCACACACACATACGGATGGAGACCCATGGAATTGAGAAGCCGATGGTGGAGCGACTGAGGATCAAGATTTTCTCTGGTAGTTGTGACTTTGCCGAGTAGTCAATGCTTTAGCGAAGCAGCATAGATGATCAATGGCCAAGGTGATCGATGATACTAGTCTCTCAGCAGTAACGGTACTTTCTAGTGAGCATCAGCTCAAACTCACCTCTTCAGAATTGAGGCAGGAATAAATTAAATGTGACTGGGGCAATAATGCTGCCCGTCAATTTGATCCAACTCCAATCCAGGTAATTATGGTGTACCAGAATTAACCAAAATTACCATTCATTCATTCATCTAGAGAAAGGCACAGAGACCAAACGTGCCACTCCCTTGCGGCCGCCGAATTGTTCCACTTGGTTCACTCGCCGCCCGCGCCCTCCTCCCCCCCCAAGGTCTGTCTGTCTGTCTGTCTGACTACTTCTTCCCGCTTTCCCCTCTCCCCCGATTTCCCCCCCCCTTCTCTTCTCTTCTTCTCCCTTTCCTCTTTTCACAGGGTTACTATTGCAACTCTGCCTTCAGATCGATCGCTTCTTCCCTTTATCTTGGCCGCCACAGCCGGTATTTGGTGTCCTGTCTCACGGCCGGCGCCAAACGGTGCGTAGGCTTTGGCCCCCCCCCCCCTTCTTCCCTCAATCCTCTTTTGCTCCCTTATTGAGATTTTTCCCGCTTCTTTTCTCTTCCCCCGTTGTGGTTGTATGTTTGTTCCTCTTAGACTATCTTTTCTCGTCACGGAATCGACTGCCTACTGCCTGCTCTAGTACCTGAGTGCTGCGCTGTGCGAAAGAATTACAGTGAAAAAACGAACCTCACATCAATATAGCACTCGCCTGCCCTT